AAGAGTATATTAGAAAATATTAATAAAGAACTAGAAAACTATTAAAAGATTAAGAAAATTATAGGTAAAAGGTAGAAGTACTATAGTAGAAGGTATAAGAAGTAATACCTAGTTAAATAAAAAGGCTATACTATAACTTTATAAGAACTAGTAAAAAACCTTAAAGAAGATAAAGAACTAGATAGCTAGTTAGTCTTTTCTAAAAAACAAAAAAATAATACTAGTAAATTACTAAGGAATTTCTAAAAAGGTTTCTCTAATAAACCTTAATAATATAAAAGCTTTTAGTAATAGTAGAGTAGAAGTAAAAGAAGTAATATTTTTAGTAATAAGTATTATAGAAAACTATAGGTAGCTTACTAATAGGTACTCTTACTAAAGCTAAGAATATAAATAGTTAAGAAAATTAAAATATTACTAAAAAGAAAAAGAAGAAAATTAGTTAATAAGTATAAAATTAACTACTTATAGGTAGCTAGAATATTACTAATAGAGCTTTATAGGCCTAAGATACTATACTATACTAGGTATTTACTAGAATACTAAAAGAAAAACCTAAGAAACTACTACTATATTACCTTATTCTTACTATAAATAGTAGTATTATTCTTAAAAGTATTCTAATTACTAGTACTACTATAACTCTTATAGATAGGTAGCTCTTAAAGCTTAAAAAGAAAAAAAATAAGCTTAGTAATAATATTAATAAGATACTTAGTTTAACCTTTAGTAGTCTTAGCCTAGAAAAGTATAGAAATTAGCTAGAAAAATAGTAAAATTAGAAAGAAAACTTACTAAAACTAAAATAGCTTTACTTTAATAATTAAGAATAGCCTAAATACTACTAAGCTTAATAATAATAGTATAAAGAAGTAACTTAGTAATTATATTACTAAAGTTATTATTTTAATACCTAAGGTAACTAGTAGACTTCTTTTTAGCCTTAGTTTAGGCCTTAATAAGCTTAGAACCTAACTTATTAAAGTATATATTAATAGACATTATAGTACTTTTACTTAGAAGAATAAAGAGAAGACTATAAAGAAAGGAAACCTTAGCCTTAAGCTAATTAGAAACCTATTTAAAAGTTAACTAGTAGTACCTAAGTAAAGATAAATACTACTTACTTTATAATAGATAATATACTATTTTAAAGAATAGTAATTATAAAACTACTTTCTCTTTTTAAAGATATAGCTTTCTCTATTAACTAAAAGCTAGTAGGTATAACCTAGGTAAATAGGTAGATTAAAAAGCTTATAGCTTTTAGTAATAGAAATAGAAGTAGAAGTAAAGGTAGAACTAGTAGTAATAAATAAGTAAGTAGTAGAGTATAAGACTAATAATAGTAAAAGTTAGTAAGTAAAAAAGTAAATTAAGTAAGCTAAAGTAAACTTATAGGTAAAGATAAAGTTTTATTATTACTCTTAGTAGTAAAATAAGTCTACTTTTTAGATAAAGACTTGCTTAGAAACCTAGTAGTAGTAAAGAACTTAGTAAATAACTTAACCTTAGTAAGGTCTACTATTATAATAGTTAGTAAAGTAGAAGTAGAAGGCTAAAGTAGGTAAAGTTAGTATAGCTATAGTAAAAATTACGTATAGAGGTAGATTAATATATTATATTAAAGTAGAGTTAAAATATAAAATTTTTTACTAGAAGAAGGCTTATAGCATAGGCTAGGCCTAGTAGAACCTTAGTAAGTAAAGCCTTAGAGCTTAGCTACTTTAACTACTAATACCTACCTATAGCTAGCCTACTAGAAACAGCTAGTATACTACCTAAAGAACTATAAGTAAAGAAAAACTAGTACTATAGATTCTTAGTAAATTTATCTAATTTATACTAGTAACTACTCTTAGAGTTAGCTTCTTATATTATAGATTATATAAAGTAATTTATACCTTACTAAAGTACTTTAAAATATAGTACCTAAATATCTAGGCTTTAGTAATAGTATTATAGTATAAAAATATAATCTTAGTTATAGTAAAAGAAAATAAAAGATAAAATAAAAAATAGGTTAAAAGGTATTAATATAAATAGAATCTTTATATACTAGTTTACTTATATAAACTATTATTACCTAAACTCTTTTTAAAGCTACTTATTATATATATAGATTTACTAGTTTATTAAAGATTTTTTATAACCTAGCTATAGTTTATAATATAAACTAGGTTTATAACTAAACTAAACCTTAGCTAATAGCTATTTAAGCTTATTAATCTATATTTATATTTATATATTAAGTAGCTAGTTTTTAGAAGATAGCTAATTAACTCTTTATTACCTTTACTTTATACTCTTACTAATATTTACTATATAAAAAGAAGCTAGGTATTAGCTTCTATACTAAGTTACTAAATTAAAGTCTTACTATATTATATCTATTTACCTATAATATAAGTATAAATATACTATAAACCTAAAATAATAAAGAAGTTTTTATAAGTAAACTTAAATAAAAGAAGTTAACTCTAAAAGTAATTACTTATATAAATTAAATAAATTTACTAAAAGTTTATAGTACTAGCTTTACTCTACTTATAGTTCTTTTAGTAGTATACTAGCTATTTCTAGTAGGCTAGCTAAGAATATATATTAAGAGTTAGAGTTACTAAGCTTTAAGGCTTTACTTACTAAAGTTTTACTAGGCCTAGCCTCTTATATAGAAATTAGAGTTAAAATAGTTTATTACTAAGTAAAAAGTAAAAAGACTAGAATTTAGTATAAGAAATAGCTTATTTAAAAAGATAAATTTAGTAAAACAAGTAATAAAGATTTATAAAAGTAGTATAAAAGAACTTAGTAAAACCTTAAAATATTAGTATTGAATATTTTAGAAGTTATGTTTCTTTTAATTTAATTAGGTACTATTTTTAAAGACTATAGCTAAGAATAACTCTAGAAAGTAGAAATTAAAGTAAAAATTCTATTATTATATTCTTATATATATATCTAAATTATATATTAATCTTTATAATTTTTTACTAACTATAGTAGCTAAGATTTAACTTAGGTATAACTTTTTACTTTCTACTACTATTACTATTACTATTACTATTACTATTACTATTTCTATTACTATTACTATTACTATTACTATTACTATTACTATTACTATTACTATTACTACTACTTTTAGCTTTTTTTCTATTTTATCTTTATTATATAGTTTTATTATAAGGTATTATACCTTTTAGATTACTTTTATAATTTTTAATCTTTAGGTAGTATACCTAGAGTTTATAAAAGCTTACTTAAAGTAGCTTTTATTTATAATTAAAGTAGTATTATTATACTACTTAGTAGTAAACTTATTAAGTTAAATAATCTAAATATAAAGAAAGCTTTATTAGTTTTATAAATTTAAATAAAAAGAAGCTAGACTTTAACTTTTTATAGCTTTACTCTAAGTTTTGTATTAAGCTTAAAGTACTATTAAATATCTTTATTATCTAAGTAAAAAGTATTACTATTATACTAAGTAATACTTTCTATTTTATTTTACTACTTAACTAAGTCTTTAAAAGTCTTACTTAAGATATTTAGAGTACTATACTAGTACTAAAAATTACTTAGTTTAATTCTTTATTTATTAGCTTAAAATAAAATATAATACAGAAACTCCTAGACTACACTAATAGAGTAATACTATTAGTAAGCTATATTTATAGTTATTAAGAAAAATATTATAAATAGATAAAGACTTTTAAGGTATAAAGAATATTTATATACTAGCTTATTATATTAATAATTATTACCTATACCTAAATTATAGCTACTTTAGTTATATCTTAAGAATTATAAATTTATTAAAGAGTTTATTTAATATACCTATAGTTTATAATAAAGTCTAGAATTTTTAACTAAACTAAACTTAAACTAATAACTACCTAGGCTATTAAATATATATCTATACTAGTATATTAATTAAGTAGCTAGTTATTAAGAGATAATATACTAATTAGCTTTCTATTACCTTTACTTTATACTTCTACTAATATTTACTATATAAAAAGAAGCTAAGTATTAGCTTCTATACTAAGTTACTATATTAAATTCTTACTATATTGCGTTTATCTGCCTATACTACAAGTATAAATACGCTATAAACCTAAAATAATACTAGTATATTAAGTAGAATATTACTTAGAAATAGTTAATTTACTTTAAAATACTATTATTATATACTCTTACTAATATTTACTATATATAAAAAGGCTAGGTATTAGCTTTTAAATTATATTATAATACTATAGGTTTACTATCTTATGTTTATTTACCTATATATTAAGTATTAAAACGCTATAAACTTAAAGTAATAGCTAAGAATAAAAGCTTAATTTAGGATTATTAAAAAATTATCTTTATTAAGTATTTCTTTAGCTTTATAAAGAAAAATCTATATATAAAGCTTTATAAGTAAGATTTTAAGTGCTATATAATTTTATAACTTATAATTTATTTTTTATTTCCTTTATAATATAGTTAAGTTCTTTTTTATAAATTACTTTTATAACAAAAATATTTTAATACTCTACTTTTCTTAAAATATAATAGAGTAAAGAGTTTTTTAAAAGTAGTAAATTTATTATACTCTAATAAGTATACTTTAAAGAATATTACTAAAAAATAGGTTTTTACTAAAGTAAAATAGTAGAATTTTTATTATTACTTAGTTTTTAGATAAAAGTAAGCTATAAAATTAAACTAAACTAAACTTCTTATTTTATAAAACTATACCTTAAATAAGAATAAGACTTACTCTAGAATATATTACCTTTTAATAGTAGAATATATTCTACTAATAAAATATAAATATTAATATAATATTCTTATATTTTAATTAAAGTAAGAAATTCTTAAGTATTACTTTTTATAAATATTTTATTATTTTTATATATTAAATATTAATAAAGAGTTATTCTTAAATTCTATACTTCTACTAAAGTAAATAATAATAAGAATTTTCTTAGTATATATTAACTATAAAGTAGATAAGTTTTTTACTATAAGTTAAAATATAGTCTTTAATAGAATTATTACTTCTATTAAGAAATCTAAAGCTATAATATAGTGTAGCTCTTAGTCTAGCTAGTTTTTTTTATAGCTTTAAATAAATACTTTTTTCCCTTAGCGACGCAATTATACTTGTTGCCTAGTATGTTTTTTTGCTACTAAGACTTTTAATTAATACCCTATTTTACGTTTTGTACAGAAATTGCTTGTCCTTGAATCATTATCCTACATTATACTCAACATCAGTCCGTATCACATACTTTGCTCCTTCGACTACACCAGTTCCCTCGTGCAACAGAGCGCCTCTTGCCTCTCCATGGGGAAAGACAGCAACACTTCCCATTACTGGGCGTATTGGATACGCGTTGATGACCCCATGCTTAGCACTTGGTATGAAGAAGGTAGTTTCGCCGCCGCGGAAATCATCGTTGAGGTAAATGAGGAATGTGAACAGGGAGGACTGTCGCGCCGACGCTGGAGATGCATCATAGACGTACGTCGGTGGGATTGTGGGGGCGATGCCAGAGGGTGGCCAGGCGCCGTCTAGTATGTGTGGTCAGCTCAATCATTTCGCGATTGTTCAAGAACAAGTGTCCAGAAGGCGAACAATCAGGCGAGAGAAAGATGACGAACCAATGTGACATCTGTATTCTGCTCCAGGCACATATCTGTACACTCTGAAGCGCCGGTTGATGCCCCGCACTTCCTTTCCAGCGATATTGTCAGGGACAAAGGCTTTCACCCTCTCCCACAACTTGTTGTGGAAAGCGTCGTCAACTATCCAGTAAAAGTTGTGGGCTAAGACACTCGTATCCTCGCCCTGGGGCCGCAGCGGGGCATCGGGGATGAAATCGATGGCTTCTCCTGCAGCGATGATGGATGTGCATTCGTCTGGAGAAAGAACGTCTTTGATGAGACGTAGGTCGGGCACAATGGGGTGTGTGTAGCATTGTGTTTTGGGAGCGTCGCCGAGGACTATTGCGTCGTCTTGGGAAGCGAAGAGGACGGCGGGATGGAGATTGGGTGGTTTGCGGAGAGGCCCGGGGGTGGTGTCGAGGACAGTGAAGCGGTCCTTGATGTCAGCAGGACAAGAGGCGAAGATGGTCTTGTCGTCGACGCTGCGCCCTATCTCGCGCGTGGGCCCGCTCCCATCCCTCAGATCCCACGTCTGTTGTAGGGCTATGCCCGAGGCGACGTGGATGCCGTGCGCCGTTGTGTCCGTCGGCCCCGTGACGCGCAGAATGGCATCCAGGACGCGTATCAGGTCGTCATTGTGGGCGTTGTGGCCGACGACGGTGTGGGTGGGGACTTGGACGTGGATGGACAGGCCTGACACGACGTCCAGCGTGCGCACCCAGCGGCAGAGGGCGCCCAGCGACGGCGCCTCTCGCCGGATGCGCATCTCGGCCAGCAGGATGAGGGCATCGGTGAGCTTGGCATCGCTCAGAGCGGCTGAGATGCGGGCGGTGAGATTGCTGCCCTCTGTGTCCGTCAGCCGCCGTACGTCACGACCCCAGCGAGGGCGCACTCACCCGCCGTATTGAGGCCCGTTGTGCAGGCCTGGCGGAAGTCGTACACTGCCGTCCTCAGCTCTTTGCAGGCCTTGGACTTGATGAGAGCCGGGTGCTCGGCCAGCGTGCGTAGCGTTTCGACTGTCACGTCAATCTCCTCGGGCGAGATGACCGAGTAGGTGTTGGTCGGGTGCGAGTCGTGCGGCGGGCTCGGGATTCCTGTAGCTGTGGCTGCCTTTTTGACCGCGTTTGCTGGTGCGCCGCTGCGCTTTCGCTTGGCCATGCTGGCTCGTCTGCCCTCGATTGTGTCCGTCTGTTGTAGTCGCGTGACTGCCTGTTGTCGCCGTTTGTCCGACTGTAGCAGCAAGGACATGCACTATCGTCGTCGTTGTGGCGGTTAGCCGTTGTGTCGTGCATCTCACATCATGTGGGGGGTGCGCGGCGGATTCTTGGCAACCTGCGGGCTCATCAAGCCGTAACATCAACCCGAATGACAAAGCTGGCAACACGCACCTCGTCACCAGAATGTAGACTTGTCCATGCAACGAGATTGCTAGCTTCACATTTGTTCGCGCCGCACATGATGCCACGTACGCGACATACTTGTTCTAAACGATCCTACTCGTCCCACATGGAAAACACCACAGCCCCAGACACCTTCACCTCGCCAATCCTCCCGCCATCCTCCTCTCTGACAATCTTCCCCGACTCGACGTTGCGCTTCCAAATAACGACAGTGTTATTATTCTGGTGCCCTACAGCCAACATGTCACCTGCTTTGTTGAAGCTGCATTGCCGAGGCGACCAACCGCCCGATGGAACAAGCTGGACCAGACTCAAGGTGCCATTTCCGTGGATAGAAAACGTAGAGAGCGTATCGGTGGGTCCACTCTGAAAGATGGGCGACTCTCGGAACGAAACATCCCGATTGGACACGACGACAAAACGTCCATCCGGCTGCAACAGAGGTTAGCTTGCCCAAGAGCTTCCAAACCAAAAACAACCACTTGCAGAACTTACCGATATGGCAATCTCACTCGTAGGTGCCTTGGTGGCCGGGAGATCATCACTAATCGCCGCATGTTCGTACACTTTTGTCCATGACAATCCCCCGTCTTTGTATTCAACACGATACGAGTAAACCTTTTGGCTGAGCTCTCCGTTGAAAAACAAGAAGATATCGTCATTTTCAGACTTCCAGAATGCCGCATGTCTAGGCCCTGCGCCAGCATCCGTGATCAGAGGACTGATCTCTTCGAGTGGCGCGATGTCGTTCTGGTCATACTTGTACACACGGATCTTGTCACCACCAAGGTCAGCCACGAGGAGAAATCTGTTCGTTGGATCGAGAACAACGTGATGCAGGTAGCTACGGTCCTGCCTCAACGGAACCGGGCCAGTTTGGTTGATCGTAGGCAATAGAATCTGCAACGGCTCCGTCAAACTTCCGTTCGCACCAAGTATGTAGGATGCCATTGCGCTTTTGTTACTGCTTCACATTAGCTGCTAGACTGGCTGATGATCGGACTTCGCAACGTTTGAACTTACTACGAGGCCGTCACATATCCTCGTACCCCACTCTTTGCATCAAAGTAATCTGCAGTCACGCCGGAAAAAGGCGCGCTTACACGAGCAATGCGTACAAGCGTCCCATCTGCACCGATAGCGAAAGAATTGAGCGATCCTTCTGTGGCGTTGGACCTGCCGCGATCCAGACAATACAAGACTCGATTGGGGAAGTCAAGATTCAACGAAGATGGATTATCCGCACATGCTGCAGTTGTAGATGTGACAGAGAGAGTGGACGCATTGCCACAACCTTTCAAGGACAATGTGCTCAAGTAGCCATCAGAGTGTGCGGCAAAAAGTTGAATAGCGCTACTGCACGTTATCCAGAGTGCAGACAAGAGTGTGAAAAGCAGATACAGTCGGCACATGTTAAAATGAGGCTTGTGACTTGCATTTGCAACGAGTACCAAAGGATGATAAATGGAAGAATTGGCTTGACTTCCTACTTAACAGCTGTGTTGCTAGCGTCTCGCGACAACACTTTAAGGAAATAATGGCCAAGGATCCTTAGGCGTAATTCGCGATAGTCTCCGTTTCGTGTAGAGTCGGACGCACTTGGCAGTGTTTGAATTCCGTCTTCTGGCCTGTTGCACTGGAGATTCCCCGAACACTAAGGCAATCTAACTAGAGAGTCTACCTATGCTTGACTACCATATAAACTTGGTCAATCCATCGATAGCTAGACAGGGGATCAGCCGAAACGAGTCCTCTGGCGATTGGGCATTTAGAGTGGCTGAGTGGCTGTGCAGATTCTACCACTCACAGAAGTACTCGCTTCGGCTGATGACATCCTATCGATGAATTGACTAAGTTTATACGGTAGTGTAAAGCGCACTGCAATTACGGACTTTCTGGGCGGTATAGTAAAAGGCTGGCACCTCCCCCCCCCCGCCCAACAATTGTATTCAGCTGCCCCCAGCGACGCCTTATACAGACTTTACTACTTGGGGAAAAGTTGCAATAACAAGCAGCACCCAGAACGCCCAGATTCAGCTGAAAAACGCCCTGTGGCATCTTCAGCTGAAATGGCGCTCACTTGTCAGCCGGCTCTGCCAATAACAAACGATGCTAAATCTTGACTACTGCAGCCTTGCAGACACTTCGTTCAGGTTTCGGGCCTATTGCTGCATGGACGATCTATTGACAGATGTTTATCATCAATGTATGGTATAAGCTTCCAATATATGAATACCCGCAATCCAGACCGCTTGGGCTTGTTTGCTCGGTTGCGCTTCGTTCTTCACTCTTGATCTTGAAATCCCCAAACCCTTCAAGTTTCGTTCTTCTTCCGTAGTCGACAAGATCCTGAGCCATATGAGGTACGCCTGATCTTCAATACGGTTCCTTTTCCTAGCACGCACCAGTTTTTCTTTCTCGTGCTCGAGAATCATCTATGCTTTGTTCTGTCAGGATGGCTACCTCAGAGAACGAGATCAGGCAGGCACCTCATGAGCCCGATACCAAGCACAGCAGTTGGAATAACTCACCCGAGGTCCTCAAAAAGGAGCCTGGTGTCGGCGTGAACGAGATTGACGATGACGATGGTATCTACTGGAAGCCCGGCTGGCGTGATCAATTTCCATGGATTGGTCTAGCAGGATTCATTACAGTCATCGTAGCTACCGCGATGGCGGTTACTATCCTAGGAGTATCACACAAGAAGCGCGTACGGGACTGGCCAACTACGAAATTCCCTATTCAGCCTAACGTACTACTCAACATCGCCAACCAAATGCAAAACCTTGGCCTCCTGACTATGATAGGTCAAGGATTGGCAATCGCTTGGTGGAGGAAAGCCATGGACGGCAGCTCATTGGAGAAGTTGCACAGGAATCATGCCTACTCCTACAGTGTCTACGCCATCGTCACTTCTGGCAAGCACTTCAATTTGGTGGCACTCGCTGCACTCATGACCAAGTTTGCCGTTATTGACAGTACGTTGTTCCAAACAGCGACCAAAACGCACATCACCCAACAAACAGACTACACCAACGCCACTGTCACTGCATGGATGGAGCCTATCTGGACTGCAAAGAGCGGTGGTATACCTGGAGACTTTGGCAGAGTAACGTCTGTCGACGCGAACTGGGCAACCGTCATCGAAGCATACAACCAGAAGATCGCCAATGGCAAGCTGCACGATCTTCTCGAGGATAATGCCTCATTCGAAGGCTGCACCTACCGACAAGAGTGCACAGGATCTGTACGGGGCCTGGGGTTTGCCTACAAGTGTAACACAACGTTCGAAGATGTCGACTATGGGCTAGAGCGATTGTCCAATAACATGACCGCTGGTAACGTGAGTTACCCCCTCTGGGAAATCGAATTTGCTACCAAGTACGCGACCAACGATGAGCTATATGCCACCTCCAATCTCTATATGACTTATGTTGACAGTCATGCCGGCACGCAAACTGGGTCTTGTCCCGGCAAGAAAACGACGCGACAATGTGAGATCCGACCAGCAATTGTCGAATATCCGGTCACTGTCATGACGCCCAGTAAGGAAGAGCTCGACGGAAAGAACATAGTGACTCACGTCAAATTCTTCGACAGCGTTACTGGAGCCCTACCTTTTGATACACCGATGGATACAGACCAGATTGACAACTTGAAGGTTGTCGAGTTTGTTGATTTAGATGAGAGGGAAGGCGATGTTTCAACAGTTGGCGCTTTGACCTACGTCCTCACCAACCTATACAGCGCATACGCATATCTTACCTATACAACCGACTGGGATGTTGAAGTGCAAGGATCTTCGGCACAGACAACATTCTACGCAGATACTGATGAAAAGAAAACCGATCGCTGCTGGTACGATATCGACAAGCCTGGCCGAGATGATCCAGCTGTCGAAATCCTCCGCAAGATCAACACTCTCAGTTTTGTGGCTGGTCTGTATCTCAAAGGCGCCACGAAGCTCAAGAAAACCGAGCGTGCTGCCGCTGGAATGACCAGCCAGCAGATCAAGACTACAGTCACTGGCATCGTAGAAGAGTACCTGACTGCTAAACGATATGTTGCTGCTGCTCTTGTTGCAACACTCCTCACAGTCCTCTGTGTCCTTCCCGTGTACTGGCGCTTTTGGGAGCTCGGACGAAAAGTTACCCTTGGGCCTCTCGAAATCGCAAACGCCTTTAACGCTCCCATTATCGCACCAGATAAGAGACAGAGGCATCACGGTGACTTCGAGGAGATTATACAAGAAGTGGGGCAGCGTCGTGTACAGTACGGTCAGATTGTGGGTGCTCCGCCAGGGCACATGGGCATTGCAGAACCTCACAAAGTGGCCAAGCCAGTTTCGATGAGACCTCATGACCATATACCAGCAGTCCAAGGCAGTTTTGCGCTTGGGTTTGGTGCGGCAATCGGAGCTGTGACTGCTGTCGCTGTTGGTGGAAATGTGAAACTCTGAATATGCGTGTGTCGATTTGATTATAGATAATTCAAAGACATTTCATACCTGCTAGTACGTGATGAGGAGTAGTTAATGATAGACACATGTTGAGCTTTCTCTAACACAATCGCAACAACGTACCCTTCTTGATGACTGCATAAACCATCACTGTGCCAGGAAAGAAAAGGTTATTCGAGTTGGACGACAATGCCAACAACATCAACCTGTATTACGCCCATGCAAGCCCAGAATAGTCCAGCACAACAGTTGATAAGTTAAGTTATTTATTTTGAGAACACTGGCCAAGATATACAGGCAGGCGAATTGCCAGAACGCGTTGTACAAGAGTAGCTAGTTACAATTTCAGACAGACGCAACGTATGTAAAAGTCTTAGATGGCTTCGATCCTACGTCACAAAACGTTACGAGCAAGAAAATACAGACGGCTTCCCGCGATCGCTCCCACACCATCTCTCCTACTGGTTCAGACAAAACCTCACAAATCATCCACAATCGGGCTCAGTCCCTGCGGCGTACCGATCCTGCCTTCGTAAAAGAGCCTCAATCGCTCCACGTTTGACCGGTCGTTCATCCACTCTCCAAATTCAGTCACATTTGTACCGGGCTGCTCCCAGATCTTCGAGAAGCCTTGTGGCGCCGGAAGATCATCTCTCACGCTCCATCCTCGGGAGGTCTGGTGCTCGGTGCTGAGGAGAAAGTTGTGGAGAAGTTTGGCGCCTTCAGGGTGAGGAGCATTCTTGAGAATGGCACCCGTTTGGGGCCAGCTGGCAAACTTTCCTTCAGTGGGGATAGTTATGCCAGCCGCGGGAGGGAAGCCGATGCTTGAGGTGAAGGTGGCCACGCTTGGGCTGTCGGCGGAGCGAAGGATCGTGTGAGGTGTAGCAGTGCCACGGACCCAGCGTGGGTTCTGAGCGAGGAGGGAGTCGAACCATCCAAGACCATATTGCTTGACACTTCGAATGACGCACATCAGCAGAACTCCGTCAAAAATTAGGATATAACCAGCTTATGGTAACATACATGGAATCGAACTGATATAAAACTGCGTCGTCGTCGTTAGGATACGTCAGAACCAGCTTGTCCTTGAATACTGGGTTAAGAAAATCGGTGTATTCTTTCAAAGCCACGTTTGTCTTGTTCACGTTCGAAGTCATGCACCATGCGATGATGAACAAGCCCATGTATGCCGCATCGTTATCTTTGAACTGGGCATGTACCTTGCCGAAGTTGGCTGGCCGGTAGTTGAGTAGAGCACCCTGCTTCTTCCAACGAGGGTAGTCATGCAGAGTCTGCAAGATGATGCTGTCTACATAGACGTTGTTGGCTGCAATCTGCTGGTCGAGGTTCCCGTCGTGGTACTTGGACACGTCGACAGTGACGTTGAGAGTCATGCCAGGGAAGCGGGTTTCAAAAGCCGTTTTCAGAAAGTTTTGCTGTGTTGCCTCATCTCCGCCATGCCAGAGAGTGACGACACCGCCTTCGGCAAGTGCAGCTTTGTGAAGCTGATCAAGGGTACGGGTTTCTTCTACCACTTTGGCAGCGGCTTTAGGGTAGGCTATGCCTGTACCAACAAAGACAGCAAGACTGAGAAGTGAGGAACGCATTGCGAGAAAGACAAGACAGGAGCTAACGAAGTTGCAGAAGGAAACGAATGTAAAGCAGAGACGGGGCTGCTGGATGCAAATTCCTGAGGGTAGCCACTCATCTTCTTATACTCCTACGGTACAGCGGAAGATGAATATATCCCCACCGGGTCGGGCCGTCAAAGTTGCTCACATATCATGAGTTGGCAGGTCTGCTTCAATATGATCCGCTTTTATGTGTAACAATTCCGGAATACTTCCTCAATAGGAATGCTGATAAACAGACCTACGTCAAAAAGTGCAAGGAATTCGAAAGTTGAGGCCTGTCTAGATTGTTTTGGTGTGCAAGGTGCGAAACGATGACCCAGTTTCCTTGCATTGCTATGCAAACAGAGTCCAAGCTCTCGCACAGAAACTCAAAGAGGAACACTCCTTATCTGAACCCTTCCGTGTTGTAAACCGAATTGTAGAACTCTTCACTCCAGCCTCGGCTGTTTCAGAGGCTAAGTAAACACGTAGGTAGATCTCTCTCTAATGGTTTTGACGCAAGTCAATATATTTTGCGACTGCAGTGAGGTGTTGAAAGTGAAGCTTTCTGAGCATGAGCTACGGTAAAAGCTTGGTTGACTTAGCTTCAGCTAGTAGGGGGGAAGGCGACACGGGACTTCCCAGCGAGCGACACAATTTCTGCTTGTTACTCCACTTTTGACCCTGCTAGCTAGAGCCAAGTTAACCAAGCTTGCATTTGTGATGCTTCGTCATTAGTCAGAAAAGAAGCGGAACCTCTCCGCAGTGGGTCAAGCCATCACTATTATCCATCGTTGTCCGTTAATCTTATTGCTGTTGTTTACAAAGTGATGAACTTGAAACTTTATGGGACACAAACCTGGTCTTTGTTATCGAGCTTATAGGGTATATAAAGATGGTTGCATTGGTCGCCGTTAGTGTTTGGAGATAGCCTGGGCTTGGGTTGATCGGTGGCAACCCGGGTTGAAGCTCTTGGGAATTATCTTCTTAACAAGCTGGGGATTACTTGTGAGCTTTTTGCGCATGCTTTGTCTGCGTACTCGCGAGCGAGCTGGGCTTCTTCGCTGCCTTTTATGATAAACCTGAAACCTTGATTAAGCTCTTTCTCGATTTGTTTCCGATGTTCGAGGTACTTGTTTGGATCCTCCACCAGAAACCTCCGTTGCTTGTCACTGTCTGGGGTATGTTAATGTGGAGTATGGTGGGGATGTTGAAGAGCATTACATCGATTATCTGCGACGTTCTTGCCAGCCTATGTTTGTGTGAATTCCGCTGTGATCTGGATGGTTGACCTGACCCAGTGGTAGATGTGTTTGACTTGGTATTGTATTGCCGCAACAATTTGAGCACCTAAACTCCCGGCAGCAGTGACTGCTACGTGTTTGTTGGTAAGGGAACAACCCTCCTCATAATGTGCTGAGTGCATCAGCTCGCCTGGGAACATTTTTAATCCGGGTAGGTCTGGCTATTTTCAACCATCCAACACACCAACAGCGTTGACAAAAAATTCAGCGCTATCGTAAATTTTGAGATCACTTTGTAAATATCGAATTTTGAGACGCCAAAGACCGGTAGCGTCGTCCCACTCTACGTGTTCGATGCGGTGTTGGAATCTGATATTTGAAGATGAAACTTTTCCCTCGCTCGATGGATTTGAAATATTTCTATATCTCGGGTGCATAAGAGTGATAATGCGACCAGAGCTTGATGTTCCAGAAGAACTAATGGTTGACTCTAAGAAATGTCACATTCACATCCAGGATATCTGTTTTCCAACCATGTACCACCGATGTTCGCGATTCTTCTCGTAGCATACAATCTCCAAATCTTCCATCTTTGCTTCAGCTTTTGTACAGGAGTTAAGAGCCGACGCGCCTGCACCTATGAGTATAACTTTGACGACTCCTTCTACCCATTGTCTACCCCTTAATTCGGTAGCCACACAGATCTACTTCAGCGGGCAGCTGATCCCGATTTTGATGTTTTCGTCAGCAAGGCACCCTGGAGCAGCGTATGTAAGATGTGTGTAGGTAAAGAACAATTAGTGCATTTACAAGACTGTGAGACTTCTATAAGAGAGAGCTACTGCTTATCACGAGTAAGACCCATGCAACGAAGCGTCATCTGCATAAGAGGTATAACAGCGTCTTTGTGTAAGTGTGGAAGGTTATCTTGTCACAGGTTGGAAACTTGTACAGTTTAGGTGTCTACGGCGGCACCTTCTTTAAGATTCTGTACATGCTACTGGTGTAAATAAATTTTAGTACGCAATGCAAAGGGAGCGGCCCGATTGAATTCAAAAATACGGTGTATACGGTGTTGAGCTTGATAGCCAATCAGGTAAGCCAAACTAGTAATTCAGTGGATTTAATCGACTATTTGGCAAATCAGAAGCGATGTTCATGTAGCACCGTATACACCGTATTTTTAGATTCAATCGGGCCGCTCCCTTTGTACTTTTGACATACTTACTGCAATGATATCCACAGAAATCTACTGCGTTAAGGCATCGCATACTAGACACCAGGACACTTGACACCCTTGACATGACGCGCACTTACTAGTTCGTCGCAGCCCAAACAAGCTTTAGTAACTCATCAAACAAGTTGATTTCACAACGACTAATCGAGATCCAATTTTACGGATACGATACTGCATTACTTAGAGTGCCAGTTCGACACCACGGCGGGATCGAACCACCGCAGGCCATTTCCTTCCGTTCAGGATCGTTATCCTGGAACAAACCTGCATAGAAAATCTTCATATCCCAAAAGTGGAGCCTGTCATATCGAACTGCTCACTCACACCATTCGAACCATGGTCGTGTTCTCCTGCCATTGTTCTCCTCACCCTTCTACGCCCATGTTCTTCTCAAGGTTTGGGAGGGTAGGGCAAGTTCCGCACAAGGTAGTCGTGGAAGACGAGGTACAAGGGAAGATGGTCATCAACGACGAGGTAATGACAGACTACGCAATTCAGATTCAATGCATGGGCTCTGCGCAACGCTGGCTGGACGAAGAAAACAACTGGGACGGGCCAAAGTACGTTCGTGGAAAGTGTTGGCTTCTCACCATGGTGGATGGAATGTTTGCATGTGAGCAGATGACTGGCTGGAGTGGACAAAGACAGTACGACCTTCTCCGGATGCGCCTTCCAGGTGTGAACGAGGCAGAGAATAACGATCAGGAGTTTTCGATGAAGATAGTAGAGAAGGTTGTAAGCAAGAGCTGGGCGATGAAACTCAGTCATGGCTTTGGGGCGCAATTATTTGGCGGCGACACATTGGGTATGTTGTGGAGAAAGCACGATGGGAGTGATTGTGGCAAGGCGGTTACTAGGGGCGTTTTGATGGAACATGCCTTGGTCCTCACTATATCATTGATTGTCTCTTGGTGCTCTCTACAGCTTGATAAGTGTAATGCCGATCAAGTGGCTGGTGTGATGCAACTACACCCAAATCGATTCTCAATAGGGAGTGATGGGCAAGGTCATTTGAATGGTGAGGTTTATCTTCGATGTAATCCTGTTCCAATACTCATGTAAGTCGTTATATCCAGCATTCGCTCCAAGTCTACTGCGTGGCACACTGCGGACCGCCCTCCTCCTCCTCATCGTCTTCCCATTCGCCACCACCCGCCCTCGGATCTCCGGACCCAGCGCCAAAGTCCTCCATGTCCGCATCCCATTCGATCTCGGCCTCTTCAATTTCCTCGTATTCTTTCTCGTCGCTCTTGTGCTTGGGCAGTGCGTCCTGAACCTTTCTCAGCGCGTCGTCATTGTTCAACCATCCGTCCTCGGGGAAGTCAATGTCGACGACGAGGAACAAATCACCCTTTGCATCGCTCTTCTTCATGGGCATACCCTCGCCGGGTACCTTGAGCACCTGACCAGGTCGCAGCACCTTTCCGTTCGGCTGCTCGACATGGACCTGAATACCCCTTCCGTCGAGGTGAGTGAGGACGACGCGGTTGAATCCCGTCAAGGCTTCTACGAGGCTGATTTTCAGCTCTGCTCGCAAGTCAGCGCCCGCGCGCTCAAACACATCGTGTGGTGCCTCGTCGAGGGTGAAGACGATGTCCCCGGGTTCTTGGTCTGGGAGCTGGTCGGCTTCGCCGGCTAGTGTGATGCGGTCACCTTGGCGGGCGCCGCGGGGGATGTAGAGCTCGAGGACGTTCTTGGACTCGACGACCTTGTTGCCTTTGCACTTTTTGCAGCGCTGCTTCTCGGGGATGACTTGGCCTGAGCCGGCGCAGGAGCCGCAGGGGACGGTTTCCTGGGTGACGAGGCCGGGGCCGACCTGGCGGAGGACGGTCTTGGCTCCTGTGCGGGGTTAGTCGGGGTGGTGTAGGAGGGGTGGTGGGCAAAGGGAGGAGAAGGGCGCACCCTGTCCACGACACATGCCGCACGGATTCGACTTTGCGCCCGCCTTGCCGCCGGAGCCCTTGCAGTTGGAGCAGACAATGTTCTTTGTGTTTGAGAACTTGGTCGTCTTGCCCTTGTACAGCTCCTCCAGCGAGACTTCGTACTCCTGCTCGACCGAACGGCCTTTGCGCGGGACGCCCCTGGGCGCGCCGGGCATGCCGCCCATTCCCGGCATGCCGCCCATGCCGCCCATGCCGCCAAACATCTGGGCGAAGATGTCGTCCATGTCGGGGCCGCCGCCCATGCCGCCGCCGCGCGCGGGGTCGAAGGCGGACATGCCATGGGTGTCGTAGAGGTGGCGCTTGTCGTCGTCGGAGAGGATCTCGTAGGCCTGCTTGGCTTCCTTGAAGCGGATCTCGGCGTGCTCGCGGTCGTCGGCGGCGACCTTGTCGGGGTGGTGGGCTAGCGCGGCCTGGGGCTGTGTGTCAGCAGTGCAGCATGCATGCCGTCGCCGACGGGGCGGGGCAGCCCGACTTTGTGGTAGGCCTTCTTGACCTCGACCTTGGTGGCGTCGCGCGGAATGCTGAGCACCTCTGGCCGTGTCAGTCGGGGCGCGGGGGGGTGCAGCGGACGAGGCTACCGTAGAGGTCGATTTCTTCCACTACGAGACGGCCGGTCAGCGAGGTTGCCGCGTGCAGGGCCGGGGCGGGCGGGGCTTACTGGTGGGTGGCAGCGCTGGGTGTGGGCGTCGCACGTGATGGCAGGAGGAACAGAAGAAGAGGGCGCGTGGGCGTGGCGGGCGTGGCTGGCCGTGGTGGTGACGCGAGAGAAGGAGTTGGCGAGGCCGGCGCGGGCGGGCAAAAGTTTGGCGGCGCAAAGGCGGGGGCGGGGGGCAGAATGGCAGAATAGCTCAGCGCCGTGCTGGCCCGCCGTGCCCTCGACGCCGCCATGTCTCGCCCGCAGCTCTTGCCCGCCTACACGTGCCGCTCGTGCCTGTCACGCGTCCACGGCCGCCCGCTCTCGTCCAGGGCCTCGCCCAAGACAAGCCTCCCCTCGACGCCCTCGTCGACGCCCGCACCCAAGACAAGCCTGCCCTTGACGCCCTCGCCCAAGACAAGCCTCCCCTCAACACCCGCACGCACTCGCTTCGCGCCCTCGCCCACGGGCTACCTGCACCTCGGCTCCCTCCGCACCGCCCTCTTCAACTACCTGCTCGCCAAGCGCACCGGCGGCCAGTTCCTCCTCCGCATCGAAGACACGGACCACAAGCGCACCGTGCCCGACGCCGAGCAGCGCCTCTTCCACGACCTGCGCTGGGCCGGCCTGCACTGGGACGAGGGGCCCGGCGTCGGCGGCCCCTACGGCCCCTACAGGCAGTCGGAGAGGACCGCCGTGTACAAGCACCACGCCCGCCTGCTGCTCGACGCCGGCCATGCCTACCGCTGCTTCTGCTCCACCGAGCGCCTCGCCGCCCTCGCCCACCACCGCCACTCGCTCGGCCTCGCAACCGACTACGACCGCCACTGCCACACCACCCTCACCCACGCCGAGTCCGACGACCGCGCCGACCGCGGCGAGTCCTTTGTCGTGCGGCTGAAAGTCCCCGACCAGTACCCCTCGTACCACGACCTCATCTACGGCGCCTTCCACCCTCTCAAGAAGCGCGGCCATGTCTCCGAGTCCGCCTTCGAGGATCCCATCCTGCTCAAATCAGACGGCCTGCCCACCTACCACCTCGCCAACGTCGTCGACGACCACCTCATGCAAATCACCCACGTCATCCGAGGCAGCGAGTGGATGCCCAGCACCCCCAAGCACATTGCCATGTACAGCGCCTTTGGCTGGACCCCGCCTGCCTTTGCCCACGTCGGGCTGCTGGTCGACGAGAACGGGAACAAGCTGAGCAAGCGGAACTTCGATACCGACATCACAGCCTTCAGGGACATGGAGATATTCCCAGAGACGCTGACCAACTTCTCCGCTCTACTCGGATGGTCGCACAAGGAGAAGACAGACATCATGGACCTGCCCACCCTCGTCGACAACTTCTCCCTCAAGTTCACAAAGGGGAACACGACAGTAACGTTCGGAAAGCTGCATTTTCTGCAGCGCAAACACGCAAAGACACGCGCAGAAAAGGGCGGCCCCCAACTGCAAGAGATGGTGCAAAACGTCGCCACTCTCCTCACCTCCCCAGACTCGCCATACAAAGACTGGCGCAACATGCTCCGCACCCCATTCCCAGACGAATACATCCAGCGCATCATACAAGTTGACGCGGAAAACTACACAAACGCAAACGAATTCCTCTACCGGAACAGTTTCTTCTTCACCTCACCTCCCAAACCAACAACATCCACAAAGACTTCCCATGACGACGAAACCGATGCAGACCCCAAGGCTTTACCCCACGACATTCCCCCCTCTGCCCGCCAAACCCTCAGCAAAGTCTCTGCTTCTTCCTGGGACCGCGAGAACCTGATGCAGGCCGTTCGCGATATCATCGATGGACGACCCGAGGGCAAGGCGGGGAGTAAGCACGTCTACCATTATTTGCGAAAAGCATTGACGGGACAGGAGCAGGGCATGCGGATCTATGATGTCATGCTGATTCTTGGGAGGGAGGAGACGTTGAAGAGATTGAATTGTTAAGAGCAAAGAAACACCCCCAAAACCATAGCATCCATATGTCATGCCGCATTCTATGCCCGCGCCTGCAACAGCGCCCAAAACGCCCACCCATGCATCTTCTCCCGTCATACCATGTCCATCATGTAGTTCATAATTCAGCTCTTCATCTCCACCTCCTGGCTCTCTACCTGCCCCGCCCCATTCATCCCAAACACCTTGTCCTTGACCTTTGCTGCCAGAAGCCCAATGTCCTCTTCCCTCGCAATCTTGCTCCCTGCCGCGCCCAGCTTGGCCAGCTGTCCCTTGTCGGCTGTGTGTCCAGGCCCAGCGAACGCAGGTCCACCAAAGCCCCCGCCCTTGTTGCGCTTGCTGTGGGCCGTCTCCTGCTGCATCTTGCGCGCCAGGTCCGTAATCTGCTTGGTGCCGTACTCGCGGTTGCTGATGAGTGGGGACGACGAGAGCGTTTGGACCCAGTACTTGTTCCATAGGGCCTCGAGGAGTTTGGCGTCGAGCGAGGATTTGTAGTGCGTGACTTGAAGGGGGTAGTAGTGGTCGGCTTGGGCACCAAAGTCCATCATCTTGTCAAGAGGAATCGTCTGGAATCCATCGGCGTCTACCGTCTTGGAGCCCCCTGTCTTCTCTTTGTTCTCGACATACTCTGTTGAATAGGTGCGGAAGGCGCCAATTTCCACCTTGCCCGCCGAGACGGTCCTGTCAGGGTCAATGACGATGGCGCAAAAGGGGTCCTGGAACTGTTGCTGCGTCTTCTGAGTGTTGACATCGATGCCAGACAGCCAGCATCCATAGCCCGGATGACTGTGATACCAGCCCACGGCATTGTCACACTGACCCTGCTCACGCGCGCGCTGCAGGAACTCGACCATGTACTCGTTGGCCTCGTCCTGCGCGTTGACACGCGTCTCGGTGCCCTCGACGGGCAATCGAAAGGCGTCGGTGACGACAAAGGTGTGGGCTTCGATCTTGCCGAGCATCAAGCCCATGACTTCGATGCTACCGCCCGCGCGCGCGTGCATGACCATCTTCAGCAACGCCACTGCCGAGACGCGCACGCTGGTAAAGTAGTTTGGATCGGTGCGCCATGGGTGTGCTTCGTTGATGGACTTCTGTGCCGAGGCCGAGTATGAGTAGAGGGCGTCTTTGGTGGGGTCGACGAGTGCGACGGAGTTTTCGAGCTCTGGTGCTTGTTAGCTGCGGGTGTTGGAGCTGGAGCTGGAGCTGGGGTGTGTATGGCGGGGTGGGCGAGCGAGCGTTGAGCGGAGTAGGGAACAATAAAGCTTACCCCAGGTCTTGAGTGCGGTGCCCATGGCTGAAGACCCCGCGAGGTTGTGTGGCAAGGTTGTGTGGCAAGGTGGTGTGGCAAGGTGGTGTGTTGCTGGTTGGGGTGAGGCGAGGTGGGAGCTATCAAGTCATGGTGGGAGCTACCAAGTCGTGGTGGGGAGCTCTAGGTGGTACATTCACGCCAAGGCGACAGGCACCAGTAATGCACGTCACAACACGCAGTCCAAAACAACTCACGAAACTTGTTGAATCACAGAAGAAAAATAGCTACATCGACGGCCTCGCTCAATCCCCATTTCTAGCCCTTGCCTTTGCCTTTGCCCTTGCCCTTGCCCTCGCCCTTGACCCTCCCCTCTCCATCCTGCCACCCCATCCTATCATTCATCTTGCTAGCCTCCTCCTCCATCCGACTCACCCACCTCTTGGTCAGTTCCTCATTCTCCCGCTTCAGCCTCTCCTTCTCCTGCTCGGCCATGTTGAGCTGCAGATTCAGGGCCACCATCTCATCCTGCACCTCCTCGACGAACCTGCCCTTGCCCTTCAACTCCTCTGCGCGGTCTTTGCCCCGCCTCTCCAGGTTGACTTTGGTCTTCTCCAGCTGCGTGATGCGCTGTTTCTGAGTCGCGTCCGAGGCTTGCAAGGCTGCGAGGGTTGTCGTGAGGCTCGTGACCTGGGATTCGAGGGCGCTGCGGGTGCGGTGCGTCGAGGCGAGCTCAGAGCGGAGTTGGGCAAGGGTCGAGGGAGACGATGTGTCTGGTGGAGGCAGTGGGGGTTTGCCCTTGGGTGTGCCAGGGCGCAGGGTTTTAGTCGAGACACTGGGTGACGGAGCGGCCTCTTCAGTGGCGGCTGGCGGTTGACGTGCTAGAGTGGCTGTGCGGTCGGCGAGCTTGCTGTCTGTCTGCTATCAGCTTTGAACAGCCGCCATGTCCAAGCACAGTCGCCGTGTTTAAACACGGTCGCCATGTTCAAGCACACTTACAAGCGTCGACATAGCCTTGATGCGCCTTCTCCCGCGCATCGCGTGCCTCGAGCGCCGACAGATACTCGGCGAGCGGATTACTCATGGCGGCACATGTCGCAGTAGCAGACGACGTGGCGAGATTGAGGGCGCTGTTCGTAACATGGCAGTGTGCTACACACAGCAGCCTGAAATGTTGCGGACGCGTCAACGTAGACAGCGGGGTGTGCCCGTGTCCGATTCGTCCACATCGTTTCCACCACCCGTCCACAAATTGCAGACCTACCACTCTTTCTTCCTTCCTTCCTTCTTCCTCCTCCCTTCTTCCTCCTCCCTCCCTCCTCCTTCCTTCTCCCTGCTCACTACTCACTACTCATTTCAGTTGCCCCATCTCCACCACATCCACAATGCCACCCACCCACATCTCCAGCACTTCCCGCGCCCTCTACCGCGTCTTCATCGCCCCCAATCTCCGCACAAATACCCCAATCCCCCTGCAGTTCCTTCCCGCCTTCGCCGCCCCCACCGCCTCATCCTCGCATTCCCTCGTCTCGCGAACCACCGTGCGCACAAAAACTTATACAAAAGACACTCGCCGTCATGCCCTCTCCGACCACTACATCCTCGACGCAGCCATCACCTCGCCCCTCATAAACTTTGTCGACGAAGCTGGCAAATTCTACCCCAGCGTGCCCCTCACCGAGGCTCTCACAAGTTTCAACAAAATTACCCACCATCTGGTGCAGATGGCCCCAGGGAACGTGGATGGATACGGACGTCCGGCGAGCAACGACCCGGCCGACCTGCCAACATGTCGCGTCATCAGCAAAATATCCCTGCGCGAACAATTTCAGCACAAACTAGAGACGCTGCGTCGCCAAGAAAAGGGTCAGCCTGCCGGGCCGGCGCACAAGAATCTCGAGTTGAATTGGGCCATTGCAGGAGGAGATCTTAAACACCGCTTGGAGAAGATGAAGGGTTTTCTGAGAGATGGACGGAAAGTTGAGATTATGCTGGGGCCGAAGAAAAGAGGAAAACAGGCGAATGAACAGGAGGCGAATGCTGTCTTGAATGCTGTGAGAGAAGCCGTCGAAGAGTGCAAGGGTGCGAGCGTGGTCAAGAGCGAGGGCACGGTTGGGGGTGTCATGACGATTGTTTTTGAGGGCAGAAAGACGGACGAGAAGAAGATTAGTAGCGACGCCAAGTCGGGGGAGGGGGCTGAGGAAAAGGCAACATGAGGTAGATGAGATGTCTTTACAATGGAAACGAAACAGTCTCACCATATGCCTTCCACAGTTTACGCACGATAAATACGCCCAAACACCCTACACTGAGTCGCGGCCTACCCTTGACGAAGATCATACAGGACATGGACATATCCCATGTTGTATCATATTGTCAGAATATGTCCAACACAGCCTGTTGTCCACGAACAAGACGCAACAGCAAAAACTATCGTATCTATCTAGATAGGGCATCAATGTTGCTCTATCTTGTCCCGACATAATCATCAAGAGCACTCCGAGATCGACGCATCCAAAAATGACCTCTCGGTTAATCGAAATACAGGGAATGATGAACCTACGTTCTACTGAGCAAATCCGCTCTTGAATCAAAGAATTATGAGCCATAAATACACCAGACTAGGTGCATACCAGCAGTGCCTACAGCACACAAGTTTTATACAATGTTGGCACCTGGTTGTCCAGCCCTTGGGGAATTTTGTTATACATTGATTTCTGGTATTGCGACTCACTGAGAGGTAGCATCCGCAAAACAAGTCATTCATCATATCAAAACAACCATTCATAGTCGTAGTATCCCCAGTACCAGAAGCCAAATACCCATATCATATCCCACCCCCACCCCCACCTCCATCCCCGCTCCAACTACGTAGATGTCTGGCAACGTGTCGAAACAAGTCTCCTAGCTCTTTAGCCAAGCCCAGCCTTTATCCATTACAGCCTCTGGCGGCCCAACGTGCGATCGAGGCCTGTTCATATCCTCGAGAGGAATGAAACTCTCCGTTTCAAACTCCTCTGCATCGGGCATGGACTGCGTATCTGGAAGCTTAGGGTTCCGGATGACACAAGCGAAGAAGACAATGATCATCACGGCGCTGATACCCACGATGCAGACCAAACGTTGAACATGCATGTATGCCTGGACTACTGCTTCGCGCTCCACATTGCCACGTGGGAAAGCTTCCAGTAGCTCAAGAGGACTGTCGAACCACTGTGCTGCTCTGGTCGTGTCGGCGAGCCGCATCTCGAGTTGCAAGGGCATGATGTGGGACCAGACTACACCAGACACAGTGTTCCCGAGCGCGGCGCCGATACTGTAAGATGCGAGATATAAACCCGTGACTGCAGCGACGTGTTCGTGTTTGGTGGCCGCCTGAATGCTGGCCTGGGCCGGGTAGGGGAAAAATCCACCGCCGATACCGAGGAGCAATTGGGCACCGATGATACCAGCGTGGGCTGAGTTGCCAAACCCCCCACGGTAGTGGATCAGTAGTCCAAAGGCGACCATCCAGAGGAAGGTTCCGAACAGGATAAAGGGTTTGAGGCGCCGAACTCGGTAGACAACTAGACCGAGAAGGACGCCCAAGACGACGGAGACGAAGCTATACAACATCTGAATGCGGGTTGCAGACTTCGGTGTCTCATAGAAGGCAACAGCGAGGACCGAGTAAAGGAAGTCCGATTGACAAGTGAAAGCTGAGAAAGTTTAGCTGTGTAAATTTGATCACACCAAGGTAGGAAAATATGGCTTCAAATAGTGGTGCGACAGCAGGGTGCCTATAACATCAACACGCTCTAATGATGATAACGTGTTGCTATGGTATAGCCTCTTAATCAAGAGTAGCATTTGCATACGTCTCACTGTTTTGAGCCATATTATCCTGCCATGGGGTGTGATGCTGTGTCATTACTCACCAAAATTGAATGTGATTGCAATACCGAGGGCACCCCACACGGCGCGGTCTTTGAGAAGCTACAATAGTCAGCTTTGAAGTATACACGGCTGTCACACCACTTACTTTGAAGGGAATCATGGGATAGGGAGCCTTGGTTTCCCACCAAACCCATACCGGGATGGCAGTGAGACCGATGGCGAGTGGAAGAATGATCTCGGTTTTACTCCATTGAGCAGAAATGCCGCCAGCAATGGTGAGGGGTGTTAGGATGAACCCAAGCATAATGCTGGTCAAGGCAATGCCGATGACATCCAACTGCCAGAATAGCGCCTTTACCAGTTTCCAGCCGCCGTGTAATTGGTGCGGAGTTTTGATGGCGTCCAAGTCGCCTGATTTCTTCGCCTTGCGGGTAACCCACCAAAGGGACACTATGAGTGGAAGGGCGCAGACCGGATACAAAATGCAGAACATACCAATGCCCCAGCGCCAGCTGAGGTTACGAAGGACAACGGCAACGACATCACCGGAGATCCAAGTGTTGATGAGGAAGGGTAGTGCCGGGACGTAAGAGAAAAACACTCGCGACCGGAGTGAGGTGGTGTCAGCGATGACAACTTCGACGAGCAGAATAATGGCTGTGTAACCAGTCTAACATAGTCAGCAAAGTTACGATACCTGTAACTACATCATCTTGAAGCTTGCCTGGTAAAAGACAGCACCTGCAGCAAACATGACAATGTTCGTGCTCGTTGCTTCCATGACCGAACCTGCAAATTGTAAGTTTAAACTACAAAGTGAATGAAGGTCACTCACCAATGATGTAAAAGAAGATAGAAACAAGGATCAACTCGGCACGGCCAAACACGTCGGCAACCTTGGCTGCGGTGGGCTACGAGTTTGAGTTAGTTGAAGTATGAATTTCAAAAGTCGTTCGATCATACCTGACAAACCGCGCCTACAATTGAGCGCAAAACCCCTAGAGTCGCTATGAACTGGTGATTACCTAGTTTCGAAGTAGCAACAGGTTGGTATGAGCCTCGCACGCTTCCGTCCAGTCCATAGGCGAATGCGATCAAAAACACTCCGATGAAGATGCAGATTCGATTTCCGAGAGTGATGTGCTCAGCAATGATCTCGATTCTGGCGACACCCGGCGACGTGGTGTCGATGGGAATTTTCCCGACGCGAGCACTACGCTTATCGTCGATGAAGCTGGACGTCAAGGTCGTTGGGGACGTGAAGGCCGGTCTCTCTTGCGTCTCAGACATTCTGCCGCTCATCGACATGATGTGATCGAAGAGGTTGGGAGAGTGGTTGTAACGAGAGTGTGCGGGAGGAGAAGAAGCGAGTTTAGAGGAGCAGGACAGTGCAGGTGAAGCAGCAATATCTCTTGGCGAACGTGCTAGTCGATTGAGTAAACGGTTGTTGCAGTTGAACCGAGTGATTCGCTGCATCAAAGAACAAACGAAGAGAGAAACAGATCCTGTGACGAATTGGAGCGGGCCGAGCACGGCGTCAGCAGGGCAACAACAGCGTCAACAGGCTCTGTTGATAGTAACGTGCTGCTATGCTGAAGTCCCCTGCTAATTAAATAGTATGTGCAACTTTTTTCACACATCTAGAGACATAACTGTTGTGTATCAGTAGCACCGCATATTTTTGATCAGCGAGACCACTCTTTGAGCCATGTTTTCCTAGACGGGGGTACTACGACAACTTGAATTGTGAAAGTAACCGTGAAAGGATGAAGGATTAGCTGGTTTCACATAGGAACCTGGCAGCACGTTACAAGCCTTCACCGTCTAGGGATCACTTCACCAGAGCACAGTGTAGTGAGTGCCCACCACAACTCGACCAAAGGTCGTAGCTTTACGTACAAGCTACACAATCCGTCTTCTTGGTCATTTGGAATACCAGGAACCAAGATGAAGCGAAACCTTGCCACAGCTTAACAACTACATGTAAGGTTAGTGTAGGAGTCTTGTGCCTACATTTCTGGCATCATACGCCTAGTGTGCACTTTTGTAAAACATGTGAATTTGACTTTGTAGTTTACACAAAACGTAGCTTACTTCCCACTTTTCTGATAGCCGTCTTATAGAGAAAACTAGAGGAATAGCAAATGGTACAATGAAAGTCGCAGAAGAGGTAGCAATATACATAACAAGATGCACAATCGAACCCCCACACCTTTTGCTTTGTCGCAATCAAACAAGATAAGGGGTACACAAGAATCTCCCAACAGTCCTTATTGGAAGTGCCGTGCAGTTGCGTATTCCTAGCGAGGCCACGCCGCGGGACATGCAAATCCGGGGTGAGATCATCGACGTTACACTGTGAGATTCGACACTTTGTCGTGAGCAACCTTGGAACTTGTGGAACTCTACCGGGATGTATGTTGTAAACGTGTGACGGCAAGCAACAACAATCTATGTACGTTTATAGGTTTCTTCCATCGTCATACTGAGCACTAATATCTTTCGAGGTTTCAGTGTCATTTTCACAACAGTATTGAACACAATCATCCCTAGATCATTTTGAGTGATAAATTTGTTAATTAGCCCAGCGTAATACCCTTGTTCGAGTTGATCTTCACCAGCCGTTCTCCTTCGCAAGAACATCCCACCCCACTAATCTCCAAACTTCCTTCCGATACCATTCCTCCACGTCTTTGTTATCGACTTTAGCCATGCTCTGCAGTGAGCCCAAACGCATGGTAGGTACAGGCTCGGTGAGTACGTCGAGGAATTCATCATGGGCTGTCTCCCCATACATACACGCGATCAGCGTACGTTGGAGGCGCTCCTTTGCAATCGGACTCAGACGGGCTCTTGACGTGGTAGGAAGGGTTTTTAGACTCAATGTGCGGCCAAGTCGATTTGTTTTCGCTATCTTCGTGGAATGAGCATTCATGTGATGCGGAGCCAGCCCCATAGCTCGTTCAAGAACGAGAATCAACGCCTTGACCTCGAACCGAACAGCGAGCGTGTCGGTGCTTTGTTTTGCTATGTCGGTCGCTGCCTGAGGTTGTGGTAGGGACATGATGTTGTTTTCAACGTTGGTGCTGCGGTGACGTCCGAAAGTGCAGTAGTATAATCGCTTTCCAACTCGCTCGAGTAGGATGTACACGAAGCCGTCGAAGATCTTCTGGTGTGTTGGATCGGTTTTGTCGAGGTGTCCAAGCAAGCTGATGAGAAAGTGCGCCAATGCTCGGGCGGATGGAGACTCTCTCACAGTGTCTACGAGCGGCTTAGCTTTGCCTTTCTTCGATTGTGCGGGCTCGGAGATGACTGTATGTGCAGTTTGATGAGCAGATGCTTCAATTGCGCGAAGTGCCGTCTTGAACATCTCAACAAGTTCGCATACCACTAGACTTGGGAGTCTTGTATCCTGTCCTGCGCCCACCATCTTACTGGTGCCTACGAGCACTGATAGAAAGGTTCGCGCGCAGACTGTTAGCGCTATTACAAAGTCGGATTTGTCCTGATGTAGAGGAACGGTCTCGACAGTTTTTCGGCCCTGTCGTGACAGAGCTTCGTAGTTATGAGCCGCAAAACAAATAACTCGACCCAGCATGGAGGCTGTTTGAACCAAACTCGAGCATAGCGCATCTGCATCCAAGTTTGTAGCTCTGCAATACGCATGGGCTGTATAAAGAGCTTCTGTGAGTTTCGCACCATCTGTTTCCATATCAGCAGGAGCGAGGAGGGAGTGGCACTATGCTTACCCTCGCCCATGCCATCAAGAAAATTGAAATCATTGTTAATGGTCGTTTGTGCCCCAGCCGCCGATTGTTCGCCCTGTTTCTGGAGTGAAACTTTTGCACGCTTTGGTACCCTCACTACTACCGTCGACGGTGCTTTTCGCTTTGATGTGGCGGAAGCAGAGTCGACAGAAGGGTTTGGTATCATGCTTGTCAGGTTGGAGAGAAGGTGATTGGACCGCTCGAGCTTGATGTTGATGGCACAGAGTCTGTCGCATTCGTCCTGAGCTCTTTGGCATTCATCCTTCCAATACGCGACTAGATCGAGGTAGCGGCAGTGTTCCTGTTCGTTGTTGGCGGGCTTACCGCGCCTTATTTGACGGCGCAGGTGTAAAACGTGGTCTTGCGAATCAGCTGTACGATGGGGAAAGACGGTTAGCAATGCACCTACCTCGAATTGCGATATTGAACGGCTTCGATCGAATGATTGCGATGGCTAAAGCGGCTTGTGCCGGGGAGGGGGCGATGGGAGTCGAGGGAGCCGGCGAGCTCGGCGCCATTGGGGTTACCAGAGTCCAAGCAGAGAAAGTCGACAGGATTGGGATGCGAATGGCTACGTGTAAGAAGAGCGGCCAAATGTGAGTCGCTTCTACGATACGAAAAGCAGTGCGATGGGGCTGATGCGGCTTCAGTGCATTGCATACACAAGCAGAGGAGCAGAGGAAGAAAAGGAAGGGAAGTGATGCACGGAACAGCGACAAATGGTGAGTGTGATGGCGAGTGCGATGTGGTGGGTGCATGGCAGGTGGGGGTAACCTGGAGACGGAAGGAGCAACCACGTTCCAACGGGTCAACTCACCAATATTCAATACAGCCACTAGAAGTCTAGGAGGTCGCTCGAGGCCCGATGATATAATACATGCGAAGTAAAGCACTGCTTTTACACCCATTGATACACTTGCAGTCATGCACACTCTCGCCATGCTAACAGCTCCTTTTCCCCTCTAGCTCAACGCATGCGCTCCGTCCGCCTCTTATATGGCAGTGGATCGATTCTCTTCCTCTTGAACTCAACATTGATCTGGTCACTCATTCCAGCCCGCTCCATGACGCCCGCCATGCTCTCGTCCCACTTGGTCCTGAACAGGGTCGCAGTGATGGGGTGCAGCTTGTGTTTGTCGACAAAGCTTCGTAGGATGAAGCCGTCCCGCTTGGTCTCGCTGAGCTTGGTCATGTCCAGTTTGGATGCCTCGTTTTGCTCGAGAACGAAGACGGCCAAGCGGTGGTAGGGCGCACCCTTGTGAGCCCAAGGCGCATCCCAGGGCAGGGCAATCTTCTTGGCAGCCGGGTCCTCTGTCTTGACGTCCTCGTGGGCGATGCGTTGCAGAGGAATGGATGTCTGGGTGGGCGAGATGGAGATGTTGGAGGCGATGAAGTGGCAGCGGTAGGTGAAGCCGTCGTGGTCTGGCACGGGTACGTCGGCGTCGACGACTACGACCGAGACTAGCTTCTCTCCGGGGGTGAAGGTCTGGACGCTCAGTCGGGGCATCTTCTCGCTGATGGCCGAGTCGACGAAATCGCCGGGCGCCACCGTCTTTCGCCCGAAGCCAAGGTCAATGTCTGCGACGAGATCCAGCGAGGGGAGCAGATCGGGGACGATGGCCAGCTGGGTGACACGCTGGTCGAGGACGAGACGCTTGTACTTGGACCACTTGCGTTCGGCGAGATGGCGGTAGATGGGCTTGTTCATGTCCCCTGGGCGCGTTAGCTTGGAGGGTGCTCGTGGCTGCGCGGTGGGCTACCTTGGCCGTCCTCGAACTTGCGCTTGACGACGGGGTCGTTGATGTCGGCCAGGATGACGAGGTCGTGCAGGTGCGCCTTCATGCTGCGCAGCCTCGCGTCTTTGCGGGCAGCGCCGCCGCTCACGGCGGGGTCCTGGTCGGCGAGGTTCTGGATGCGCAGCTGCTGCGTCTCCATGTCCCGCAGCTTCTCCTGCCTGTCGTCGAGCAGGACCTTGCGCGCCTCCTGGAAGCACTGGTAGGGGAGCTGCTCGAAGGGCACCTCGGGCGCCCGGTTGGCCGAGCGGCGCAGGACGGCGCGGCGACGGCGCGACCCCACGGGCTGGACGTGCTCGCGCCGCAGCAGGCGGCGCTCCTGCTTCTTGGTCTCGACCGTCTGCGGGTCGAGGGCGCCCCAGTCCAGCATGTATGCGGGCGCGGCGTCGGGCGACGGCCGGGTGTGCAGCTCCTCGCGGGCCACGGCCGTCGACGACAGCAGGCGGCGCGGGGCTGGTCGCACGCAGCGCAGGCAGGCGCTCAGCGGGCGCATCGACGGGCGGAGGGAGGCCATGGTGGCTGGCGGGGCGGTGGTCGAGTGCGGTGGAAGGAGTCTTGGCGCCGACGTTGTGTTTTCGCTGCTGACCAATTCGCCCGCAGTGGTTTTGGCAGACGCCCGCGCTGCACCTCGCACCGCACCGCCGCACCGCCGCCAGCATGGCCAGCCTCCCGCGCCGCCTCACGCCCGTCGCGCCCTTGTCGGCGCAGACGGTGCTCGCGACCATCCACCGCTTCCCCTCGCTCGAGCCGCTGCGCTTCGAGGCGTACCCCGCCAGCCACCTGCACCTGCCCACGCGCAGAGACATCCTGCACCGCGCCGTCGTCTACGAGGGCGACGGCACGCGGCTGGGCACGGCGTCGACGAAGACGCGGCACGAGATCCGCGGCTCGGCGCGCAAGGTGCGGCCGCAGAAGGGCACCGGCCACGCGCGGCTGGGAGACAAGAAGTCGCCCATGCTCAAGGGCGGCGGCGTGGCGTTTGGCCCGCGGCCCCGCGACTTCTCCACGGCGCTGCAGAAGAAGGTCTACGACCTGGCCTGGCGCACCGCCCTCTCCTACCGCTACCGCAAGGGCGAGCTCATCATCGTCGACAACGCCATCGAGCTGGAGAGCCCGTCGCCGCGCCTGCTCGACGACGTCTTCACGCTCCACGACAAGCAGCGCGGCCGCGGCCGCAGTCTGTTCGTCACCCTCGAGCCACGGCCCATGATGGACCAGGCCTTGCGCGCCATGGGCCGCGACGGCCAGGCCCTGCCGTGGGACCGCGTCGACGTCAAGGACCTGCTCGAGCTGTCCCGCATCGTCATCGAGCGCGACGCCCTGCACAACATGCTCCTTGCACACCAGGAGGACCTCACCCACAAGCCCGTCCACCCACGCCACCCGGCCTTTGTCCGCTCGTCGCCCCCCGCCGCCCTCGAGTCCACCGTCGGCTGGCCCGAGTTCCGCCGCCTCATGCTCACCCACGCCGCCGAGAGAGACGCCGCCCGCGCACGCGCCTACGAAACCGTCGCCGCCGACCGCTACACACACGCCGAGTCGCTTCCCGAGGGCCCGCAGCGCACAGAACTCACCGTCTCGGCGTATGACCTCCTCGCCGAAGCAAGGCAGCTCCAGTTCACCGCGAGGACAGGCTTCGACTTCCGCGAGTACCTGCGGCGAGGCAACGACGACGAGACCATTGCCCTGTTCCCGCGCATCCAGGCTCTTGACTACCAAATACACATCAAATCCGGACTCGCCACATCTGCAGCCGAGACTTCGCGCGCAAAGTACGAAGACCTGAACCTCGAGATTCGGGAACTGGAGATCCAGAAATTGGACATCATGGCAGACGCTGCCCTCCTCGCCGCACAGGTCCACGAGCACGTTGCCGAATCCCACACTCTAGCCGGCAACGAGGCATCCGTCGAAGAAACGCTGGCCATGGCAAGCGCCGAACGCAGCAATGTTGATGCCATGGACTTGCAGTTGCTGGAGGGGAAGCTGGAGGTTGCGAGGCAGCAGGGCGTTGTTGCTGGGCTAAAGGGGGATTACGTGACGCAGAGGGCCGCCCAGAAGAGTGTTGCTGAATACAACGCCATGGTTGAAACCAAGCGGAAGGAGACGGAGGAGTGGGAGACGACAGATGCGGAGCAAGTGGAGGAGGACGCCATGGAAGAGCCGGTTGTCGAGAAGAAGTCAACAAATACATGAACATGAAGAGCGCCTTGTTTCGAAAAGTCTGTATTATCGTACACTGTATATATAAACCTTCTTGTGGCCACGCACAATGGCCTTCCATGCCTGATTTGGACACTACTTCATCACCTCCACGATAGTCAGCCGCTCATCTATCTAGCCTCGACATCTTGGTTCCTAGATAGTGAAATGATGAGTTTGATTGTTACTGGAGTAGCTCCCATTAATCATGTCAAATTGTGTCGCAGCAGGTATATACAGTCACGAGCCGCGTACTGAGCTATCGGTCGATCGGTATTTTGGTCGCGACAAATTGTGTTTCTAGTGAAACATGTCACCAATGTATGATCAAGTCTCGTGGTGTAGTGTCGAAGTGGTGACATGGGGATATGCTTATCGCCGGCTTCGGAGCCTACTCAGCCAACTTCGCTGATCATGACCATCAGATCACTGCTACGTTTCTATCGCTTCTACACTTATAATTCGCGTGGACTAACAAACGTGCCCTTCCTATTCTTTCATCATGTCACAAACGATACGCATTTGCATGCTCAATGCCGATATTCCAGTGCCGAACGTCTTCGCCCAACGAGCCCCCACTTACGGTCGTATCTTTCACGGGTTGATTCGCGATGCAGCTTTACGAGTTGCACCAAATGTGACTATCCAGTCTGTCGATTATGATGTACGGAGCGGCGAATATCCAGCAGGACTCGACGAATTTGACTCGATCGCTGTCACTGGCTCCGCTAGTTCGACATACGACGACCTGGAGTGGATAAGAAGACTCGACCAGTATCTCCTCGATGTATACTTCAATCACCCTCGTATCAAGATGTTTGGCAGCTGTTTTGGCCATCAGCTGATATGTCAAAGTTTGCTCAGGGAGTATGGAGCAAGAGTTGAGAGTGATCCAAATGGCTGGGAACTCGGTGTACAAGAAGTCACATTAAAGAAGCGGTTCCATGATGCCATGAATCTTCACTGGAGATTTGATCGACTCAAAGACATGCCTGAGAAGATGCGCCTCCAGTTCGTCCACCATGATCATGTGGTGATTCCTTCACTAAACACATTACCAAACTCGTGGATGACGCTGGGTTACACAAAACACTGTGCAATACAAGGGGTCTATCAGCCTGGCCGTGTCCTCACATTCCAAGGGCACTTCGAATTCGACAAATTTGTGAACAGCGAGACCATAAAGTTCTTCTTTGCACCCTGGAAGAAAGAGGAGGTGGAGAGGATTCTTGAGACGGTTGATGCAGATGACGACTCGCTAGCGGCAGCCGAGATTGTGCTGTCATTCCTGCTCGAAAAGAATACAGGGTCGAGCGCTGCATCATACTCCATTGCAGATGGACTATTAACGCCACCATTAAGCGGGTGATCTCCAGCCGTATTAACTTGGCAAGTACTCTACTGGACCGTAGTATATGCTTGAACTCTATGGGAGATTTTCGAAGTGTCAACGAGCACATTTTCGCTTGATACTGCATTTTGCTTCATATGCTTCATATCACTTCCAGTGTCAATCCGTCTCAGCTGGTCGTGTTCGTACTGTTGATCTCCATAGGTCAGTGTCATCACACAGTTGTCCAGTAGAGAATTCCAGGCTCAGATAGAATCAACACACCCTTGTAAAAACAGCAATACCATAATGACTGCATTTGAACGTTTGTAGCAGTCTACGCGCTGGAGATCAACGTTCTTTTGCGATTCGGAAAGGAAGCAGCTCTTTGCCGCCACAGGTGCACTCGGATTCTACTACGAATTAGCGGTAAAACGAGATCGAACATGTCCGAGCTATTACCCCGACGAACGAAGATGCTTGTCGATGATGTACTGGAGATAAGGAGATCACGCTACGTGTAACAGGTCAGCGCCCATGCGAGCTATGAAAGGATGTCGATGTCAAGACGACATGAAGATTACGACCCGTTGGTCTGTACAAACATTGAGGTCAAATCTCACAGTGCGGAAGTGAGATATACAGCACACCAGAAGCAGATGTGGGCAGTATTGTGCGAACTGCATCGACAAGAAGAACAAGAAATGATAGTATAGGTCTGTTAACTAGATAGTGTCGCGGAATAGGAGTGATTGCTCCGTTATTCAACCACTCAGCGGTTAGGCATATACCGTGTACGAAGGTTAGCCAATAGATAGAGGAGGTGCGTTTGTCAGAGAGATGATGGAGCAGAAGTTCGTCAATAGGTCTCAAACAACTCAGGAAACTAGTGGCTTTAGTTCAGTAGAGTTCTACAGCGTATTCGTTTGCCAAAAGCATTTGCAACGCCCATCTTGTTTTGAGGGTATTTTGTTTGATTACTAGTGCCCATGATGAACATGAAGGTGATCCATGGCTTGCCTCTTCATCCCATTCACTGACTCTTCTGACAGCAGCTTCTTCGCTGGCAGCAACTCACGACTCTACACGAGCACAATGGCTACATTTCAGACGGTGATGGAAGATGGATACCTTTCGCTCTACTCTTCATATGCCGACACGTACTGACAGCACCTAGACTGTTCAATAACCCACATCTCTCTGACGTCACGATAGGACAGACTTCCAATGGTGTCACTAAAGAGTACTATGGGCACAAAACAGCGTTCAGCTTGCAGTCAGATTTCTTCATGAAGGCTTTCAACGGCGGCTTCAAGGTGAGATGTCCTTGAAATCAGGACAAGTCGTTCCGCAATTGATCTCCATGCCAGGAAGTTTCAGAAGATATTATTGAGCTTCACAATGATAGCCCCATGCACTTCATGATCATGTTGAAGTATCTGTATACGCTGAGATGGAAGTCCCGGCCGAAAACAACCAATACATCACTCCCATTGATGTATGGATCGTTGTCGACAAGTATGACTGCAACTATTTACGGCAAGCGGCAGTCAAGGGATTCAGCGAAGCGTCCGAAATCAGTCTCGATCGTGCGGTTTAAGTCGTTCTGGATTACTCTCAAGTATGCATGCGAATAGACTCGCCCCTGGGAACGGCTATCGCGTCTAGTTTGATATACAACTCAAAGAAGCTCCACAAAACCACGCAGATGAAGAAGCTCTTCAAGACATATCCTGTCTTTGCTGCCGATGTGATAGTCCGCTGCTGTGATTAGGGGGGAAGGTTATGGTAAGCACTCTACCGTGGTGCGGCTTGGGGTGACGCACCACACCTTTCTAGAGAAAAGGGATGGGAAATATTTTACATCCTCGACCATATACCTCAAACAATATGGTTAGGAACGAGGAATGCGTTCACACCTCCTAGATTTTCTCGGCGTCATGTCTTTCCAGCCACATCAAGGTGAAAAGGTAAAAATGAGTGCACAACTTTGGGATGGAAACTCCACTCCACAGATCAAGCAGCTGGTACGTGAAACCAAAGCAATACATAATCTAGTATTTCACACATGTAACGACCCAAATCAAACGCCGAAACAGCTTATAGAACGTCAGTCCATCTCATACAGCAAGCTTCTCGTCCGTGAGCCTATGCTTATCAGCCCAAGCGAACACCTCGTCATAATTACGGCAAAGATGGACCGCTCCTGTGCCATCCGTACCTGCCACATCCTTGAACATATCTTCCTGGCTCTGCCCCTCTAGCGTCGTATCGGCGGCGCACATGATCGTATTCCGCAAGTAGTTGAAGCAATGATCGTTGTGCCCAAGCAGACCCTCATTCACAGTCCAGTCCTTGTTGCGGATCTTCATCACGAGCTCGTCAACAAACTCTGTCATATGGTAGAGGCAGTGCAGTTCGTGAAACACGGCAATGGCGTAAGACTGCCTACCGGGAGCATAGTCAAAATGCATGGGCGGGGGCAGAGAGTAGGATGCGTAGTTGGGTATGTCCATGAAGCCAGCGCCGCCTGTGGAGGTGTTAGAGGGTATGGCGATAGTGTGATATAGGTATGAAAGGGTGGCTTACGAGGCATGAGGTCCATCCAGGCCATCCTGCTAGCATTCATTGACTCCACAGTCTTGTGGTCTGAGGTATATCTTGTATCTGTGCGGAAGATTTTCTTCTCCTGGGAAACTTTGTGAAGTCAGTAAGAGGAATGCGCCTATGAAGATATGCAGTCAAAGACTACAAAATAATACAATGAAACACCCACAGTTTGGTATAAGCCCGTTGAGCTCTCCTCCGATTTGCATCGAACTCGACTGTTTATGTAGAATGGACAGTTCGCAAACAAGGATGATCAGTAGGAAGACAAACGTGGCGGGCCATCTGAGAACTTCCAATTTGTCGAGAAACCTAGAAAACCTTGCTCTCCAGCCAGGTCCAGGATGGGTTTGCTGTTGCTCAAGTGTATCGTCGTGAGAAGAGCTTTCGCTGCTTACTTTCGCGTAGGTGAACGGCATTATATCGTCCAGAAGTGTTTTCGCCTGGGAGAAGAAGTTCATTAGTGTCTGAACTATGCAAAGCTCTTGTCCTCGCAAGGTGGCGAAGTTGGTCTCTGGCCTAAAAGCCACAAGCCAGATTTGAAGTTAGGGTCGCAATAAGAGATGGGCAAGAACTGTAGTACAGCTCCAGATGGGAATTCAGGTATTTCATCATAAAAGGTTTGTGGTCTTAGCGCATGCCAAGCGTCTTTCACTGTTGAAAACACTATTCAGATCCAGAAAAGGTAACAATTGCGCTACCCTTTCCCTGAGCCCTTGCAAAAAAAAGACTTCATTAAGGCCCGTATCAAGTGGCGTTGAAGGCGTCGGTTCCGAGAGGATTCGCTTAGGATTGGTGAGCAAGGGGATTGCGGGGATAGCGTTTGTGGCTTGTGAAGGGCGTACCCGATCTGGCCGCACGATATTCTGCAGTCGTCTGACACCAGTCTGATATCAGATTGATGGCTACTCGTGGCTGACAGCAGGTCCAAAGTTGGTACCTTTAGATTTGGTGCAACGTCGGCCACGCCTCGTACCATCATTTCCACCTCTTTTCTTTGGGCACGAGTTCCAGTTTTTGGATGAATTCAAGTCTGATTCGACTGTCCATCATGTGGGAAAGTCTCCATGTACGATTCGAAAACATCCACCAAATCTGGTTGTACAGCCGTGCGATCTTGTTTCAACGATTCTTTGGTGTTCTCCCGCTTCTTCTTTACGCCTACAGCCCTCCTATGTGTACGACTTTTGATGTGCAGTTCCCAGTCATTTTCAGTGACCGCAACCGTCCCGCAACTCTCGCAAACCCTCTTTTGCCACAGATCTGGTCGCTGACCTAGGTCATATGCGCGCTTTGGAGTGAGCATCTCAGCAGCGGCCGGCGACAACGTACACGGATCCGGGAGTGGCTGGCCGGAGAGAAATTGTTCAGTTATAGATGTGGCAGGGCTTGTAATTTGTTCGTTCCATCGGGCAAGGTCAGAGCCATCGACAAGAAATATCTTGCTCTTTTGGCCTGCGCCAAACAGCGCGTTCAGAAGCTTAATGCGAATCCATTTAATCTGCCGGCTCGCATACTGCCTGGTAGCTGCCTGAGTCTTCTCGATAGCTGTAATGCTTGTCTTCTCAAGATCCGGTGCATCCTGGGAGAGAGCTTGCTGATAATCTAGAAACTCTTTGTAACCAATAGACACCCAGATTCCGCGACTCTGATCCATGAGGGTCCCTGTACGAGCTTCATAGCTTTTACGGAAGTTTGTGAGCTCTTGTACTTCAGAGAGAAGGCCCCGGTTGATCATTTTATCCACTCGCGCATCCAACCGCGGGTACAACACATCTTTGTTCGTATGAACCCAGAATAGAAGGGTGGGGAACCGTAAGCCCGAGCTGCTGCTGGTCATAGCTCCGTCTGGTCCAGGTGGCACCTCTCGGCTTCGTCGCTGTTCGTCATAGATTTGCGAGGCTGGTTTCCCAGTTCTGAGGTAGATCTCAAGCGAACGTTGGATCTTCCGCCTTTCATTTGGATGCCATCGGTCCGCCATGACTGGATCCACTTCTTTCAATTCTGCCAAAATCTTCTCCGTAGGTTCGTCCAAGATTGGGAAATGTCTGCTATTTTCTTTTAGATCCAAAGCAGATTCATCTGCAAGGGCATCCTGGAATAAGAGTGATTGAGTGTAGTAGTGGGTTCCGCCAACAAGGATCGGTAGCTTCCCGCGACTCCTGATCTCTTCAATCTGTGAGGCATTAGTTCTTTCCTGGTCCGAGTCCGAGTACACATCATACACACCACACCAAGAGCTTCGCCCACAAATTTGCCGACAGTCCAGGTCTCTTCGTCCAGGCTGATGCAGCCCAGGAGATGATGCGGGATTCCCATCATCTCATCCTGCGTGATCTTGTTGGTAATGATTGGCAAGCCCCGATAGAGCTGCATCGCATCGCCATTGACGACTTCTCCGTTGAATTTGCGCGCTATTGCCACTGCCAACTACCTACTGTGATCAACTTCATTCGTGCCAGTGAATTCTAGCTGACTCTTACATCTGACTTGCCAGTTCCGGTCGCGCCGACGATTGCGATCAAGGGTTTGAGTGGCGCCTGCGCCATTCTGAGTGTGCTCAAAGGTTTGATGAGTCGAATCATACATTTACAGATATTCGTAGAAGTGTTGTAGAAACGTTTGGTGTGTTGACTGGTTGGCTAGTGTCCATGCAAGTGGTCGAGTGATGGATGAAAAACACTGGGCCGAACCATCTCCAAGATCCGAGCCAATCACTGCATGCTTGCACGAACATTGGACGGCTAGTGCTGAACCGTGTTAGTTGGAGCATTTTTTTTAGCATAAAAACACCTAAGTAGATGACACCACTCTAAACAAAATTTCAAGGAGAAGACAACGAAGAATACGTGCGCCTAGAGAGCTGGAGAATCGTAACACGTTGTTTCTAGTAGAAACAAGCAAGATCCCGCTTTGACGCCGCCAGTTGAGGCTAGACTTCATATCTCTCTATACACACTTGTTTGAAGGCGGACACCGAGAGTCCTTTTCTTCAATCATATGCATATTGACCGTTTACTCTTCTCTTCACGTCAATGGAGGGTTATAGGCCTGCTATCCATACTGCGCCAGCATGCTCTTCTGTATCTCCTGGAGACTTCAAACAGAAAAAACTTATTTCCCCGTCTTCAACTTTCGAAAATTGGTGCTCATATGTACGTCCTCCGACTCAACAACACACATGTTATGCATGCCGAAAACCTCTCGGCATGCACAATGATTTCTGATTCAAGATATAGCATGATCCCAACTGGGCCGATGTAGATGGTATATATGCAAATGCGGCGGTTAAGGGCTTCAATGAGCAGTCTAAATGCATCACTTCTGATCTAGCATGTGCTTGAACTTCTCAATCTGCGTCGGGGTTAGTTGAAGCCCAATTTCAAAATCCAACACGTTTTCGAGCGGATGTGAGAACAACTCACCTTGGTGCTCAAATACTTCTCCACCTCCTCGCTATTGATGCCCTTCTCACCGCCCGTCTTCCACGCAATGGGCACCATGGCGACGCGTTCTCTGACGACAACCTCCCGTCTCGGCCCTTCGACCGCATGCACTTTGTCCGGGTTGTTCGTCAACAGACGAATGCCCCTCTCGCCATCAAGCCCCAGATCCATGAGCATGGCCGTGGCAAGCCCGTAACTTCTCGCGTCGGCGGGATGTCGCAGCATGATGTTCGCCTCGTATGTATCGTTCCCCAGATCTTGGAGATTGTATGCTTTGAGCTTCTCACCCAGGCCGATGCCGCGGCCTTCTTGGCGCAAGTATATAACTGCACCGCCGGAGGGGGAGAGTGTGGGGTCGGCCATGAGACGCGCAGCCTCGTCGAGCTGCTCACCGCAGTCACAGCGTGCAGACCAGACGGTCTCGCCGGTGTAGCATTCGGAGTGGATGCGCACGAGGGGGAGGTCGGAGGCGGAGATGTACTGGGCGTCACCGTCTTCGGAGGACGCCGAGGAGGGGGAGAGGAGCCCGTTGCTGGCGTCGGCGTGCTCTGCTGGCTTCCGTTTCGTGGCCACGCCTTCTGCTCGTTTGATCTGCTCGATGCGCGAGCTCGTTCGGCCGGGGTAGAGGCGGCCGACGTAAGCACCCCTCGTCATGCGGTCGAGCTCGGTCTCGCCAGGCCGCTCGGCATCCAGCGACCTCGACCGGATTCCACTGCCAAAGACGATTGCGAGGTGCTCTTTCGTGTCGACGCTGTTCCGGTAGACATGCAGCCACATCTCGTGTCCCGTGGTGGTGGGGATGCGGGCGCGCACCTCGCACTCTACCTCGGGCAGCTTCTGCAGCAGCTCAGGCCGTGGGGAGGCCGCCGCCATGGACGTGTCAACAGGCACGGAGCGGGGCGGGCGCGGGTGTGAGGGTGTCGAGGTGCCCGGCGTCGCTGGGGGGGTGAAGGCCGGCGAGATCATCGACGGCGGGGGCTCGTGCGACACGACACGGTGGAGCGCATCCGGCTCTGCATCCTGCCCGCTGGCGGGGAAGTCGAAGCCGTCGGCATGCTCGCTGCTGGAAGGGTGCGGCGAGTAGAGTGGCGGGTAGGGCCGTGACGTGTGGGCGGGTGCTTCTGCCATGGGCAACAGCGATCGCGGGTGGAACGGGAGGCGGCGCGGGACTAACAAATTGTGCAAGAGGCTTCTAGCAGGCGCTGCGCATCGGTGGGCGACGTCTGGGGGAGGGCAGGGAGGCAGGGAGGCGGGGGGAGGCCGTCATGTCGTCGCGCTGAGTCCCTCGGTGCCGAAGACACTTTTTGTGGGCTGGACCGAAGCCGAAACCGCATGCCTGTCATCGGGAGGCGTGCGGAACAGCGCCGACGTTCGACCGGACTGCCTGCATACCGCAGGGCAAGCACCGTCTCTGAGTAAGCACTTGAAAGCAATGCACCAAGGGCCAAATTTATTGTTACAATACAACCATGTCCAAAGTACGTCAACGTCACCCCCCGCGCTACACGACTCGCGCCTCAGTCCACCCTGCGTTCTCTCCCCCAAACCTCGTCGGCGTTCTTCTTGCCCTTGGTCTCTGGCACGTACCAAGATATGAACGCGAAGAAGAAAGCAGACAGCGCCGCAAAGATGAAATAGACCTTGCCGTGCAGCTTCGCGCTCGCCAGCGGGAAGAACTGCGCGACAATGAACGTGGCGATCCAGTTGGCTCCAAGCGCAATGCTCTGCGTCGCATCAACGGCATCCGGACCCACGAGTTCGCTTGCCAAGATAAAAGGCACCGGGCCGAGGCCCAGACCGAAACTCGAAACAAACAGCAGCACAGCGACGGCGGACAGAGCAGGCATCGCCTTGATGATGCTCACAGCGAGGAGCAGGGAGCTGACTCCCATGCCGGCGATGGAGCTCAGGAGGCATGTCTTGCGGCCTAGTTTGTCGGAGAGAGGCGCGCATCCGGCCGTGACGATGATGTTGAGCGCCGAGACGGCGAGATTGAGGAGGGCAGAGTTGGATTCAAGCAGGCCAGCTAAGAGGGATACACCGTACATGACGATGCTGTTGATGCCGCTGAACTGCTGCGCCAGCATCACCATGATGACTGCCATGGCGGCGCTCTTGTAGTCGGGGTGACGGAAAACCTGCATGATGCTGAGCGTCTCTTCTTTGCCAGCTGGTTTCCGAGTTTGCTGCGAAGGGCGGCCTTGATTGTTCAGAAGCGCCTGTTCCTCTGCTGTTGTATGTTAGCCTGGGGGATTGGTCGTGTTTTTTTGAAGACGCCTTACCGTTGACATGCTCCGAACCTGCATCGCCCCAGCCACTCACTTCATCGTCAATGTTGGCCTCCTCGCCTCTGATCTTGCGCAACGTCCGCCTCGCGAGCGTGACGTTACCCTGCTCAGCCGTGTACTTGGGGCTCTCGACCGACAGCAGCAGTCCCAGGGCCTGAGCAATGCCAACAACGCCACCAATAGCCAGTACTACCCTCCAGTACGAGTCGTGGCTCAAGAAGTAGCCCAGCAGTTGCGTGATGAGAATGCCAACGTTGCACATGATCTGCGTAAAGGCCCCGAAGAAGCCCTTTTGGGCTGGTGGTGCGATCTCGGAGATGTAGAGGGGCACAATGACCACGGAAGCTCCTGCGCCTACACCGGACAGCAGTCGGCCAAAGGCCATGACGCCCATGTTGAGGCTGAGGGCCTCGAACACGGGGCCGATGGCGAAGAAGACGGTGGTCATCTGCATGGTCCTGAGGCGGCCATATCTGCTGGCCATGATGCCCGACGAAAGCGCTCCGACCAGGCCTCCCAGGGTGAACATGGATCCCACGACGCCCCATTGCGTGGGGTTCATCTCGATGCATTGCGGGAGGTTCGGGACGGCGGTTGCGGCCGCGTCGGCCGACGTGATGGACCGCTTTTTGCAACGGATGACATCTTCGGGCGCGTTCAGCTCAGACTACACGTGTCAGTCTTGGTCTCGGCATCATCGTCGTGGGCGCTGCTGCGTACGAGGTGGAAGCCAAAGAGCAGCGGGCCGAGTGTCGCGACCAGGAGGATGTAGACGAAATAACCCGTCAAGCCGCTAGACCACGACCGTGGAGCCATACTGGGAGCGTGTGATGGGGCTGGCGACGACGTGTCGAGAGCCTGCGAGGTGTCGGTGTAGGCACCTTTGTACCTGGCCTCGTATCCTCGTATCCGCCTCCCGCTTATCTGCGCTCCTTTCGTACGTTTCGAACACGACCGACCATGAGTGTGACGTGATTGGCCTGATCCTTGCTTCTGCAGCCGTCGAGGCGTGACTGCATCACCAGCCTCATGGCTTTGATCCAATACTCCGTATCGCCCTTCTTCTCGCCCCCCTCAATATCGTGCGATTCGACCACTGTCTTCAGCACGCATACTGAACGTGCGGCTCGGCTGTTCCGGCCGGCTGTACGCGCGCCATGTTTACTGGGTACAACAACAAGAAGCGGATCAGCGAGCGCTACAAGATCGTAGGCTTCATCAGCAGCGGTACCTATGGACGCGTCTACAAAGCCGAGGGCAAAAATGGCCGTGTTGGAGAGTTTGCCATCAAAAAGTGTGTTTGTGTGCAGCCTCACAGCTCGCCCTGCTGATGCGTTCAGGTTCAAGCCCGACAAGGAAGGTGAACTTCAATACTCGGGAATCTCGCAGTCTGCCATACGGGAGATGGCACTCTGCACGGAGCTCGCGCACCCCAATGTTGTGCATACTTCAGAGATCATCCTGGAAGACAAATGCATCTTCATCGTGTTCGAGTACGCAGAACATGATTTGCTCCAAATCATTCATCACCACAATCAGCCGCAACGCCAGGCCATTCCTGCGCGTACCATCAAATCCATCCTCTACCAACTCCTTCAAGGACTCCTCTATCTGCACAGAAACTGGGTCATGCATCGAGATCTGAAACCTGCCAATATCATGGTCACGAGTGCCGGCAAGGTAAAGATTGGCGATTTGGGTCTTGCTCGACTCTTCTACAAACCGCTACAATCACTGTTCTCCGGTGATAAAGTCGTCGTCACAATATGGTATCGGGCACCTGAATTGTTACTTGGCAGCCGTCACTACACACCAGCAGTCGATCTGTGGGCTGTCGGGTGCATCTTTGCTGAGTTGCTGTCACTCCGGCCCATCTTCAAGGGAGAAGAGGCGAAGATGGACAGCAAGAAGACGGTGCCATTTCAGCGGAATCAGATGCAGAAGATCGTGGAGATTATGGGTATACCAAGCAAAGAACGGTGGCCGTTGTTGACGGCCATGCCAGAGTACTCCCAGCTAAACTCGATGATGGCCGGGAACGTGGGGAGATACCCGCGCGCCCAGAGTGGCGATGGTCTAGAGCGATGGTACCAGCAAACCCTCAACAACAACCATTATCCCGTTGGTGCTGGACCGGATACACCTGGAACCGAGGGACTTTCGTTGTTGAAGCAACTCCTCGAGTATGACCCACAAAAGCGCCTGACCGCCGAGAACGCACTTTTACACCCGTATTTCAGTGTGCACGGAAAACCATCTGAGAGTTGCTTCGAGGAATCGAAGATCAAGTACCCTGTTCGGAGAGTCAGTCAGGAGGATAACGATATTCGTACGTCGAGTCTACCCGGAACCAAGAGAGGGGGACTTCCAGATGATTCGCTTATCGGACGACCGGCGAAGCGTCTGAAGGAGGGATGAACAGACTTTGCATAATAGTTCTCTGCGTCAGATTGAGCACAGAATTGGTCGTCTGATTTGACGTGCATATGCGGCTGTCCGTTTGTACATGTCACCACGGCTCTTGCAGCAGGTCATCCCAAGTACCTTGCTCGGAGTAACTCAACAAGTCCCCGCAGATGGCGACGTTAATGGTATTTGCTCTTAGATTGCCGGACTGGTTATAAAATCGAGGTTACTTGTGCGTGATTGTGACTCGCACAAGCAGGGCTGAGGGTCGTATCCGTCAAGTCTAGATCCTCCAACATGAGGTGTCACGAACGACTCTTCGCGCCTATTAGTCAACTTTAGGATAAAGACGAGTGAGTCTGAGCATACATGGCAACGTCCAGGTATCGGGTTGTATCCAGGAAGGTAACACATATTTAGCTTGTAAGGGTATGTAAGATACGAAGGGTATGCATGGGAATTACTCCGTGTTTGAGCAATAAGTAGGGGGCATAACTGCCTGCGTACAGTTTCATATGAGCGAAGGAGCTGGACGTGTAGTCCACGACGATTCAAGTCATATGTCGTTTCCATTAAGAATATTTTGTTCTATCTCTTGTGCTCTCCCAATCTCCACAACTAGAGAACTCTGCGCCGAAATTAGTGTTCACATGCCGAACTCGACTCGAAATGAAGTCGATTCTAAACATGGAGTCAAGTAATACAGTCGCTTTACTACCGATGGTATCGACGTCTTTTGATCACGCGCCTGCTCCCTTTACGCATCTCTACCACTTTACTCGCTCGACGGCCACGAGGGAGAAGTGGGCTCCATGAGCCCTGAGTTTGACCTGAAGGGACAACATAGCATGAGCAATAAGCGCTCACACGAATCTCTCCAATTACGTGTGCGGTACCACGTTCGTTTGTTCGTTTGTACCAGGAAACGGGAAGTAGCCAGGCTATAGATTACCACCACCGACTAATCAGCGAACAGACAGGTGTTACATACACAACTCATGGGATGCTGTTTGACCACATCTCACGTTCAATTCACCTGGTACAAACTGTTCACGAGACCTCCCGTAATGGCTAATCGTTCAGATCGGTAGAGGGTCACTGTTGTCACAGTTCTTTCTCTGCTAAGTTGCTACGGCAATGTGGGGCTGTCAAACAGTGAAGGCAGGCACGCCTCGACCGCACCACGCCATAACTTACCCCAGAACACGTCTCGTATTTATAAACAACGTGTTGCTCTCACCATCTTTCTCTATTTTTGGTTTGAACACTTCCACTCTTTAAACAACCTGTCATTCATTCAACCAACGCCTCACCAGTGCTCAGTATTCACGAACTCACTGCACCTACTCACCTACTTCCTCGGCTCTTAACGACGACATTCATAACCCTGCCCACCGCTCGCTCTTTCTTTTCCCAGCCAGCATGAAGTTGTTCGCTAAACTTATCGCACTCGTGGTTACCACTGCAGTCGCTGCGCCCGCTCACGATGTTAAGCCTCGCAACCTGGTTGACGACGCCGCCCCGCATCAGGATGACCCCAACTTCATCAGTGCCGTGATGCGCGCCCACTGGTACTGGCGTCGGCTTCACTGCGCTCAGGACCTTATCTGGGATACTGCACTTGCGGACGCTGCTCGCGCCGACATTTCGCAGTGCACCCAACATCCTGAGCATGTAGGTCAAACGAAGTTGCACTTTCGTAGGTTCCAATCTGACAAACGTCTAGCATCGCTCCGGCAGTAACCTATCCTCCGTGAAACCACCCCCTAGCAACTACGATGAGTGGATCGAGTTCGCCCGTACCGCTACCCACGGCTGGCACGAGGAAGAGACCAAGTATCCATACGACAATCCCCACTACGACGACGCCTGGGGTCACTTTAGCCAGATGGTATGGCGCAACACCACTCGTGTTGGTTGTGCTGTAGGACACTGCGATGAAGGCAGGGTCGAGTGGCCGGGACGCTTCTATTGCTGTGAGTAGCGTTGAGGCTGAAATCATATACCCCGACAGATACTGATGGCTTTAGACTACGAATTCTTTGGCAATAACATTGCGCCAGGGCAATTCGAGGCGCAGGTTTGGGGCCCTGTCTGCAGCGACCCTCTTTTCGGCGAAGCCACGGAGCGTGAGAACGTTCACTTCAACTGGGCTCGCAAGTAGATAAATGCTCCCACCGACTGCACACGCCTGTCTTGGAGCTATGGTTGACTGCCCTCGGTCCGTCCAACTCTTTGACAACATTGCGACACCGCCATCTAACGGTATACGACTACACCACGATGCTCTCTTGTGTCCGAAAATCAGCTTTGATGCTACATTTTCGTCTTTTCGAGATGCCCAGCTTCAGTTTTTTGTGTCCTAATTCATGCGTAACCTTGGGCAGGAGATGTTTTGGTAGCACTTTCGGTATTCTTTGCATCAACACTTGCGAAAATTCAGGCATTGATATCATAGGGACTTACGCTGGTCAACTGATAGACAAACCCTATGCTCCTAATAATACGATCATCCTATTATGGCTCAATGTTTATGAACTAATCTATTATGATGCTTGTGGATGTTCCCCTGCACTGTCATATTACGTGTCGTGCCTAAGAGATGTAAGTGATCTGGCATTCCAAACACAACGTGCCACAATATGACTTTTTACTATATATTTCAAATTAATGACTCCCTTCCCCATAATCACACTCCTTGTTCGCGAGCACGGACTTTGCCGGTGTCAGTGCGGAGGGTTCGCTTTAACGTGTGGGTTGGGTTGTAGCCGCAGCGCTATTGTGTTCAATGTCTGAAGCATAAGGCTTGTGGCCAGGTGGGTCAAGTACACAGACATGGGAGATTATCTGCTGAAGGCGTTGGAACAGAATAGAAGGTCAAGAAACATAGAACTGGAAGAATCGACCTGCCATGCTTTGAAACATGGAAGTCAAACACTTTACTCTATTTTGACAAAATGACGAGGATACAAAATAGATAGAAATCAGTGTGAGGGTATTCTAGAATAAGATGTGAATTGTGTATAATTAAGCTAAAGCTTCAGCAAGATGGATGTGGACAGTTTGACTGAGTTTGAATTGTAACCCATGACAATGGTTACTGTTAAAGTCTTTCCATAAGAAACATAGGTACATGTTATATATGTGTTGATCCAACTGGACGTCGCCGCAAACATAGTCGTGCAGACATTGAAAAGAAATTCATGAACTGAGCCCGAGTTGTCGAAAAGAAGTTGTGATGCCGCCTTCCTGTTTAGGACTAGAGCAGGTGATGATGGCATCATCCTTCTTAGAGGGATGGGTGTTCCGCCATTGATGACTCCACATGGAACGTCTATAAGATGTAGCTCTCCCACCCCTCACGACAGCAGACTCAAATCTCGCTCGCTGTACAACTCCTACACTCATCATGACGGACCAGATAGGATCGACAAAAGTGGCGCCTTCAATCGATGTCAAGAAACTCACCTATCTCTTCCCGGATGGTTCGAGTGGGTTGAAGGAGGTCTTTTTAGACCTTCCACCAGGCAGCAGGACTCTGTTGATTGGAGGTGAGGAGCTTGCTTCTGTCATATGGCAGGGTACGAACTAACACGACATCATAGCCAATGGCGCTGGTAAAACTACGCTTCTCCGTCTTCTCTCCGGCAAGCGCATGGCGCCCTCGGGCACCGTCTCTATCGCGGGCGTCGACCCTTTTAAGTTTGGCCTCGAGGGCGTGACATATTTAGGCCTCGAATGGGTGCTGAACCCGATTGTGCGCAGCGACATCGACGTGCCCACGCTCTTGTCGTCTATTGGCGGCGACGTGTACACGGAGCGCCGCGACGAGCTGATTGATATTTTGGACATTGATCTAAGCTGGCGTCTACATGCTGTCTCCGACGGCGAGAGGAGGAGAGTCCAGCTCGCCATGGGTCTGCTGCGCCCGTGGACCATCCTACTGCTTGACGAAATCACAGTCGACCTGGACCTTCTCTCCCGCAGCAACTTCCTTGCCTATCTCAAGCGCGAGACGGAGAAGCGCCCTTGCACCATCGTCTACGCGACGCATATCCTGGATAATCTGGCCACGTGGCCGTCGCACCTCGTGCACATGAGCCTGGGCAAGGTCAAGAAGTGGGGCAGCATCGAGGATATGAACGTGACTCCCCGGTCTGTCGATGAGGGGCTGTCAGGAAACAGTCAGCTCGGCGAGCTTGTGCTTAAATGGCTGCAGGAAGATCTCGAAGAGAGAGGCCCAAGGAACGGTCTCAGTGGGCAGGGCAAGACATATGAGAACCTCGAAGGAAAAGGTGGATATGGGGCCGAGAAGAAACCCGAGGCGTAAGAAATGCTAAGTAAGAATGGGCGCATGTTACGATCCGCTTCAACCATACGGATCAAATCATCAGGAGTTCAACCGGTGTTTGGGAGGTTTCTTCAACAATGATACCCCATTTCCTATATCAACGTGGGCCCAGAGACAGAGCTTGGGCTTTATATAGGCTGTCTGCTCCCATAGCTGAGAATACAACGTTTTGTTACTCAAAGACTTCGCACGTTGCTATATGTGAACTCAGCAAATGATGCATGCATCTGGTCCATCGACTTTCATGACATGCATGTTTTCTACAAGTCCTCGACTAACAGTACCAGACTCACCGCATCTTAAAATCATCCAACGCCATGCCCTTTGCAATCTTCTTAATGAGCGCCTTCTTCAAGAACTGCTCGCGGGCCAAGCTCCTCGTTTGCTGTCATGGCATTAGCATGTTTCCCAAAAGTGCCGCATACGAACTGGAACGTACCTTGACGAAAACATCCGCGCCAATCCTCCCCTTATCCAACGCTCTCCCTAGCATAAACAACGCATCCGCAATCCCCTTCTCCTCTGCAGCAAGCACATACAGCTGCCCGCCCACCACGGTAGGCGCAACAAGCACATCGTCAACATCCGGGGCCTTGCGCTGTCGCGCGTCCTCCATGACGCGATCTGCTTCGACCATTGCGCCTTTTAGGACGTGCTCGTTGGAAGCGAGCGCCGCGTCGAGCTGCTGTAGCTCGCCTAGCTCGGCTTGCAGGCGAGAATGTGCAGATTGGAGAGCGGCTTGTTGTGTACGAAGAGGCGTAATGGCGGATATGTTGGAGGATACTGTTTGATGGATTTGTAAAACCAGCGTTTGGCTGAGCGCAGTGAGGAGAGCATCTTTTTGGGGGTTTGGCGGAACGGGGGGTACGGGGAGCGGAGCCTGGTTGCCTTTTTGTGAGGGTATTGTGACTTCGAGTGAATCGTCCAGGAGATCGATGGGAGGCTTACGGGCTTGTGGGATTGACTGAGGCTGGTGTTGTGGGTTTGCCTGATACTGGGTATGATGCTGCGGTGGATACCCTTGAGGAGGTTGTTGGTACTGCTGCTGGGGGTGCAGAGGCTGACCGTACTGCTGGTGTAGTTGCGTGGGCGGCCCCTGGTGTTGGCGTGACTGGGGGATACTAGCAGAGGGCTGTTGGGACGTTGGTCCGATATAACGAGATGCCGACCTTTGCTCGTCAGGGGTAATGGGGCTCACAGGGCTTCCCAAATCGTATGGACTAGGCGCGTACCCCTGAGGTTGTACTTGTGGTCGTGGCTGTTGTGGTACTGGTGTAGCCGGACCCATGGCATAGTTTGGTTGCCGCTGCGACGCGCTGTGCACAGCTGGAGGACCTGGGTGCTGCCAGTTCGGTGGGGCAGCATGGCTGTTTCTTTGAGGCTGCTGATAGCGCTGCGGCGACTGGGTGTGCTGGGATGGGTGAGGGGGCAGTGGAGGCGGCTGCGAGTATCGATCTGGCTGCGCTTGGGGGGTTGATGCATTCTGCTCATACGGCTTGGGTGGTTTGGGAGGCGGCGCAGGCGCTTTGTTGGACAAGCCCGGCGAAGGCGATGCACCTGGTGTGCCTTGCAACGAGTGTTGCCATTCTGCCGGTGGCGGGGGGAGTGGTGGAGGAACCGACTGCACCGGCGCACCTTGCTGTTGTGGCGGCTGCTGTCTGGAGCGCACAGGCGGTTCTTTCGCAAAGACGCCCCGCAGGACAGCCAGGAAATCGAACAAGGTGGATTTCTGCATCCAAGTCAGCACCAGGTACCTTTGACGTGCCATACGCCTACGCGCCACTCACGTCCCAGTACTTTGCCCATTGCGCCAGATACGGATGATAGATCCTCCCGTCTCCGCTGACATGCTGGCCGGCCCTCACAATCATGTCCTGCGACGGCGTGACATATACCAGCGGTGATTCTCGAGGGTAGGCCTGAGGCACCCATACCGCCACCGGGAAGCCGTATGTTGCGCCGCGAAAGGTGACGGGCAGCGTGCCGCTGAGGAGCAGCAGGAGCGCCGAGGCTCCATTTTCATATGCTGATACCGTAAGTATACGCGCAAACAAAACAAACACAGCCGGCGTTGGATGCTGGGGTGCCGCGTGTGGACGCACTGTACACTTCGGTTCGCGGGGATAGCGATGGGTAGTGGGATAGAGCTTCGGCGGCGTCGTGGTAAGTCCGGTTCACGTCTGCATATTCCTAGACGTCTACGTCAGAACACACCATGGGTGGGGACGCACATGCACACACACTGGTGAGGACGCTGTACAGCCAGTTCAGCACTTTCTCAGGCACGGCCATGCTCGAGGCGACGTTGGTAGCGGGGAAGCTCCGGACAGCGACGATAGTAGGTCAAGCACCTTGGCAGGGCACCAAAGACATCACACGCTTCACCCAAGTCATCCTGCAACATGTTTATAGGCAGTGGGAAGTCGGCGTTGTGCTCGTCATAAGGGTTGGGTAATCGTGTCAAGATCTACATCGACCACAGTCACAACTGGTCCTAATGTCTGCAAGGCGCGGTTCATTCATTGCATTTGCTTGCTCGTTGCCAGAAGCAGCATCAGTATAGTACACTACGTATCCGTCGTGCCAATCGTAAACGCCACAGCGAGCAAGTACCCCAAAAGTGCTGCTGAAGATAAATACTCCATGTTATACGCCATGTTATGCAGAAACCTCCCTGGTCGTTACTCAGCCTTACACTTAATGCTGACTCCATTCAATGGTGTTCAGATCAACACCTTCTTGCACCAACTCCCAGAGCGGGCTCAGCTCCCTCAAAAATGAGACGCGCTCCTGCACTGCCTTGAGGACGTAGTCGATTTCCTCGTCCGTGGTGAACCGGCCAATACCAAATCGAATGCTGCTGTGCGCGCTCTCATCGCTGCTACCCAATGCTCGGAGAACGTAGCTAGGCTCCAGAGATGCTGATGTGCACGCACTGCCAGACGAGAGAGCAATATCCTTCAGGGCCATGAGAAGCGACTCGCCCTCGACATAGGCAAAGGAGACATTTACACATCCTGGGTAGTGTCGTTCTCGATCACCGTTCAGGGTAGTGTGTTCCATAGCGAGGAGGCCCTGGAGGAGTCGGTTTGACAGCGCTGTAATGCGCTTCGTGTCATACTGCATCTCGTCAGCTATGCTCCATCCAAAGGGCGATGATAGTTAGATTGGTAGATGCGTTACTCATACGTGTGCGCATTCTCAACATGGCGCGTCGGCGGCCAAAGACCACTTGGCGCTCTGAAAGCCATGCATGTATAAAGCGAATAATCATAGTGCAGATGGAGGTGTCTGGAGAGATGAAATCAAAACGTACCTGCATCTCCTCTTTGCAAATACGAGCAGCTTCACCGAAACCAATGGCAAGAGGTGGTGCCAGAGTACCACTCCTCAAACCACGCTCTTGGCCACCACCACTGATGATAGGGTCAAGCCTGACCCTGGGCCTTCGTCGCACGTAGCAGGCTCCTATGCCCTTGGGTCCGTAGATCTTGTGGCCGGATATCGACATCAGGTCAATGTTCATCTTGTTGACGTCGAGGGGGATCTTGCCGACAGCCTGGGCACCATCGGTGTGGAAGAATATCTTCCTTGACCGACACAGCTTGCCGATCTCTTCCATGGGCTGCACAACGCCAATCTCGTTGTTGACAGTCATGATGCTCACGAGGGCAGTCTCGGGCCTCATTGCGGCCTCGAGCTGAGCCATGTCGACGAGGCCGTTTTCCTGTACCGGGAGATAGGTCACCTGGAAACCCTCGTCTTGCAGATGCCTGCAGCTGTCCAGGACACACTTGTGCTCTGTCTGACACGTGATGATGTGGTTCTTCTTGCCTGAGCGCTTGAAGAAACGCGCGACGCCCTTGACGCTCATGTTGTTGCTTTCGGTGGCGCCGCTGGTGAAGATGATCTCTTTCGGGTCCGCGCCGATGAGGTCGGCGATGTGTGCTCGCGCATCCTCTACCGCCTTGTCTGTCTCCCAACCGTAGGCGTGGGTGCGCGAGTGGGGGTTGCCGTACAGGCCGGTCATGTAGGGAAGCATGGCGTCGACGACGCGGGGGTCCATGGGGGTGGTGGCCTGCATGTCCATGTAGATGGGCCGCGAGCCCTGGTCCATGACGGTGGCCTGCTTCAAGATGCCTGCCATGGTCAGCCTCGTCGAGATGCGGGGGGCGATGACGGAGGCTTACCGGCAGTGGGGCTCATCATGGCGTCGGCCGACATGCCTGTGGTGGGCATGGTCGCATCCTGCGCGCGCTCTCCCGTCTTCTTCAGGAACGACTCGCGGTCTGCCTTGATGGTCGAGTCGATGTTGACCGTGGCGTTGGAGGGCCTCGTCTCCGAGACGTAGTTGCGCCGGCTGCCAGCTGCGGCGCGCGGCGAGAGGCGTGCAAAGGCCGACGAGGGGTAGCGGCGCGCGGCAATGCGGAGGGCCTGCCTCGCGATGGCGGGTGCAAGGTTGGACATGGCGGTGGGGGGCGAGGGGGTGGTGTTGGAGAGACGGTCCTGGCTCGAGCCTGCGCCCGCGGCGAATTCGATCCCTGGCAGGCGTCTTGGCACAGGAGCGCTACCGACCCACTCGGCCCTCGGCGCCTCAGCCACGCTGGCGGACGTCATCGGGGCCATCGGGGATACGAGCAAGTGCGAGAGAGCGCCAGCCGTCTGTGCCCACACCACGCCCTCATAGACCCCCGCCCGCCCTGCACTCGTCGCCTGCTGCCCACACGCCCCCCCGACAGCTGCCCTGCATCCGTCCCCAGCAGCAGCACCGCCGCCGCCCCGCCATGAGCTGGAAAGGCTTGACCAAGACCGTCACCCGGGTATGCACACGCTCCCCCGCGCGCTCCGACGGGCCCAGGGACGCACACTGACGCGGGTTGCAGGCGCCGCAAACCTTCAAGCAGAAGTTCAACTTCGTACGTCCCCGCCCGAGTCGGCCCTGAAGCGCTGCGGCCTATGCGCCCGCTTCCGGGCGTGCGCGGGAATGCGCTGACGTCGGCCGTGCACAGGGCGAGATCACAAAGGATGCCATATACCTAGACGCCGAGCGCCGCTTCGACGAGCTGGAGAAGGAGACGAAGCGGCTGCACGACGAATCCAAAAAGTAGGCGCCTCCCGCGACACCCCCACCGTGGCGTGGCACCATGGCTCACATGCGACAGGTACTTTGAAGCCATCAACGGTGTGTATGGGCGCTCCCCTCTCCCGCCCATGGCCGCCTAACACGATTCCCAGGCATGCTCTCTCACCAAATGGAGTTTTCCAAGGCCATCGCCGAGATCTACAAACCCATCTCCGGACGAATGTCGGACCCGGACTCCTTCCACGACGAGGGCAACGCCGCCGGCATAGAAGCATGCGACCAGTACGAGGCCGTCGTCCATGAGCTGCAGGAAACACTCAAGCCAGAGCTGGAGATGATCGAGTCGCGCGTCATCAGTCCGGCCGACCAGCTCTTGGACATCATCAAGGCCGTGCGCAAGCTCGCTCTCAAGCGCGACCACAAGCAGCTCGACTACGATCGCCACCGCACAGCCCTCAAGAAGCTGCAAGACAAAAAAGACAAGACGCTCAAGGACGAAAAAGCAATGTACCGCGCCGAGGCCGACTGCGAGCAAGCCACCCAGGACTACAACTATTTCAACGACCTGCTCAAGGACGAACTACCCAAGCTGTTTCTCTTGGAGCGCGAGTTCATCAAGCCACTGTTCCAGTCCTTCTACTACATGCAACTGAACGTCTTCTACACATTGCACGAGCGCATGCAGCGACTCGACATAGGCTATTTTGACCTGACCCTGGACATTGAGGCAGCATACGAGAAGAAGCGCGGAGACGTCCGGGAGGAAACAGAGAAGCTCACCATGGTCAAGTTCAAGACAAAGGGCACTGGCACCCGTCCAGGACAGTCAAAGTATGCCACCAAGGCCCTGGAGGCCAAGGCAGGGCAGCCTTCAACGTCTGAGGAGACCGACAACCCGCCCCCGCCATACAGCTCTGGGCCTGCCGTGAAACCCATGTCCCCTGCGCTATCGTCGGGTTCGTGGGGCTCTGTTGCAAAGGCAAAGGGGGCTGCACCGCCTCCGCCAAAGCCAAAACCAAAACCCTCACGATTGAGCGGCGTACCGGCAGTAGAACATGTCACCGCATTGTTCGATTTCGAGGCCCAGGCAGAGGGCGATCTTAGCTTCTTGACCGGCGACGTAATTGAGATTGTATCACGGACTCAAAACGACAATGAATGGTGGATTGGTAAAGTGAGAGGAAAGCAGGGGCAGTTCCCAGGTATGTTCGCCGAGTATTCCGACAGGCTCAATAGCACTAACAATCCCCAGGCAATTACGTAAAGTTGAATTAATGATCCGAACCGGACCTGATCTACTCTTATCTTGCTAGAAGAAGTATGAGATACCTGTAATTGTTGCTCGCTTGGTCTGTAAATTAGTCATGCTGCCTGTTTGACTAGACATTCTTGTTCGTGCCTTGACTGCTCATCTGCAAGGCTATATTCCAACTACGTCTTAAACCTAATCTTAGCTTTTGGTATCCCTGTATATTTTGAAGGTGTTGCATTGTTTCCAACTTTGCACGGTTCTGTATTCTCTAGCCACATCCCTGAGATCCGATTTACCATGTGGAGATCACTCCGCAGCCCCGCATGACGTCGACCGGGTACATGGACCCTCAGATGGCTTCTTATTTCCACCGCAACTTGTGCTTCATAACTCTTGTAGTGTTCCCTCTCACTGCAGTCTACTGTACGAATACATACCAGCGATAGTTGATACACAGGGAGCTGTACTTGAGCAGTAACCTACTATTTCTCCGTCAGTGTAGAAGGCTTCAAGTCATTACCCAACCAAAAACGTTTACAGGGTGTCGGATCCATACTATTCCAATCGAGCAAATAACCATAATTCGAGGCAGTCATAATGCCCTACGAGTCAACAATCACATTCATACTCGACACCATATGTCCCTGGTACACACTCCAATCCACTAATCCATTCATATCTGACACTTCAACAGGACCTACCTGGCCTTCATTCGCCTCAACAAAGCCCTCGCCTCCTACCGCTCCAAAAATCCATCCTCTCCCGCATCCTTTACTCTACAGCCTGCACCCTACCAACTTTACCCCGACTTCAGCACCAAGGGCGAAGACAAATACGAATGGTACAAGAAGGAGAAGTACGGCGGTAGCGAAGAGCGAATGAACATGTACGCAGACCATATGACCAAACTAGGCAACATCGAAGGCATTTCCTTCGACTTCCACGGCCAGATCGGAAACACACTGCACGCGCACCGCATAATACATTACCTGTTGAACAGCAAATCGCCCGCCGCAGCACAAAAGTGTCTGGAAAGTCTGTACAAGCAGTACTTTGAGCAGCAGGCTCATCCGTCACGCCCAAGCACGCTGGTAACTGCTTGTCTCGCGGCTGGATTGACGGAAGAAGAAGCAAGGACGCTAGTCGACGACGAGAGTGAGGGGCTAGGGGTTACGAAGGCGGCGATTCGGGAACAGACAGGGAATGGAGTGGATAGTGTGCCTTATATTGTGTTTGAGGGGCGAAGGAGGGATTTTACGTTGGTTGGAGCAAAGGAAGTCGCGGAGTATGAGAAAATACTTGGGCAGGTGGCGAAGGAGTGTGTGTAGAATAGGTCTTTGAACGCGGTAATTTTACTACAGGGCAACATTTAAGTCTTGATAATAGATAATAAGAGTTCACGATCTCTTTCTGGGTAGTATGTCATGTTGAAGCTAGGGTCAGTATTGTTTTCATGGTGCACGAATCACGCGACACAACCTTAAATTAGATTCAGGCAACCACCCGCGCCGCATGCTCAACGGGAGTTTGTGTCATCTCGATTGCTTCTTCTCCTTCACGCTGTTCTGTACTCGTTCGCTCTTGCTTCACGCGATTTTGCGCATTACACTCGCTTCCAAATTTCACATATCACATTCGTTGAGGTCCCATCTACATAATGTCTGGCACAGTCACTCAAGACGCGCATCAAGCGCCTAATCATATTACTACACGTCAACCAGCTCCCACAGCCGACACGGCATTAGGACATTCCACTGCGAGCACCGCGACTCCCACTACGCCTCTAGCGACAACATCGACTTCTCTCCAAGCTCCTACCAGCTCCCCGCAAGAAAGCCTCAACGCAAAACTGAACGCCAGCGATCGCTACTGGAAGTTCAAAGCCACACTCCGCACCGTTCTCCTCTTGACAAACATCATCGGAACAGGCTGTATCGCATGGGCTGTCGCAACATCGACTGAAATTACAATGTACGACGAAAGTTGGGTTCTCTGGAGCGGCCTTATCCCCTTCTCCATATCGATCGTCTGGTGCGGCATATGTCTGCTTGTGTTCCTTGTCCGCAAGCGACCTGTGCATCCCGGAGCGCGCGTTGCCCTGGATCTGCTACTATGGCTGGGCTTCCTGGGGACGGCGTTGCTAACCATGGTCTCCGTCGTGACGCTGATGCAATGGGGCGAGTCTGGCGAACTATCCACATACGATTACTCGTACGGGTATTCTTCCGGTAACGGGGGCTACGAACTTGCAGACAATGGGACATGGGTTTGGGACTCGGGCTCGACATCGGAGTCGTCTTCTACAACTTTACGCCCTTGTGACGGAGAAAGCTCGAACACACTCGCATATGGCCGGACGTCCTGCGATGAGGAAGAGGCGTTTATCAATAGGCTTTGGCGGGAGAAGCCGCATCGCATCAATGTTGTGCTGGCGGGAGATGCATGCCAATACCTCGGGCTTCTGCTGCATTTTGCGTTGTTTGTTTGGGCGTGTGTGGATACACATCGTCATCGTCGAGGTGGCGTAGGCAAGGATGCAGAGAAACTTGCGGCGGAGATTGTGATGAAGATGGTCAAGAACGGAGCCGTCATACCACCTCCTGGACAAATTAATTCCAGGCCGGCGATGGGTCAGCCAGTGTTCTATCCACAACAGGGCATGCAACCTATTCACCCTCAACAGGCGTATTCTCCGCAACTGTACTCTCCCCATATGTATCCTCCACAGATGCATCCTCAGCAGATGTACGCTCCTCAGATGTACCCTCAGCAGATGCCTCCGAACCAACAGGGGAGTGGACAACTACCTTCATTGTCTTCCCAGACTGCAGACCCGGGAAACGAGAAGACGCAAGGCCCTCGCTATGCGTGAGGCTGGACCAGTGGCGGAGCCTTCTCTGCTCACGGCTGTTGCCACATATCTGCAGAACCTACCAAGCGTATACCCCGATTGTTAGTGAACCAAACTATAAGTTCTTGTAATGTTGTTATCACGGCCTGCCATCGCATATTTGTCATATACCCATTTTTCGTACTTGATTTCATTTTTACGGAACTTCGTTGATTAGATAATAGCTTAATACCATTTTCACAGCCAGATCGCATGCACGATGTCTGTTCCTTTGCTATGTGCAATTCCTTACCATCTCAGTATTTGGAGTGTCCAAAAACACCGTACACAAGCCTAAGGTATGAACCAGCTGCGAACAGACTTAGGTGTTGTTGAAGTATATTTATATGCTCTACACAGTGCAGATCTTGACCAGTCGATGAGCCACTTTTTCCACATTTAATAGGTGCAACGCGTCGCCTGTGTTATCGCTTCCATGTGACGGAGCAAATCGATTTGGACTCCTAAGCTAAGTCCATAGCAAGCTATGGCTTGTAAATCAACATCTTCGATATGTGATACCTATCATAACGTGCGCAGCCAGCAAATCGAAAGACAGTCTCTTGCGGACTTTACCATTACCATTTTTGCAGTAATACGGTATAATGGGGAAGGTGACTGACTATGCCTGCAATCAAGGAACATCAAGACCCTGTCTAGCTATGTTAGGTCTAGCATGATGCTGTCTCACAACCGCATGCATGGGACACGACGCTGTCACACCAGCAGTACTCAAAAGGGCATTGAGTTCCCATGGCTACTTTATTCGGAGTTTCAGGTCTTATACCCAAAGATCCAGCACTTTCCTTGCCGCTGTCCTGTTTGTGCTGCGGCTAAATCGTTGCCATAACTTCGCTGGCCGATACATGGTCGTTGATCAACTCACCAACGAAAAATGCGATCGTTCCTAACTATCACGCTTGGCTTTATTTCAGCAGGGGTACTAGCGCAAGAAGCTTTTGAGCAACCAGATTTCAACGTAACTCGAGCACTACTTAATAATGGAGTCGATATCTCAGTTATTCCAGAACTGGCTGGATCTGTCGAAAGATCTTCAGTGAGCAGTTGCGCAGTCGCTGTGAGTACTGGGAGGACAACATGTCAGTATATAAAGCATCAGCTGATCATAACTGCAGTGTAAGTCGCTCAAACTTCTATTTGCGGACGATCAGGTCGAAACCCAAGGCGAACCAGCTTACGCAGCCGTCATCGACTATTTCTGGTCAACGCAACAGAAAGATCCAGCGCCATATTGTATTTTCAAGCCTGAAAAGGCTACGCAAGTTTCAACGCTGGTCCTTCTGGCTCGTCTTACGCAGTGCCCGTTCGCCATAAGAAGTGGAGGGCATGCTGCATTTGTGGGAGCGTCTAGCATTGATGGTGGTATTACTGTGACCTTTGAGAGAATGAAGGGCATCACACTTTCTGATTCCGACAAGAAAGTTGCATCGATTGAGCCTGGCAACCTCTGGTACGACGTCTATACCACTCTTGCAGTTGATAATCTTGCTGTTGTCGGTGGCCGTGTCTCGACGATAGGTGTTGGTGGACTTACACTCGGAGGGGGCATTTCGTTCTTCGCGAATACATACGGATGGGCATGCGATAACGTAGCTTCGTTCGAAGTAGTCACCGCGTCAGGCATCATTGTGACTGCTAGTCCTACCTCGTTCCCCGATCTCTACTGGGCTCTGCGAGGTGGCGGGAATAATTTTGGCATCGTCACTCGATTCGATTTGGAGACGTTCTCTCACGGCTCAGAAATGTTTGGCGGCCAGCGCCAGTTCTTCGAAGATTCCTTCCCAGCAGCCATCGACGCATTTCACAACCTCGGTGTCAATTCTGCAGACGATCCTAAAGCTACGCAGTTCCTTGCGGTCACGCTGTACCAAGGCGTGAAGTTGGCAGTTGCAGAGCTGGAACATGCAGACCCTATAGTCGACGCACCGATCTTTGCGGAATACAGAGCAGTTCCTGCATTTGCTGATACTACTGGTATCAAAACTTTGGCAAATCTGACCGAGCAGTTAAACAACAACAACCCCAAAGGGTACCGCGAAACATATTGGACTGCATCCTCGAAGCTCGACAAGCAGATGGTCGAGTTTGTAGTCAACACCACATTCGAAGAGTTTGCGAAAATTGCAGACGTAACAGGCTTGGTGCCCTCGAACACGCTGCAAATCATAACTGTTCCGCAACTTGAGCAGATGGCCCGCAAAGGAGGAAATGCACTTGGCCTCTCACCTCCTGATGGACCTATCTTTCTCATCAACCCGGCGTGTCGCTGGGACAAGGTCGAAGACGATGCACGTGTGCTGGCTGCAAACGCCAACATCGTCAAACGTATGGTTGCTGAAGCAGAGAGGCGGGATCTTACCCATGAATATCTGTACATGAACTATGCATCCCAGTTCCAGCATGTTATCGGGAGTTATGGTGATGTCAATGGCCGAGAGTTGAAGGCTGTGTCGGCGAAATATGATCCTACTGGAGTGTTCCAGAAATTGCAGCCAGGGTACTTCAAACTGGCTGGACCACCGGTTGCAGATTGGCCAAAACCTATACGATGAGAGAAGCTGAACTCGTAGAGAAAGTAGATGGGGCAAACAAGGGTGCCGAATAGTGATTAAACAACTTTACATAACTCAATCAGACATATGAAGCTTATACGTAGGACACGAAAGATCGGCAAAGAAGCGTACCTGGAGAAAACCACATGAAAAATATCAAAATATGCCAGGTTCCTCATCTTGTAACGTTATCCAAGCGCATACAAACAGTAGGAGGGTTGCTGGAGATGTTGAAACTGCGCTTGACTTCAAGTCATCAACATGAAGCGGGGTCGACACAGAACCAAACATAGCTATTAGGTTACAAGATATCGTGAAAAAGACGCGTCTCGTAAAAAAGAGTATCACAAAAGCAAGGGTGGATGGGATCATCACAAAGTTAGACGATGATCGCTTCAAGGGTTGCGTGAATATCGGAACAGGCGGGGAACCTTTCTCTGACGCCAGATCCATTACGCTAACCCGACCGATCCTGGTACGATACGATCTGATTGTAACATCTACCTCTATGTCATCGGCGAAATATTCAAGAAACAACAAAAACAATGTCCATCAACGATAATGACGAAATCATCGACCACGAAGCACCAACCATCCACGCAGACCCTACATATGACGGCGAAGATTCAAGTCCAACTACAAACCGTGAGCTGAAGGGCTGGTACGCGTATCCGATTGCAGCCGAAGTCTTCGCTGTAGTCGCAGTCGGTAAGATACAATCATCTGAGCCGCTGTTTTCTCAACCACACAGACTAACAGATTACAGGCGCTTTCCTTCCTGTAGTTCTTGAGCAACTTGCTCGTGAAAACGGCTTCTTCTTCTCCGATAAAGCCCAACCATGTGTCGTGGTTCCCGGATCAAAAAGTCCTGGCAGCGCACGGCCGCGAGATGGCGCAGGCGGCCAGAAAGAGCAGTGTATGATAAACCTCCTTGGCAAGGAAATGTCAACGAGTAGCTTTTCCTTGTATACGTCTTCGGCAGCGGTACTTTTTCAGGCTATCACGTTGATCTGTTTCAGCTCATTTGCGGATCATGGTACGAATTCCTTCGAAAGAGATATCTTGTCAGGTCAGGCAAGCAAACCTGCACAGTTGACTAATCGATGGTGAACAGGTCCATATCGCAAAAAGATGCTGATGACCTCCTCGTATGTGGGGTCAGTTTCTAGCTGCCTGTTCATCGTCATTACACCGTCAATATACTATCTCGCGCCCATCCTCGTGATTATTGGAATTACCAGTCTTGGCTGCTCGTTCGTCCTCCTCAACGCTTTCTTGCCTCTCCTCGTGGCCAATTACTCTGATAGTGAAACATCAAAACCCAGCTCCCCGTCCGCATCATTTTCTAATCTGGAGTTTGAATTGGAAGACCTGGATCCACAATCCAAACACTCGGTGCATAAACCAGACCCTGACCGACTAGCCCGCGACCTCGAGCGCTCGGCCCAAATCTCGAGTAATGGCGTGGGATATGGGTACATGTCCGCTGTCTTTGTGGAGGTTGTCAGTGTCCTCATTCTTTGGCTTTTCTCCAAAACCAACATTGGACAAACAAACCCTAGTTTGCCAATTCGCTTCATTCTGCTTCTTGTCGGCATATGGTGGGCAATATTTTCGGTCCCTACACTTCTATGGCTACGACCACGTCCTGGTCCCCCTTTGCCGACGCAATCTCAGAATTTGGGACCTCAAGGCGCCTCTAAGATCAGAACGTTCTTATTCTATACACAATTTTCGCTGCGCTCATTTTGGGGTACCCTGCGCCGTGCAATCCGCCTCCGCCAAACCTTGTTGTTCTTGGTCTCATGGTTTTTACTATCCGATGCAGTTGCAACAATATCTGGGACAGCTGTCCTTTTCGCCCGTACAGAACTGCACATGTCGACTATCGCGGTCGCGCTCCTCTCTATAACATCTATCGGCTCTGGCATTCTGGGCGCGTTTGTCTGGCCTCGCATCCAACAGTCATGGTCTTTGCAGCCGAAAACAATTCTATTGTTATGCGTCGCCGGCATGGAAATCATACCTCTGTACGGATTGCTAGGGTACATTCCCATCTTCCAAAAATTAGGGTTTATAGGACTCCAAAAATCATGGGAAATCTTTCCTATAGCTGTGATACACGGCGTGGTCATGGGCGGTATATCTAGCTATGGCCGGTCTGTGTATGCGTCGCTTATCCCTGAGGGGAGTGAGGCAGCGTTCTTCGCGCTCTTTGCAGTCACAGACAAAGGGAGCAGTGCTTTCGGACCTGCGTTCGTCGGATGGATTGTGGATCAGGCGGGGACGATACGTCCTGCTTTTATCTTTTTGGCGGTCCTGGTTGTGCTACCGGCACCTTTGCTTTGGATGTTGAACGTCGAGAAAGGGAGGGAGGACGCGAGACTGTCGGCGAAGGGAGAAGACGAGGGGAGAGGTCGATATGAGATGGTTTGTGCAGAATGAGTGGAGAGGGGATGACCAAAAGGTAGCTCTCGGGCGAAGGCGCGAGCAAACAGACAAAAACGCGCAAAAAAAAAGGCTATGCGCGATTACGCAGAAGTCTGAGTAAGGCAGTTTACTCGTCGCAAATTGTTCTTACTAGAAATCATACTATTAGATTGCGGCTATTCATGATGCTGAGAAAGAGGTAGGCATATGTAGACGGGATATGAGAGCTGTGCAAAGTGCATGTTGGGATGGAAGGAAACCCATTTTAGCATGTTGGCAGGAATGAGTCGTTAGGTGGCTCGGTCGACTTTGAAAACAGGAAGTAAGCTGCGTTACCTTGGGTTGCCACAAGCTGCAGAATTATACTAATATATTTTACCAAAGTATACGCAAGGCATATACCGCTGTGAATCTAGGCACCAGACTCCTATGCTGATCTTGGATGTAGTTCTTAAGTTTGATTCTGCAGCACCTTGGTCCGAGAGAAGATGGCTGGTCGCATTGGTTACATAGCAGCCCCGACCTGCAACCACGATCGCATGGCCATTCCGACTCACCAGCCATTGGTGAATTTTGAACCAAGTGTCAGACTCAATGTCGTATAACGTCTAAGCCTTTTGCTAGATATCTTCTCTGTCAAGTCGAATACCAGAGCTCACGTTCTAGAATTACTTAACCTCTTTATTAAGCGTTTTGTATGCATCTTTCATCTTGAGTGGCAACTGGCAGAAATCTGGCCTTCTGGGATACAGAAATCTGAGAAATCATAGTTCTTGTGGTGCGAGTTAAGCTTCGTCGCCCATGAACTGTCTTACGATCACACCACCACGCGTCATTTCCACGCCAACCTATACCTATCAACCTGATTACCTTATAAGCGTGAAATCACCGGTAATTCGTGTTCAATAATGCCTGGAACTAGAACAGCTTTTTTTTTCTTGTTACAAGCCGTCATCCTCGCTGTCTTGCTCTTCCGTGCTCCACCAACCATGACCACAGACTCCACGAATGAGCCGTGGGCTGATAGCCCCTGTTCGCTGATCACAACACCGCAGTATGCGACAAAGAAGGTATGCAAGCCATCTACTTGTGCTTGGATAGGTGATGCTAACTTCAATAGGATGATATCTTCACAACAGGCGCAACACACATGGCACACATCCACAACGCGATCCTACGCGGCTACAACTCCATCTTCATCCAAGCTCCATACGTAACGGACGAGGATAAGCCAGCGTTTGTCGGGTATGCCATGACTTGGTATGTATTTGTCAAAAGCCATCACGACGATGAAGAGGCGGAGCTATTCCCGAAAGTCGAAGAGGTCTTAGGATCGAAGGAAATCTGGAATGAAACGCACCAAGAGCACGGTAAGTCACTCCGCCTAGCAATGAGTATACTTCTAACCTGCCTACAGCGTCGTTTCTGACCGGGCTTGCAAACTTTGAAGCATATCTACGGGAGCTACCAACACCACAGGCCTTCCAAGGAACTGAACTCATACATATCATGTCTTCTTTCCAAGAATCTTTCTGCCATCACTTTCATCATGAAATCCAGACCATCGCCTCGTTTGCAGCGCTCCCCAGCGCTCCCGCGCCAAACTCGCCTCAGGCCGAGCAAGCCGCTGCCACTTTCAAAGCCTGGGGCAAGAAGACAGTCACCAAGGCCGGTACGTTCGATGTTGTGCCGTTTTTCTTGTTGAATTTGGATGCAACGTATGAAGAAGGTATGTGGGCGAATTGGCCACCAATGCCTGCCCCAGTACGGTGGGGTCTGGTGAATGTTGCGGGGAGTGTACACTGGGGGTGGTGGAAGTTTGCTAGTTGTGATGCTGCAGGCAAGCCGAGAGCTTTGTTTGCGCAACCGCAGGACGCTAAGTAACATATGAATGATCTTAGCAATTATTCACGGTGAAAGAGGATTATTAGCTCATATGACATTTTCGAGTGACTTCTCGCGCTGTTTTCAAGCTGACAAACGTTCGTCACTTGTACGAAAATACTGCACCTCCGTTTACTGCACAACACCGTTACTACACTTCCATTCAAATGTCGTCTCTAGCAGCCTCCCTCGAAGCGCAAGACGACGAGTTCAAAACGCTCTCCACGACCCTTTCGTCCACCAAAGCAACTCTACAAGCGCAGATTCTCGCCACGACGTCCGCCCGTGACAGCGTCAGCAACCTCATCAACAACGGTGCCAGTCTCATATACAACTTACCCAATTCTATCGTCAAGGAGAAGCTGCTAAGAATTCTCGACGGCTACGTTCACGTGCTCACCTTGCAGAATGCGCAGATCCTGATGCTGGAAAGTCTGGAAGAGCAGTTTGGAGCGAAGTGGAAGGGAGAGAAGGGCAAGAGCTTGGAAAAGAGGAGCATGTGCCTCCACGCAATGGAGAAAGAGTTTCAGAAGTTGGAGGAGCAGTACGGAAAGAACCTGAGGAAGGCGATCGGGGACGGGGAGTTACCTGCTTCGACGGAAGATGGTGGAGAAGAAAAGAAAGGCGGTGCTGGAAAAAACCGTTGAGACTGGGTTATGAGAAGCAACATGGGCTTAAACCATACGCTGTCTCTGTCTTGAGACAAGGCGCAGAGCGGTGCTCGTACAAGCTTCACCGTCGTGTCTCATCGAAATGATGAGAACATTCTCTAAGACAATAGTACAATGACTTCATTACCTGAAGCTCTCTTTGTCTGCTATAAAACAATCAACACCATACCCAGAACTACACACATTCTCCCAATCCCACCCCATACCCTATCAACCATACCAAGCTAAACCAATCCAAACACGACCATCCCCACCCAGACTCTCGAACACACCCTCCTGCAAGCCCAATACACCCACATATCCGAACTCTACACTTCCCTCTCTAGATCAAAATCCCAAATTGCTCACCCAGTCACTTCTCTCCGCAGCCTGGAAGCCAAGATTGTCGATGAAATCGCCACCTCGCCGCTGAGCGGGCTCGAGAGAATCAAGCTTCGCATGCGGTCCAGCGGATTCAGAGAACTGCGAGAGGTGATTTCACGAGGACATGTACAGATCTTGCTACTGGACGGACTCGAGGCAGTGTTTAGAGACAGGTGGAAGGTAGAGAAGAAAGGAGATGTGTTGGATCGTGCGCGGTTCTTGGGAAGTGGGCTGGGGAGTATGAGGTATTAATGATGTAGTGTTTCGATGTGTGGAGGGGATGTTTGGACGTGTGGAGTAGGGATGTGTAAAAAGGTAGCAAAACTGAAGAGGAGAAGGAAGACGTAGAGAGTTTGAAGTTGATGTTCCAGCAATAATGGGACGACGCGACTAAGGCTAGATATGCGTTTACTCTCGGAAGTCACGTCCGTCAAAATACTCTGATAGGTCTCTTTGAGGTGGAGAAGATAACAATTGATAGTATGAATGATGTCTTGCTCCATGTGGATACGCACATCTCTGTAGGAGAACTTCAACCCAGATAGCTCACGGCCTGCTCGCCCATCCCCTCGTGATCGCCCAATCCCAACCTCCCCACCCCTCATGACCCCTTGGCCTGACCCTGAACGGTTCACCCATCTCCGCATCCGGACAAATCCAGATATCTCCATACCCTATGCCATGGAACTTAACGCCATATCTACTACCATCCACTTGGCCTGGCGTAAGCGGTCGCGTGTCACACTGCAGATCACGACCAGGCGAGAAGACATCTTCTTCGCTAATACCGAGAGTGAGGAGCGTGTCGATAGATGGCGCAGGAAGTTGGTCAATGAGTGTAAGTACATCACCGTCCGCGGCGCATACGTCAGTAGCGGTGGGTGGCGAGAAGGATTCGAGGAGCATTTCAAAAGGGGTGGGCGATGCAGGTTTGTACATCTCAGCGGGTGTGGGCCAGTTTGCGGTTTGGAAGTCTGGCTGAGCTATTTCAGAGAAGAGGGAGAAGCCTTGGTGTATCGGTTTGGTGGGAACCCAGTTTGCATCGTCTGGATAGATGTCGGCGTCAGAGGGCATGGGTCCTTGATCGGTGCGCTTCACTCGCCAATGGCGTGGACGGTTTCGACGACCGGATGATCGACGCGAGTGATGCTGAAAGTGCTGGCCCGAGTCGTTGCGAGGTCGGTGTCCAAAGCTATATAGACCTTGGGGCACGTTTTCCATATGTATAGGTGTAGGAGTTACGGGTGCACGCTCTTCGACCGGGATCACACGTGGCTGGACAAACGCATCGAAACCTGGAGGCGGACGTACTAGCTTCAAAATTTCTCGATACGATGTTGGCTCTCCTAGGACAGTATTTTCTGAGGTGTGAGAAGCCGTGGTCGTGCCACCCGAGATTTCGTTCTGAGCACGAAGGTAGTCGGCTAAGGCATTAGCTGTCAAAGGCTTGTCCAGAGCCTTGCCGATCAGCTTACCATAGAGCTCGCCGGGGTGACCTTGAGCCAGGCGGGACTTGTGCGAACGTGCTGACGACTCAATAGTAGTAGTCTTCTTTCTCCTGGTAGGGAGACCCAGGCCGGCACTCAGTTCGTCGATGTCGACTGCATTGTAGATAGGCACGGGGTGATTTTGCGGGAAGACGAAGGGCGGGAAGTTCGATACAGGCCTACTCGCCGTGTGTTTGAAGAGAACATGTTCGTTGGGCATACGAGCCACACCTTGTCTCACAAAGTCGATTGGACGTTCTGCCTCCGTTAGCTACTCTACACTTACACAATCCGTTTTCGGCTACTCACCTTTCAGTGTCTTAACCAACATTTCTAGTGGGATGTTTCTGTCAAACAGATCCTCGACGTGGATTGGCGGAGGGGAGTAGCCTGTCCGAAAACGCTCACCTTCTGCCTCATGATCGCTCACAAACGGGTCGAAGACTTCGGAACATGAGACTTCCGAGTGTCCTCTCACTGATCTCGGAGCCGCCATCGGAGTAGATGCAGCTATTCTTGGCCTCTCCACCGTCGGAGTCGCAAAGGTAGGACTGAAAGGCACCGCCTTAGGATTGAAGCTTGTAGCTCGTTGCTGTGACAGCTCCATGTTGATGTTGGTCCTGGGAGGGTGAGTGTAAACGACAAACCAAGCAGAGCGGAGGATGGAAAAGTAGGGCAACCAAAGCGGAGTTGATATCGAGGCTCAGTCGTTATTCATTGTTCTGGAAACTCAGTGAACCTCGCAGCGACTTACGTATATGTTTTCCAACTCAACCTCTCGTCCACTAGAACGAGGAGGATGGGCAAACTATTTCTGACTCTGCCCACAAGTCGTGTCAACAGCAAGCGATTCTTTCAGAACTTGCGAAACTCTTGAAGAGCGACTACAAAGCGTGGTGTCGCGTGGATTGGATGAAGTAGGGGGACGCCGAATACTCTAGGTGAAGGTGGCCTTGAAGTCCAAATTTCGTTCGTGACTGCGGTTGCCGTGAAGGTGAAGGCGGGTCTCTCCTCTTGCCGATGTCATGGGACGGACGAGACGGCTGATGATGTGACAGGTAGATATAAAGATTCTTTCGCTCTTCTGGTCCTGTTTCACCACGACGCACCAGCTCTTACAGAGGTTCATGTTAGTAATGTAGTCATGCAACGACACACAGGCCAATACCTATTGTGGCAATGCGTGTGACTTGGTTATAGGCAAACCATGGTGCGTTGAAATGTTCGAAAGAAGAAATTGGAGTCCAAGAGCTACAATCAACCCTTTTTTCATGTGTTTTCCTTTCACATGGCGATCTAATGACACCCAGTTTCACTGTGGCTCAAGCTTACTAACATGTAACGCACTTTCAAAAACGCTTACCACTGGATGGCTCAATCGAAGATTGGTTTCCACCATACTCCCATCAACTGCGTCGACACCATGTTGACCAGCACGATACATGGCGTACAACTGTTGAATCCTCAACTGTTCTGCCACCCGACGAAACGCGCTAGCAAATGCGGTCACGATATTCATCCCTCGGCTTCGGCGCGCACACCTTGGTGTCCAGCCTGTGTCGCGTCGCTGACTAAAGCAAGTTTGGATGCGATGCAAAAGATGCTGGATTTGAGAGGGGGGCCAACACCAAACGCCTACGAGCGCGACCGAAAGTGGAATACCAACAGGCTCAGACGCAACATCGCAATGCAGCGATTGGAGAGTGCAAAGCGTAGAGATCAATTGCGTAGAGAACGGGAGCAAGCTTGGGAAGAGATGCATCAGCGATACGACTTTGAAAGAGTTCGCGCGGTACTTGACCAGAACTCCGCTGGATGTTTCGTTTGCGAGACAATGGCAGCCTCCTATCCAGATGAGACCATCAGATCGCAAGCTGTGGACGTGGCATGGTGGGAAAACCCAGATAGACTTGTCGCCAGTCGTAACCCTGTCCCAAAAATGCCACGGAAGCGGTCACAAAAGACTGCGCATGCGTCGAGAGGCTCGCCAACTATGCGAAAGATTATCCAGGACCATCGGTCAGCTCTGGTGGATATGAACATCCAGATAGAAGCGTGGAAAATCCGATATAGAATCGAACGTAGTGTGCGCCGGAAACATGGTTTGCATGAAGGATACCACTTCCAACCAGGCTTCTGGGAATCTCCAGTTTCCGGTGTTCACGTCCGCCTGCACTATCAGGTTGCCAGGGAAAACCAGAGGAAGGCGGAACGCCGTGCTCGGGGGAACATGTCACGTCCTAGGCCTCCCTGCAGCCCTTTGTTGTACTCCGAAACTGTTGGGGAGATTGAAATTGACGAGGAGATGGTACAGACAATTAAAGAGAAAGAATACAGGGAAGAGATGGAAAGACAAGCAAGACGGGCAGCTGGAGAAGTTGGCTATCTCTACTTTAACGGTGGTATTGATGGACTGGAGGAGTGGGAGGATGATGTTTTGAGAAGCAACAGGGATTTGGTATCAAGGAAGCCGATGCTGGAGCATGAGCCGGGGAATGTTTGCGAGGAAGAAGACACGGACGTTGATGGTGATGACGATAATGGGGACGAGAAGGAATCTGATGAGATGGATATTGGCAAGACATAGTGTCTCTAGGGAACTGGGATGTGTGGAGCCTCGCACTTGTAGGTCGGCGTCGTTTGAGGGTTTTCAGATAGCGCCACGACAATGTAATGACACAAGAATGATGGCTCTAAATATGGAACGAGTATTGTTTGAGATTGCGAGCCATGTGAGTGCAGTATCTATTATGCAGATGTGAGCGAAGAAGCTAGGGCTCCTATCTTTTGATTGGCCTGACCTCTACCTTCTTGATTGGCTGTACCTCGCGTTCTAGTAATGCGACAATCTCCAACACTTGCAGAAGCAGGCCCACCGTTTCTCAATACCATCCTTTCCTCTGTCTATAGCACCATGGGTAAAGGTACAGACAAACTCTACATCACACACTCAGAGTGGTCCTCGTCAGACGCCTTTGGCACGTCACGCGGCGCAAACAGCGCAAACCGAATCTCTGCGGCCGGGCTCTCGTCAACATTCAAGCGGCTGCCCTTCAACTACTGCGCCGTTTCGCTGCAGCCTTTCACCGACCCCGTGTGCACGTCTTCCGGTACCATCTTCGACCTCACCCACATTCTCACCTGGCTGTCCAAGCACCCCGACACGAACCCCGTTGATGGATCGCCGTTGAAGCGCGCGGACCTCATCACGCTGAACTTCACCAAGAACGAGGACAGCGAGTATGTGGACCCGGTCACATACAAGGTCTTCACCGACAACACGCACATTGTCGCGCTGAGGAAGAGCGGGAACGTGTTTGCGTGGGACACGGTGGAGAGGCTGAACATCAAGGCAAAGAACTGGCAGGACCTGGTCAGCGATGACGAGTTTACGCGCAAGGACATCATCACGCTGCAGGACCCGCAGAACATCGAGTCGAGAGACTTTGGCTCATACAAGCACGTCCAGGAGGGGGACACGGTCGTGCCAGAGGTCGAGAGCGGCGTGAACAAAGACGCGCTGGGCAATGCAGCCAAGATCTTGAAGGCAAGGGAGGCAGTTGCAAAAGCACGCGCAGACAGGCACGCCAAGGCACATGGGAGCCAGAACTCCAAATCCATCGCAAATGTCCCTAAAAACGGCACATCAGCATCCACCACATCAGAGCCCAAGAAGCCAGCGTACAACGCCGCCGTCTACACTTCCGGAAAGGCCGCCGCGTCCTTTACCTCGACCGGAGTCACCCCCCACACCTCTGGCGAACGCGCTCTCCTGTCCGACGAAGACTACATGCTGAAGCCCAAGCGTATAAAGCAAAAAGGATACGCGCGCATATCCACAAACCTTGGCGACTTAAACATCGAACTCCTCCCTGAATACGCACCGCGCGCAGTCTGGAACTTTGTCAAGCTGGCACAAAAAGGGTACTACCGCGACACCGTCTTCCATCGCAACATCAAGGGCTTCATGATCCAAGGCGGTGACCCAACGGGCACCGGGCGAGGCGGACAGAGCATATGGGGAAAGCCGTTCAACGACGAGTTCGAGGGCCCGAATCTTCACAACGCAAGAGGGATGCTGAGTATGGCAAACAAGGGCAAGAACACAAACACCAGCCAATTCTTCATCACGTACCGACCAGTCTCGCACCTCGACCGCAAGCACACAATCTTCGCGCGTGTAGTCGGGGGTTTGGATACGACGCTCCGCTCCATGGAAATGGCTGAGACAGGCGAGAAAGACCGACCCGTCGACGACGTTGAGATCCAAGATATTGTCGTCTTTGTCGATCCGTTCGAGGAATGGCAGAAGGAGAGAAGAGATAAGGAGACGAAAGACGCCGAAGACGAGGAGATCAAGAAGCAAGGTGGCACAGTGGATGATCGAACGACGTGGACCGGGAAGAGGATTCGTGCGGATGGAACTGTCGAGGGGGGTAGTGGCGAAGGATTGGGCGTGGGCAAATATTTGGCTGCTGCGAGGCAGGAGCAAGAGGGTGAGGAGATTGTAGGGTACGTCGACGAGGAGGAGAATGTAGCGCCTGTGAAAAAGAGGGCGAAGACAGGCGGTTTCGGGAACTTTGATGCCTGGTGAGAAGGTGTGGAGAATATGTGTTATGTAGGATTTATAGAATTGATACCCCATTACGAGTTTGGTTGTACTCAAGCATTTGCTTGTGATAAGTCTGCAATAAACAGGACAGCTCTTTAGTTAACGAGATGACGAAACGTCGAAGAACAGATTCGTTCATGCGTTCGGTGTTTTGTTTGCTCGAATGCATGTCCTGGGACGATCGAGGACGAGGCTGGTGTCAGGTTGACAGCACCCTTCTACAAATACTTCCCATAAGTGGGCGACCAAATCGTGAGATATGCTGCGCGTAGTGCTAAACAGGCAGGTGTGGGAAACAAATTGACCTTTCTTAAAACCAACCTTTCAACAGCTAGACGCCTGCCCTCGGATAAGAACGCGCTTCAGCTCCTGTACGACGAAGACGAAAGGCAGGGATGTGTTGAGTGTGTGACACGGCGCCAGCCAATGCGCGATGGCTGTGCATTGTCGGCGTGACATGACGCCCTCTCCGCTGTTTCACCTTTCGCCCGCTTGCATCATGACAGAAGCTCAAACGAGCAGTGTGTACCAACCGCCATGCGACGCTCCTCGTTAGACCGCATCGCTCAGGACCGCCCTGCAGGCCGGGCTTGGGATGCGCGCGACGGCGCATAGATTTACCATGGATCTGCACTTGTTCACACCTCTACTGTAGCTGATCGATGGCATGTGCAGTTGATCTGAGTGGACTTCTCTCCTTTTACAAGTCAGCATAACCTCCGGTTCTTGAACGCTGCGCGTCTGTTTGTTTTTTCCTCGTTTTACACTCTCGCAATTTATCTCAAGACTTTCGTTTTTTGCAGGCCCGGCGCCAGACCCTCTTTCGTGTCCGTTTCAACTCCTTTCCCAAAGACTTTGCAGCATCATAGCCAGCTATATACATTACAATCGACTTCGGAACCAGAAGCAGATCTCGCAGCTAGATAGTGGTGTGCAGTGTGAAAGAAGAGCGCAGGGAGCCTCATTGTATTCCCACGGCAACGTGCAGACAGACCGACATCTACGCAGTGCAAAACGGACAGCACCCCTCGTTCAAACGCCATCCGTCTCAAACCCTCACTTTTCCCACCGGGAGATGCACGCTGGTTAGCGACGACATTCTGACCACTACGCTCATTTACCAGTCTACCTCACCAACCTAAGCCAGACCGGCCAAGGCGCAAAACCAACTCGACACGACCATCATGTACATTCTCAGCTTTCTTCTCCTCGCCACCAGCGTGCACGCTGTCTCCCTCGCCTCCTTCACCCCTCGCATTAAGGAGCTGCCCTCGCAATGCGACACAGCATACCGCACCACGATCTCTGGTTGTGTTGGCGACGAGTTCAAGGCAGGGGCGACTTGCAGCGATGCGTGTGTGCAAGGCTTGAAAACGATTGGGGAATCTGTTATGAAAGCGTGTGAAGGCGTGGATGTTGGCGAGACGAGCATCATTGGACTCTTCCAGATGGGGTCGGGCATCAAGGCACTGTGCCCAAACAACAAGGAGGAGACTACCGCGACGACGACAAAAAATCAGGAGAGTGTTACAAGAACACTGCAGCAAACAAGCATACGCTCACAAACGAGCACACGTGCAACAGAGACTGACACAGGTTCATCCACGACGCAGACAGAGGAAGCAAAGCCATCGAGCACGTTATCTGGCTTGTTAACAGATCCGGATGCCACGACCACATTCGCGACAACGGCCATCGTCGCACCAACACAGAGCTCTTCAGCAACACAGAGCTCGACGGCCAACAACCAGTTATCCAACACGAATTCTGGGGGTGGATCGCCATTCGACGTCGTCGCCATGGGTTCTTCGTCGCAATCACGCCCTGCACAAGTGACGATGGCGGTTCTTCTTGCAACGGCAGCGTTGCTTGTCGTATACGTCTGATTGCATAACGCCCACATTTTCTTTTGTTGCCATGACGGCATGGCGTTTGGGCAAAGGGGTTTGTTGTATCGTTATACCCGCGCTGGTTCACAATAGGGACGTGAATGCGATATGGAGTAGGGCATATCTTGTAGGATGAATGGAGAGTTTGGCTATTGCGGACAAATATACATCCTCTGCATGCTCCATTAGAGAGTATCGAGCATCAAGCATCGAGAATTACGAAATGATGACTCTTCCAAATATACATGTTGCACATTGCATTATCTCCGTATCAGACTGCTTGTTTTTTTTTATTTCCTCTACACAGCAAGTTTAGCACAAATCGAACTACCCTAGTCTTCCTCTCGATTTTGACCTGCCCTGCCTGCGCAAACCCCCTGTCACTCAAGCGAGGGCAACTGCACGTCACCGCTCCGGCTCACGCTCAACCAACTCACTCCCCACCCCGCCATGCAGGAACACAGTCGCGGGCCTGTCCAGAGTCACGATGCGGAAAACAATACTGCTCTGCTTCATTCACGGGTTTAAGGTGCGTGTGTTGTATCGCAATTGAACGAGGGGTTACGTCATTTGGGTCTGGGGTCCGGGGGTTCGCAGATCGAACCCATCTCACTCGAAGAGTGGTGAGATGGGCTGTTTGGTTAAGTTGAGGCTGACTTTTGGATGTAGGGCGGCGACGATACGTTTGGGAACTTCCCGTCCCATCTGAAAGCTCTTCTTCAACACGCGCTACCCAAGGTTACGGTGCTGACGGTTACGTATCCAAAGTATGAGACGAGGGGAGACTTGACCGAGTGTGTTGCGAGGTTTAGAGAGTGGTATGTATCGTTGGAGTCATGTTCCTACTCGATGCAATCCATGCTCTGCACCTAACATGCACGCAGGCTCGAAAACAAAGTCATTGATCTCGAGGTCGCGAATTTGACTCCCTCACCTACTGTCGACCCTTCCGTTCGTACTATCCTCATCGGCCACTCTATGGGCGGCATTGTGGCTGCGGAAACGCTGCTCTCGATCGTTGGGGAGCAACCTATCCACTCACCTCAAGACTCGCAGTCACAGTCATCACTCTCCGATCACTCGGCACTCATGTTTCCATACATCCAAGGTATCCTGGCGTTTGATACGCCGTATATCGGCATTGCGCCTGGCGTGGTAGCTCACGGCGCAGAGAAGCATTGGAGCACGGCGAGTCAGGCCTACTCAACGTACTCGAACCTTGCGGGAGCATTTGGCTGGGGCAACAAAGACACGACGGCTGGCACGATTGACACGAGCAGAATGATCACTGCACCTCCACCGTCGGCCAGTGACGATGCGGCATCAGCACCTCTATGGCAGCGGTACGGTCGCGTAGCCATGTTTGCCGGCGCAGCAGGCGCCATCGCAGCAGGTGGTGCCGCGGCCTACATGAAGCGCGAAGTCATATCCGAGGGTGTCTCCTGGGCAACTTCGCACCTCGAGTTTGTTGGTGTGCTCGCCCGGCCTGAGGAAATGAGGAAACGACTCGCAAATGTCATCAACTTGACAACAACAAACGACCTGGGCTTCACGAATCTTTACACAACACTTGGTCACACCATCAATTCACAGAACAAACAGTCCTGGACGGGAAATGTGCCGGGCATTGACCGCACGTTTTGCAACCTGCCAAAAGGGGAGATTAGACGGTTTTGGATGCCTGCGGTCAATGACAAGGTTACTGCGGAGACCGACGCGCATATGAACATGTTCGAGCCAAGGAACAATCCAGGTTACTATACACTGAGTGAGACAGCTAAGGAAAAGCTCATTGAGTGGGCGGAGAACGAGTGGTATGAGGAGAGTGAAGGGCGGTTAATGGGCCCGGCCGAGGAGGAAGCTGAGTTGGTAGAAAGAGTGGATGTTGACGATAGCATGGACGGGGCGGAAGAAGAGTTTGAGGATGTGGGGAGGCCGAGTGTTGAAGTACAGGGTGGGGCGGAAAAAGAAGACGAGAGCAGGGCGAAGATTAAGAAGGACCAAGAAAAGGAGACGAAGGAGCAGAAGCAGGAGGCTAAAACATAGAAGGAGTCGTGATGGAAGGATAGAGGCTTTAATGTATGATTGCCTATATGGGTAAATGGCATTCAGTGAGTAAGGCATACCTTTTTCCCCCACGCGGCTAGACATTTTTGATACACTCGAGAATGACTTGTAGCAGTATCGAAATTTCATCATCCGGTTCGAATGCTCGATATATGCTCCACATCTCTCTCGTTATCCGTCATCCGCTCTCATATCATGGCTCGTTCTACTTGACTCTTGGAAACCTGGCTCAGCTCTAACTCCACGGTCGCTTCTGTGATGTGTTCAGTTGTAATGGCGATCTTGCGGTTCGTCGTCATGTATGATCGCGGTTTGCTTGAGTGTTGGCCCTCGGTCAATACTTTACCTTGTTTCCCACGCAAATTCAATAGATCTTCAATTTTCGATGTTCAGGTCGAACTTCACAGGAACAAACGCTGGAATTGTATATATAACCCTCGATCAAGTCTGCCTACCATCTCCGCAGATCTCTCTCGACAATCGCTATCCACAGAACAACGATAACGACCACAACCACAGCGAGAATCTACAAACCAACACTTCAAGACACCATCACATCCCAATAATAAAAACAGAAGCAATGCCCAACTACCGCCGCAGCTACAACGGCTTCCTCCCAGCATCCAGGGGCGGCCCCGCACGTGCGCCGCGCCGTGGTCAACCTCCGCTTCACTCGTTTGGCCCCACACAAATGCCCAGTATAGGGCTGCAACAGGGGCTCCTTCGCAGTATGCAAGGAGACGGGTTGATGGGATATGTGGGGGGCTTTCGACGCGGATTCGGTGGTGGTGGAGGGGGTATGGGGTTTGACGAGTGTGAGGATTGTGAGGGATTTGAGGGACATGGCGGGTATGGGGGCGGCCTCAGGGGATATGGTGGGTATGATGATGATGATTATGACGAGAACGAGGGTCCTTATGGAGGGTTTGGAGGGCCGCATGGAGGACATCCTGACTTTGGATATTATTAGCATACCGTGTGGTAGATTGAGACCGATGACAGTGAAGTAACATACTTGTGGCATAAAGTTCAGCTTTAGATTACCTTCAAACTCTAATTAGAATGTGAATGTCTGAATGTGAGCTATAAGAATGCAATCTCTACAGACTGTAGTTGCTTAGAACAGGATTTTCGTGCTACTTCTTCTTGCAGTAAGTCGCCAGATATCACGCTCTATAAGTTCTCTTTCTGACATAGTTCGATCACTTTATGTTTGCTTGACCTTGTTATCCCTCAAATCTGTCACCAGTTTATCTCGATTAGAACTCTTCGGCGTGACGAACTTTTTCTAACGTTTGTATATCGAATAACCTCACAAAAACAAAGCCAGCCAAGTGTATACTTGACTTTGCGATTCCTAATTCAAACTTTGTTCATTCACTTTGACACGTTTAGATGTCACCTGTTGCAAATTTTAAGGTCAAATGTTTCATGTTGTGGTGACTGCCACTCGTATTTTTGAACGTTGTCTTCCATCACCTAGTTTGCTAGTGTTGAGTTTCATGGATACCCATTCACATCCTACTTTGATGATCATCGATACATCTTCTGTAGAGGTATATAACTTATCTTGTATCGCACTCAATGCCTCCATATTCATAACCCTCGCCATACCACAAAATACATACTCATACCAACGCAACAAACCATTTCACACATATCAACCAGCAGACCCGCAATAATGAATAGCCCCTACGATTACAACTTCACTCGGTCCCCCTATCCCTATGGTAGACCGCGCACACGCAGTAAAGACTTTCCTACTCTGAGAGACACAGCGGATTACATTCCCACAGCATTCCAGAACCATGGTCGTGGCTTACCCAGGTCGTCAGGCGAGCTACGTCCTCACTTTGGCAGACCTGGCGACTCGAACGACGGGTTTGAACTCGATTATACCCGTAACGTTGCCGGGTTCTCTGATTCAGACGAGTCGGACCTCGAGCCCACTGCGTACGACATCGAGTACTTTGAAGCCGCAGAATGCGACAGTGCGCAGGCTAGGTTTGCTGGAGACTTAGGTCGGGAAGGCCGAGTCGCTGGTGGCAGTCGGCGAGTAAGACGACCTGGTGCTCGAATGGAGAAAGACACTAGTCAGATGTGTGGTCGAGTAGGGTTGACCAGTAGTCCGCGTGTTTGGATAGGAGGTACTGGATGTCAAATGGGAGGATCTGGCACCCAAACACGCGGGCCAAGACCTCCGATAAGACGTTGTAATAAGCAGGAGCAATACTAAGTCTTGATGTATCAAAGTACATATACACAGTAGAAAGCGAGGTTAGGAGTAGATCTAGCCAGGCCGGATGGTTCAAATCCTTGCATGACTTCTTGGATATTCTTTTGCTTGGTCTTTTGCTATGCAAAAGTTGAGTTGATTGCTGTAGAAGCCAATGACTCTGCTTAGGCATTGTCACTCCACACTCGTATGCAATGAAAATATACGAAGGCCTACTATACACTCACTTCGTATGTTTCACATCTAGCCACGTGATACCGTGTTCATGAACAGTGACATGATGCCCGAACAGCGTACTTGTTCCTAAACAGGCCGCCGATTAATTATTTCTTGCTACTGTTCCTATTCCTCATAACAAACTCAACTCCACAGGTTCTAACGACAGGCTTTTATACAGCAAACCAGATGATAGAATAAGACATGTCTGAGAAAGAGCAACTCAACTCGTGGCGCAACGTCTTCGGAATCGGCGATGGCCATGCATGGGCCGGCCAGACGCCGTTCAACAAGCCATTTGCTACGACAACTGATAACAGAGAAGCTGACGAGTCTCTGTCGCCTTGGGAGTCTAGAAAAACAGGTACGTCGACAAAGGAGACAGTGCCGGACGCTGGCGGAACGCCGCTACGTGCTAAGGCGACTGCATTTGTTCCTGGCGGCAATGCGCATGGTGTGCGGGAAGGCATGCCATAACGTATGGTCAGGTTAGGGGGCACTGCCTGATCTGATCACAAAAATTACAAAACATGCAAGTCGATGATCAATAACAAGCTATTGTGATAGTGTGACAAGCTAACCCCATGCATCGTCGTGACAAGGAGATCTTCCTACCACCATCACTATTGATAAGGCTCTACGTTGATCTAGTGCATTTGCCATAGTGGATGTTTGTTTTGTCGAGCGTTTAAGATTTGCAGGCTCTCTCACAAAAATAAACTTTCTCAAGAAGATACTTATTTGTGTTCACCACGAACCCTGAATCAGTGGTGCGAGACTTCCTAATCAATAGCCAGGCTTCAGATCTTGAATCGTGGAACGAGTACAATCGTTCTCTCCTCTGTACTCTGAGCTGACGATTGTGAGAAGTCTTGGGGCGAACAACGTACGAATGATGACGCCTATCGATAACGGCAGTTAGCGTGCCACACCTCAGTCATCTTCGGATCGCGTCCCTCACAAGCCCCATAGCACAACAGTCTTTCTGCAGCATAATTCAGCACAATAAGAACACTTTTGAAAGGTCGAGAGCCTTTAACAAACCACGGATGTCGGCGGAACCTAGGCCGGAGCAACCCGCGAGCGCTAGACCTACCATCATCTGTTGCGACATTTCGTCATAATTTCATGACCCGTGTGTCTTGCAGTGTATATGATCATCTTTAGGACAGCACCTGCCTGAAGGGGTCGAGTTCTCTGTGTCAGTTTGTTGCGCTCAACAGTTTCGCCAACTCTTGCCAACCGACCTAGACTTTCGTATCATGGCGGACGCAGCCCAGAAGAAGAGTGGGCTTCGTGCCATGTTCGGTATGCGAACAGGAAAAGAGGCAGGGCCCCGAAAAAAGTTGTCAAAGAAGGGCTTTGATAGCGATGCACCAGGAGCCAGGAACCTCGATCCAGATTTGGTGGCAAATTCGGGCCGTCAACACTACGGGAGCTTTGCAGGTCACAGTAGTGCCCTTACAAGAGAAGACGCAGGACCTCCAACATATGAAGAGGTCACCGGTCTTCCATCACGTACATTTCGAGACAATCCCTATTCTGGGATCGACAGCAGCAATTTTGGTTGCTCGCAACAGAGTTCAACATTGGCCGAATATCGCCGTAATTCAGAAGGACTGCAACAGCTAGCTGCACCTGTTTACAATGCATCGAATTTACGTTCAGCATCAGTACCCTTTGGTCAGAGCAATAGTACGGAAGGCAACAACCAATATGCTGTATCCCAAAAAGCACCACGTTCCAAGTTGAGCAAAACTCAACGTCAAGTGGCACGCGTGGACGATACTCTTGACAAAGACACTGGCGAGCGAAAGGATCTGACAGACATGATGCACGCTTTCACTTTCAACGAGGAGGTGGATAGCGCTGATGAAGAGGATGATGATCATTCGACTTTGAATTACGACGTTTCCAAGCCGGACGGCACAGCACTCTTAGGCAGCGCGTCGCCCGAGGTTTGGCTTCAAATAGCAGATTTCATGTCTCCTTTGGACGTAGCCAACCTCTCGTCAACATGTCGCACAATGTACGCACGTCTTGGTAGGCATCCTTATAAATTATTTTTGAACCCTTCCAATCGTCCGGACCGCATCGACTACCTACTAGCAATGGATCATAAACTCCCACAACATTTGTTTTGCTTTCCGTGCGCTACATGGCATCTACGGACACAACCAGGACGGGAAACGCTCAAGCCTCAAAATGTGCTCAATCCCCTGTTCGATTGTCCCAATATGACAAACCATCTCCTTCCACCTCCGAGAATCAGGATAACAGAAGGGCGCTTGCTGCCCTTTGCCTTTGTGCAGATGGCGCGTCGATCCCGTATGTACGGAGCCGATTATGGCATCTCATCACAGTCCCTTGGACGCAGATGGAAAGACCCGTACTCGACTTGGACTCACGAGAGCATGTACCACGTGACAGATAAAGGGCATGTCCTTATGCGTGTAAAGTCCCAGATCTATGTTGAGGGCGGCATGACAGACGCAGCAAAGCGCATGCTCATTTTCAGCAGAGGCGACTATACGCCCTACTTTAGCGTTTGCTCACATTGGAAAAACGGTCTACTTACGTCAATACCAAAATGTGCCCTCGATCACATCCCAAAACTCGAAGTCGATATGCTCTCGCGGGCGCGAGACAAAGTCGTTCTCAAAAAAGGTTCCGGTCTCGTCAGCCTCTGTAATCGATGCAGACCTATGCGTCGCTGCCCCGAGTGTCCCACGGAGTACTTGTTCGAGCTCAAAATGGTGGAAGACAAGTCTGTAAAAGCGATGGTTCCAGAACGGTTCAGGCAGGCTCTGATTGCTACCAGATGGAGTGATCTTGGCCCGGGTCGGAGTCCGATAGACAAGGAATGGGCGGCGATTGTTGGTGAAAACAAGGAATACGACGGTCTTGTAGAAACCGGGAGGCGAGCGGTCAGTGGCGTATTTGAGAGTGCATTCAGTGACGCTATTCCTGGACAGAGGATGCTATCTATGAACCCGCACAAGATCAAGGCGGATGAGACGGCGGGTGAATGCTGGTACTGAGATTCTTTCGTATCACTTTGAAGCTATATCACGTTGGAAGACCTGATCTTTTGTGAGATGGAAAGAGAATGTCATTAGATGTTCCATCTATCTAGCGACAATGGTAAACAAAAGAAGTGATATCCATCGACGGCACTATGTCTTTCTATCGTACAAATCTAGAAAAAAGATTGATGTATTGGACTTGCTATTAGGCAAGAAGCCTTGGTAAAGGAAAGACGTGGAAATTTCAGTTCATGAAAATGAGTGCGCCCATCAGTTTGAAAATACCCATAAAAACACCATGATGTTCCCCAAGCAAAATTGTCATAAACCTTCCACATGAAGGCAAGGTTTTTTTCTCCCAAACAAACGTTTCATGGAAGTTCTCCCAACAAAGATCGTAGTCCTGACGATTGACCTAAATAGCTCAAACAGTATTCCGGATTTTCAGGTAGTGGTACGTATCGCGACACGCGTCAAGAAGTGTCCTGTTGGTCCACCACCCCAACTCCGCCCTCGCACGATCAGCAGCCGCGATCGAAGCCTGTACATCGCCATCTCTCCTTGCGACGATCTTCATGGGCACCTTCAACTGAGAAACACCTTGCATGGTGTTGACAACTTCTGTGACTGAGTTGCCCTGACCGGCTCCCAGGTTGAAAGTACGGAATCCAGCGGGGACATGGCCTGCCCGAGCGGCGCGCAGCGCCGCCGTGTGCCCTCTTGCAAGATCGGTGACGTGGATGAAGTCTCGGATGGCAGTGCCGTCGGCAGTGTCCCAGTCGTTGCCGTAGACTTGAAGTTCTGGGAGCTGACCGGTCATAACCTTGACGACAACAGGGAGTAGATTGGATGGAACACCCTTGGGATCCTCGCCGAGCAACCCCTCGATATCGCAGCCCACAGGGTTAAAGTAGCGCAGCGCGACGATGTTCCAGGCTGAGTCGCTGGTGGCAAGGTCTGACAGGATGGCCTCGCCAAAGAATTTGGTCCTGCCGTATGGGCTGGTAATGCCTATGTATCCTGGTTGGGACAACTTTTCGATACCATCGACGTCTACGTATTTTTGGTTCTCGTGTACGCAGTGCTCTTCACGGAGGCGCTTTGAACCATCTGCCTGCGTTCCATAGACGGCGGCACTGGAGGAGAAGATGAATGTCCTGATGTTGAACTCATCCAGAATAGTGACGAATGCGAGTAGGCCAGTGATGTTGTTGTTGTAGTAGCGTAGGGGTTGTCGAATAGATTCCTCCACGGCCTTGAAGGCCGCGAAGTGAATGACGCCGATGATGTTTGACTGTGGTGCGTTTGAAGAGTACATCATGCTAGAGCTTGGTGGTGTGTAGGTCTCTAACAAGTCGCGCATAGCCTCCTCATCGCTGTAGTTCATGTTACAGAAGCGGGCTTTGGGGCAAGGTTTGCCAATCTTGGCGAAGTGCATATGTGCGGTTTTGAGAATGCGGTCAAACACATCGGGCACGCTGTTACTTAGGTCATCGACGATGAGAACGTTGTAGCCGTCTTTTAGAAGCTCAACTACTGTGTGGCTACCGATGAAACCCAGTCCGCCGGTGACGAGAACATACTGCTCGTTGTGTGAATGTGAGAGAGGGGCGAATAGTACTTCTTTCTCGGTTCCTGGAGTGGTTGACCTGGAGATGCCAGGAGAGGACGCAGGCGTGCTGTCGACGGAGGAGTTCATGTCAGGAACGGCTTCTTCTGGAGTATGCGCTCGGGGAATCTGAGGAACGACAGTGTGTGGTAATGAACGACGGGTGTGACGAGAAGTGAATGTGAATGGATTTACAAAAACGACCATGGTTCAAATATAAGGAATTGTCAAAGCGTGACCAGGTATTAGGGATTATGATGATGCTGAACCAATATATAATTTGGCACTTGTATTCCTTTGAAAACGTGGACGAGGTCCCCACAGACTCGTATGAACTGAACAGACTCCGGATAGCGACAGTGAGTGGTACGGCCTATGGAAAGATAGTTGTGGGCGATCGTATCGTGCGAGCGAGTCTGGAATTTGAATATCGACGTAGAAGAATAGCGCACAGACTGGTTTGGGAGGTAGTGACAGTGAGTGATCATGCCAACCCTGGGCGAATGTGTCTGAAACTTAAATTTGGTTCGCACCGTCGTGAGAAGCGCGATCAGGTTTTAGTCGGTAAAATCTGGTATAGTCTACAATCGTTTGAAATAGTTGGGTACGGACATGACCGGACGCTGAATGAACTTGGTTGACAAGATGAGACCCTAGGAAGAGTAAAGATGGTGACAGGTTGGCTGCAGGCAGGACCGATGTACCTGCTGCTTTTCTCCATGAACTAACATTGGACAAGGGTCTTCTGAACGATTGCTTGGAAGATTTCAAAGAGGACAATCGGAGATTGAGTCATGAATCCCTGGCCTAGAGTTGAAATCGATTGATCCTGAGCCAGCCGAACCTTTTCCGGACGATGACCTTCGATCAACAAACGTCACATAACACTGGCGTCAGTAGATGCATATGCTGGGTTTCAAACGTTGTGAAGTCATAAACGGGGGCTAGATCGATGGCGCCTAAGTTCAGCAAGCACTAACAATAGCCCTTGCTTGGTCGTACAAATTGTAAGCGGACCGCATGAGTACTAGCTAGCCTGAAAGAGAATGTCACAACATGGTACTCAATTTAGAATGCAGTGTGCATAATATCGATTGCCACCCGTATATTGGCTTGCATGAATGTAAGTTCCAACTAGAAACGGCCCAATTCTTGCTCCGTAGTACATGACTCAATGCAGAATGGATTCGATTGCCATCCATGTTCTACCAAGGCTCAACATTCTTTTCTTCTATATCAGAAAACCGAACATTCTTCAGCTCCACATCACCTTCCAGGCCGGGAATCGAAAACTTGGGTAATGATGGCGTCCCCGAGAGCCACTGTGGTCGTGCCTCTGTACATCTGGCCAACTAGCTCAGCTTCTTGGGAACCACTCTACGAATCGTAAGTGCGGCTTGGATTTACAGTTTGGAAACATCACAGAGACACTAACATCCACTTACATTGCAGCATTTCCACTCATCCCACAGTCGACTTCCTGGTAGTCGTAAACCCTGACAGTGGTCCTGGGGGTGAGCCATTGCCAGGACACGACTACGAGCGCGAACTGCCCAAACTAAACGCTGCTGCAAACGTCTGTACTATTGGATATGTACGAATCGACTACTGTCGGAAGCCTTTGCATGAGACGTGTGAGGAGATTGATCGATTTGCTGGATGGGCAAAGGACCGGGGTGACAAGCCGAATCTTGCCATGCATGGGATTTATGTCGATGAGACACCGAACCATTATTCTGCCGGCAGGGCACTTTATCTCGAGGCCCTGCATAAGCATATCAAATCTCGCGAGGGGCTGCTTGGTCAACGATTGGTGCGTCTCGTTATTCCAGCATTTGCCCTGGCCCTGTCCTATGTATCCAAATGCTTTCGTCATCATGCAAGACACCCCTGTGCCAAGCATGTCGCGGTCTAACAGGTCATTGCAGATATTTCACAATCCTGGGACACCTCCTGACTCTGAACTTGCGAGCCCAGCCATTGTGGACGTGATTATTACTTGTGAAGAGCCGTACCAACGCTATAGTGGCGAACAGGTCCAAACTAGGCTTCGTGAGTACTTTGTCGACAGGACACGTTCCGGGTATCAAATTTCTGACGTATCACGAAACGTGATTCGCAAAGTAGTTGGAGAATTGCGCCACAAAGGAGCATATATCTTCGCCACTAGTTTGGTCGAAGACTTTTACGAGAGTTTCGGAGAATGCTGGAGAGAATTTGTGTCAGCTATGGATACTATTGAAAACTGGTAAAACTTAGTTAGTTACAATCGGGTTGTTTGCCTAGTGTCGTCAGGTTTGGGCCGGTAGACTAGCTTCCTCAAAGCCATGCGTGGCCCCACTTAACGCACCTTGTAACCGGATCTGGCATACCATGTACCGGGTGGTGACACGCGATATGGCGTAGCGTCAACCTATAACGAATGACGATAGGCGGAAAGGTCGAGATGCTGTGCGACTGGCGGGTAATCTGCGAAGGCTCGCGCACTAGCAGAATGCCATCCGCCACGGTACCTGGATCTGTGCGTGGCGGGGGATGGCATGGGCTTATGTTGTCAGCGCACAATCCAACGGCATACATGATACTTGAATGGATAGCACAGCGCAACGTGAGCATTGAAGAGTGAGATTGAAATGGCTCAAACAGCATGAATGTCAAAAGAACCAGATGGGCCATAATCGGACCGAGGCCTAGAGTAGACATGCAAGTTTGGTTGACCAGGTGCCAAAGATGCGATAAATATACGACGAAACAGTATGGGTTCATTGACGACTGTGCAGAGCGAACAATGACGCGACTGGAGCTTGTCATGTAGTCGGGCCAGGGCTAGCAGGGGTGGAGGTGGAGCGAACCTTCCGGGGAAGAGGAGGTTGGACCACGTCCCTGGGAAGATGGAAAGACCCATGCAGCGGGACGTTGAGCACGACAGCCTGTCGTGAATCGCGGAAACAGGTTTGCACAGTGCAGTACATGTTATTGCATGTAATTCCTGCTTGCAGGCTACAACACCGCTTCCATGCCTCAGCTTCTAAGCGACAGCGCCGACACGCGGGGGTAATTTGCGCATCATTGGCAACTGTGGACCGACCGTTGGCGGACATAGTTACGCCGGCGCTGAACAGCGTCCTAAGTAGGAAGGCGCCGGAGGATGCCGCTGTCAAACTGGTGAGCCGTACTTCGCGTCCACGGCACCACTGCCCGTCCAAGCCTGAGGCGTTCGAGTTTGCAACCGCCGAAAAAGCATGGGTAGTGGACGTCGCACAACCGTGACCTGGGTCAGGCCTCGTGATTAGCGTGGCATGTCATGATTACACACGCTACAAGATAAACTTTGGCACAGCTTTCTCGAACCAAATGGTACTGACAGTGGGCCGCCTCAACATGCGGGACCTAAACACACTAGACGTCCGTCGGTCCTTGCATTGCAAATCGATCAGATCACTGATCAAGCCGTCGCGCTACCATTGTGCTGTTCCATCAATAGCTCGGAATCTACAGAAGAAGCTAAGCAACTTCTCAAACACTCGATCACAAAGAAAACCCACGCTTAGCTAGCTAACCCAGACCCACTCTTCTAGAATCCTTTGCACGCTACGTCGGGATCGCTGTTGCAAACTCAGACCAGTCGCTAGCGAAGCTCTCGTAGTAGTGGTCATCGTTGGTGGTCACAAAGAGATACTTAGCGCCCCTGCTCAACTCGTAAACATACTTTCTGAAGGCGCTACTGGTCATACTGGGCAGGGAATGCACCATGTAGCAATGCTGTGCGCGACTGTCCTGGATCGTAGATAGCTCCGACACCTTGGTCTTGTATTCCGAATACGACTGCTCGAATACGACGTTGACGTCGGTGTTGGTGTCACTGAATTGCGATGCGGGCACAACTCCAGGATTGCGGATCACCTTATCCAACGCCATATGTTAGTCAGGGGTTCCTTACCTCGAATAGGATAGGGTGGGATACATACCAGCTTGTCACCTCTGATCCCGCTAGCGCTTTTGACATTTTTGGTCGCCTCGAGCATGAACTGGACCGCATCCGCCGTGTATTCGTGAGGGGATTCGTCGAAGAAAATGCCTTCCATGGTAAATGCCGAGCCTAGAGTCGACCAGCCTGCAAAGACATTGATTTCAGAAATCACATCAGAGAGATTCCGCGATGCATATCCGGTCCTGACGTATCCTACTTTCTTGACGTTCGGGTAAGTTGAAAGTTGGGTCAATGCAGCAGTGTAGCTCTCATCTGGATACTGCGACGATCCCGGACCACTGGCTGGGTTGACGATCACGGTGAATTGTAGTGATGGTCGCGCGACTAGTCTGTGGTCGTTGTCAACATTGCTCCGAGCCACATGGGAGAAATTGTTCGACCTACGATTCGTACAAGGGGGCCCAAGTAGAATTGTCGTCCGGGTAGATGTAAAGAGGCAACAAGACAGATGCATTGTGATTCTTTCCCTTCTTTGGAAGGAGTACAGCGAGTGGGATGGCGATGACGAGGATTAGGATAATGACGACGGCAACGGCAACTCCAATGAATACAGGGCGTTTCCAGAGGGGTTTCTGAGCAGCCGGCTTGCGTGTTTTATTGATCGAGCGAGTAGTAGAGGTGTTCCAATCCCGAAAGTGAATTGGAAGTTCGAATTTGGAAGTCATGTTGGCGTTTACTTGAATCGATGCAGATTTCAACACTTCCTGGGGATCTCACACCCAAGTAAAAGTTTGACACTATTGATCAGGAATCAACAAGTTTCAGGGGCATCGGCTGCTTCGCCAGACTAAAAATACTACCGAAAGACAAGGTACCTAACAATCTTGGACACCGAAGCAAGGGTCATAGCCACCCTTATTTGAAACCCCTCCACATGGCGCGACATGTGCAAGCTTACACCACATTCATACGAACGCCACGGGCCGCTGTGTCCATGCGATCCAGTATTGCCACTTCCAGTTTTGGTCCACGCATGCTTAATGGTTACAACTCAGTAGTCTGTTCTTCGGCACATCCGTGACCACTGCGCTTGGACCTTCTCTCTACATCTGTTCATGTCATCTTGTAGATCATCGTTGTTCCTCCCCTACATCTTTCCCGGCTTTTCAGCTGAACACTCTCGCTCTTCGTTTTGATATTTTGTTACTGTTGTTTTTTGTTCTGCACCCGTTCGTAGACTTCACCATGACGACCGAGTCTCATCTTGGGCTGTCGGCCATCGGCTGGCACGCCATGATGGACTCATGGTGGAACAAGGTATGCTCTTTATGTCAACACTCGTTTGTTCTGACTGACCAAATGCAAGATGATTGCGATATTTCTTCTTGCCACTGTCATAATTGGATCAAGTTATTTGGTTTATCGATTGTACCTAATTTTAAAAGTATACTGGTTGGTAAGTTGACCGAATCGCCACAATCATCTGAACCCACACTCATATTGTATGACTTATAGCGAAAACAACAACGAGTGACGGTACCGAAGCCCGTGGCACGTTACTTAGCTCGGCTAAGATCTTCCGCCAAACCTCTCACTGTCGCCAAAATATCATCGGAAGAACTGAAGTCCTTTGGCGTTTACTTAGGAAGCTTCAGCACCCCAGCAACTCCAGCTCAAACCCGTCTGCTCTCGCAATGGGATGTTGTTGTTTTGAACCCTCTTGAGGCGGGTGTTGCGAATGCTGTCTCATCATGCGCATACACATCACCTCACGTACTTGGACGAGTCGATATCGACTCCCTCTTGAAATCGGAGCAAGGCTCCGGTAGCCAGGATACAATTCGATCGATTCGTACTTTGGACGAGACGATTACGATGCATTTCCGGAATGGTGGAGGGAATGAGTCGCCCTTCACAGCCGTACTCTTGGCCAACTTCAGTGACCACTTCTCAGCACCAGTTCTCAACCAGCTGGTAAGCTACATCAACGCACTTGGTCTTAACGTTTGGCTCGAGTTAGCACCACCAGCATATTTGTCTGATGCTCAATGTCGCGCCATCAACATGAAGGCCATTCGAGGGGTCGTCTACCGCAACGGCACTATCCGACCCGATGGTGATTGGCAAAATTTCCATCACATGGAGGCGATGAGAACAGCTATGAGGGCTGTAGCTGCGCAACGAGTCGTTGGTGGTCCCCCGATGGTTCTCTGGGAGACAATCGATGATGGGGTCAAGCATCAATACGCCGTTGTCCAACGAACTTTCAACTGGTGCAGATACACCAGCGCTCTTTGTTGGATTGGATCTAGGTCAGCTCTCTTCAATGCAGAGGCGGCTTCATCCGAGACAATCAACGACAAACCACTCGGCTCGATGATGTGGATGAAGGACGATAAGAACATGAAGGCGCACAACATTTGGTGCGCGAACGACAAGGTAGGCGACCTTGTTACACCATTCTACTCATCAGCGTATTAACTCATCTCACAGATTTCTTCCGAGCATCGCGCCAATGACGAGCTATACGATACTCTGAACGATTTCATACCGGACTTAGCCGCTAAGCTCCGATTCCAGCCATCCTCGTATAACCCTCATCATGTACCACAAGAGAATCCGGTGGGCCAGGTGGTTCGCTACTCGCAAGGTCTTCGGGAACCTCGTATAAGTCCGTTGTCTAGATCGTCCGACGGTGCAGACTTCACTGGCCTAGGCTGCTTTCAATTGGGACTCGACGCCACACCGGAAGCATTCGACGCGCTTGTTGCCTCGCAAGTCCATCTGAGAGACCTTGAGCTGTTGCAACGATTGGGAACTGAAGAACTTCAGGCCATCAGGAAGCAGATCAAGGTCTTACGTGACGTACGTGGTTCAAAAGCACTTTCCGCTACGACATCGTTAGCGGTCGACGACCTCGTATCCATGCTCGACGTTCATGATGATACACAATATACACGTCTTGACGTGTTTGTGGGACTTCACTCCGGATTCCAGACTGGCGCTGATGTTCAGTTCTGGGGACTCTTCGACTTTGAGGGAAGTTCCGGCGGCCTTGACATCTATCTCTCGGGATTTACGCAGGATCGTGTCAGCACCGTCCTTCACACCTTCCTCTCTAGCCGGGGATGCACACGGGCAGAGTGCTTCATGGCCGAATTTGCTATGTCTGAGCAGAATGGCACTATGAACAAGACATGGCAGCTCCCGCAACGCATCGTCTCTGACATCGAGAAGATCTCCCCGACAGAGGCTCTTCTCCTGCGCCAGCGCCTGACTGTATCCAGTGACGAAGACTCTTTCCTGTTGGCCAGAATCCGTGCCTATTGCGAGTATCAGCTTATGGATATCCCCTCTTTAAATCAGCTTCGCTCCCTGAACGCAAAAGAGTACCTCTGTGGCAGAATCTCGGCCGAAAGCCTGGTTTCTTCACGTCTCAATTGGCTTCAGGAGAAGGGTTGGGCTCACTCTAACCCGGTTGCCGCTGTTCAGCTCTTTGAAGACGTTAACACTCGTCTATATGAAGTCCTCATGAACGGCGAGAGTGAGTTGTACGGGCGTATCAGTGTCGTCATGCAGACCACAATGCAGAACATCGGGATTGATCCGGGTGCAGACTTGTTCGCTCTGGGGATCTTTTGCGCATTCCGCAAGCTGGCCTTGGAAGAAACGTTTCTGGAAGTCTTGGATCGCAACCCATTCCCTAACCATGCCACTGATCAGGCCGGTGTGTTTGCGGAGAGCTTCATGGCAGGCTCGCGAACTAGCTCCTTCTTCGATATCACGCCCAGGGAATTGGGAAAGATTATCTCCGACCGGTACCGCCCCTACTACAACAAGTTCCAGCCGCCAGATCGTGCTGAAGGGTACACTGAGCTACCAACAACCTACGCAGCTATGCAGGTGGATTCTGACCCTGATTATGGAAGTGAACAACTCTCCATGGTCTACAAGTTTACCTTCCTTGGCATCTTCGCTGTGCCTGCGCTCATCGATATCTTTATGCTTACGACTATTGGACGAGGTCTTTATCTGACCACCTTTATGACCTCGGACCAGAAGACCATGGCCACCACCGCGTTGATGCTTGCACTCCTGGTGTGTGGTGGTGTCGGATCCTGGATTACATCCGGAGGGTGCTACTACATTTACGCCAGCGCCTTTCCTGCGATGAACATGTATGTGCTTACTCGCTTCGTTGCTGGTCTTGCCATAGTCATCGTGGGTTGTGTTACTGGCTTTATCGTTGTCACTGTTGATAAGGGTGCCGCCGCTGGAGGTGTCTTCGCCTTCTACTTCGCCATGCTGTCCGTCTATCTCATGACGCTGTCCGCACTGTCCATCTACCAGGTCCCGGGATCTAGTTTCAAGTCTGGCCGAACAGTTGTCATGATGTGTGTTCCGATTCTCTTCATTTCGCCAGTACTTACAATCTGGGTTCAACATGATATCGCAGTGTACCTTCTTATTCTAACGGTATTTGTGTGCTCCCTGCTCTATGGCACCCGGAAGGTTATGGGTGCATGGACTACGTGGTACTTGAACATCCCGTCCATCCAAGACGCCGAGGTTATCAGCTGGTACTGCAAACGGCATGACATCACAGGCGGATCTAGTGAAGATATGAAGAAACTGAGCGCCTCCGGGCTCCCGCGCAACGAGTTCCACGGGCTTGTTTTGAAAGAGTTCGATCGCAAATTCTGGACGCCAAAGACTAAGGATCCGCTTGTTGCCAAAATGACTGATGGGTATGAATCTACAAAGTTCTTGATGGGCTGGTACTGCAGGCACCGAAGGACTGCTATGCCGTTGCCCTACAGTTCGACATGGAATCTGACCATCAAGGCTGCACTTGAGAACATCACGAACATGCAAAAAGGCCTGAAGCTCCATAACGCATTTCTCCATTGGCGCCACACAGGTTCCGACGTCTGGTCAGGCATCTTGTACTTTGTGGTCGCGCTGATGGATAAGTGGGCGACAATACTCACAAGCGGCGGCATGGTTGGTCTCTCTGCCGCTAATAGCGAAGAATATCGTCTGGCTGTCGGCTTTGGATTATCATACTATCTCATCGGTGCCGTATCGCTTGACGGGGTGTCACAACCGCTCTGGATCGCTGCAAATGAGAAGATCGCCCAGCCCATCACCTCCCTGGCGTCTCTTCAGAACGTCACCGATGTCGATGCTAGCTCCAGGCGAGCTCTTTATTTCAATAATCTTCTCAAGTTTTTTTTCTTGCACATTTGGGGCGCATCGGTCACTGCCGCACTTATGTGGACTTTCGACGACTCCGCAGGTGCTATGGTCATGTACATTGCGTACGTAGTTGCTTACAGCGGTCTACTTCTATACCAGTACAACAAGATTTACTGCAGATTCGATGGTGCGCAGAGTCTTGCAGTCGCTTCTGTCATCGGTCTCCCAGTCGGTATCGCACTCCGCATCACACTTCCCACTTGGGCCTACACCAGCGTCGTCTCTTTGGGCATCGCCTGTTGGATCTCTGCTATCCACTCAATCTATGTGACGAAAATAGGCTGGCCAAGAATGCCATGGAGAAAGTCACGTAACCTTACGGACTCGAGCCACGAGTCGGTATCCAAGGAGCAGTCCCCTACATTTTCTTGCAGTACCCTTGAGCCATACCCTGCTCTCTCCCAGGCCACACTTTCAAGGTCTTTCGAACTCATCAAGAGTCTTTCAGTTGATCAGCACTTCGATCTCAAGCCATCCGAGCATCCTGGTGCTCGCGTGCAAGAATATCTGGTCCATCGCAGCGCCGCTCCTCGATCCAATATCCTTCAGGCTGCTTTCCCTTCGGCCCAGCAGATCATTGAGCGTACTGTCGAACTTTGGAGTTCCGGTCACACTATGGTCGAGCTTGTCGGTGCTCGACACTTCCCTCGCGGAGATCACAAGCTACGAAGCATTACTCGGAAGGTTGGCGACCGGCTTCATGTTCTTATTGCACTCGGACCCGATCTTGGCGAAGACGAGTTGAAAATGGACGTTCATCGCAACTCGAAGATCATAGCTGAAGCCATCATCCAGGCCACGTGTGAGCATCACTTAGGCATGTCGCGGGACCATTCGATGCTTGCGCAATTGGTCGCTGTCGAAGAATCTGGCGACTCTGAAGTTCCTCTTCCTGAAAACATCAAACGTCACTTGGAGACGTCTGAGTCTGAACGCACTCGTGTCATCAATAGTGGAAACAAGGTTCTTATCCGCCATCTTTGTCTAGGTGTTGATCCCGACATTGAGTGGGACCTACTGCACCAGGACATTAGGTCATTTCTCCTCAAGCTGCTTTCTGGCCAATTCGACCCCTTGTCAGCTTTCGAGGAAAAATGGATACATTCAAGAACTTGTGTCACTGACGGTATTGATTCTGACGAATTCATTGCGCGGTATGACCTCAGCGCCGCTCTGACTACCTCCACTGTTGCCTACGCCAAAGCATTGTCGCGCAGCCAGGGCCTTTCCGGGAGCAATCTGAATGACATGGACGACCTCTATCTCAATGATTCCGAATACTTCGCGAATTCACATCTCAAGGTCAATGTTGCTTCTCGTGGTCCTGTGTCACGTTTCGTCTTTCGCGTCACGCGCATTTGGAAATCTTGCCTTAAGTTCCTCATCCTTTCGCTCGTCGCGGACCCTGAGTTCCAGAGAGAACTGGATTGGATGATTCGTACCCAACCACTTTTTATCCACTGGCCTGTCACTTTCCTCCTTAACGCTATTTGGTCGTACGCCAAATTCTTGCAGGGTCTCATCATTCCTACTGTCTTGTTCCACGGTCGAGATAACATCGCTCAATTTCGAAGCAATATCCAGGGAACAAAAACTATCCTACAGAAGAACAGAGTTGTTGTCGAGAACCTGCGAGGCCCTTCGACCTGCTTCTGGTCTCGGCAGGCAGATGGCACCATCCGTCTCAGCCAATACAACGGCAATCACGACAAGGAGCCCGATGATCTGAAGCAATTGACTGCCATCAACACGTATGGGGACAGGTTTCTCTTGCGACAAAGGGAAGAGTACCAGGGCGAAAAGATTATCAACATGTTCACCTATGAGTATCCCCAGGGCAAGAAAACCAATAAGCTGCCCCTTCAGAGGCAGTGCATACAAGGTAAGCTTAGTGGAGAAATTGTCCAATACGATTGGAGAGGATACATCACCACCGGATCCACATTTCGAGGTGTCAATCCCGTCCAATTCACCTACTGGTACAGACGAAGCGCCAAATTTGAGGATGAACTTCTCCGTGGTGAATTCGTCTTCCCGCACATTACCATACGAATCATGTGGAGTATGCCTCCTCGTAACCATCCTGAGAGACTTGACGACTGGGTGCCGTTTCCCAAGGTGACCGAGGCCACTTTCATTGAGGGTTCAGATGTCCACCATGCAACCTGGGCCTATGAGCACAAGTTCCATCCGACTATCTCCACAACACTCAACGGCGTTGATATTGACACTCCGCTCATGATCCGTAACGACTGGTTCCATGTCCTGGAGAAGCCACAGAAGCTTGGTTTCCTCAGTGACAACCCGCTCACAAACTTTGCTTCGGTCTCTTCCAACTTCGCCTCTCGCTTCCTAGGCCTCAATGTCAAGCGTTATCCAATGTCGACCGCACACGCCAGGACCCAGCTATGGAAGCTATGGAAGAGCGGTCAATCGCTCGACGCGGTCACTGCACGATGGCTCGATGAGAATCTGCTGCGAAAAGACAGCATGTTGAAAACATACTGGCGTAATCGCGACTGGGGTATGCTCAACCGAGCGACCAAGTATCTCGATGCACACGCCGACTCTATCATGGCGAGAACTGACGTGGACTCTGAAATCAGTTCATGGGTGCACGTTGCATACAAGATGTCTGATCTCTACAGTTTTGGCTCCGGCGGTGACACAACGATCAACACGCGAACTCACTCAGGTCAAATCCAAGATTCTGACGATGAGCTCCATGTCATGGCTATGGACACTTCGACTTGGCCGTATGAGCCTGGAGGTGTGTCTGCCTGCCGTCGCGATATGGTCAATGATCTCAAGACTACAAAGTGGCACATTGTCGCTGAGATGGCTCATGACTATGGTGTCCCCAAGTTCCAGATCGAAAGAAACGTCAAATCTCTCACTGTCCTGCCACTGTGGGGTCTTGATTTCCTCAATCCTACTCACGGCATGTTGCGAAACACGCTCGATTCGGAAGTCGTTGAGAGGTCGTATGACACTAGGACGTCCGATATCCGCAAGCACTTCATACCGATCCTTACCAGCTTGGTGCAATGTTCGAGAACTTCTGAACTCACCCTTCAACATCTTGAGGAGGCTACCAAGGCTTTGTGCGATCTCAACACGTACTTTGAGTCATCGCGTAGCTGGAACGACGTATGGAGTAGCGACATTGTCAAAAGTACATGGCGCGAACTGTGGTTATCCGAAGACGTTCCGGGAGCTTTGAATGTATCTGAATGGTGGGACTACGAAAAGCCAACCATGCAGCAACTGGATCAAGCTCTGAATCTGTGGTGTCGTTATCTCTTCATCTTCTCCACACCGGTACCGGACAAGATTCCTGACATCTTTCAAGCGTCACATCACTTCACTGGAGCAACATATGGCATTCTCTGCAAAGTCAAGCGCAAGGTCAGTCTCCACGTGTGGGATCATTGTATCAGTTTCCGAGAGTTCACCGTGTTCATGTCGTCTGCTGTATCGTTCGACATGCCCTTTGTCAACAGCTCTCTCATATCGCTCGGACACTTGGCCTGTACCCTCCTTGAGCACCACGCGGATGTCGTGCTTCCTTGCTGCGATTACTTCAACCCTGGCTGGGAAATTGAGCTTGGTACTGGTGAGGGTGCTCTCCAGCATCGTCGCGCCTTTGCACGGAAAATCGATCCCGTTGTCAACGGTATCTGCAACATGGAAAAGTTCGAGCCTATTCAAACCATCAAGACTGACACACCCACCGTCGTTATGTTGTCGCACGTCCAGTACGTCAAAGACATCAAGAACGCCATCATGGCCACAGATCTCATTGTCAACAAATGGGGTTTCAAGGACTACCGTTTGCACATTTATGGAGACATGGAGCGTGCCGCTGGTCATTCGACTGAGTGTCAAGAGCTCATCGCGTCCAAGGGTCTGGGAGATGCATGTGTGCTCAAGGGTTTGGGTAACGCTTCTCTTGTCCTGCAGGATGCCTGGATCTTCCTCAACTCGTCCATCTCTGAAGGTCTTCCGTTGGCCATGGGTGAGGCAGCTCTGACTGGTGTGCCCGTCGTCTGTACGGATGTTGGTGCCTCGTTCTGCGTGGTCACTAACCGAACTACTGGCGAGCCCTTTTCCGAGGTCGTCCCACCCAACGATTGCGAATCGCTTGCCCGCGCACAAGTCAACATTCTAGCGCTCCTGGGCAAATGGGCATCCTACGCAGAAGACGCACCAGGCGTTCTCCCTCCTATCCTGTCTTATCCTAACCCCACAACCGACGAGGTCAGGGCGATCTCGGCGCGCATGTACGAGAAGAAGGAGCACCGTCGTAAGCTCGGCATGACGGGTCGCGAGAACGTGCTTAAGAACTTCAACTCGGAGCGTTACCTTCGCGAACACGAGCAGATGCTGTGGATTGGCAAGTACAGGTCCCCTAGCTACCAGGACGCTGTCCGCAAGTACAACTTCAACAACACTCACGGCGCATTCGCCCAGGCCAACAGCGCTTATCCCTCTGCTGGTCCATCGGTTGATCCGTCCCGCAATAACTCGATGACCGGACTTCCCATGCTGGGCGACCGGGAGAAGAAGAGCTTTGGTCTCTCCATGACGTCGTTGCCGAGGGTACCTAGTACGCCTCGTCTGACGCCGGACAGATGGTCAAATGCGCCGAGCAGTCGAGCAAGCAGTATTTGGAAATTCAAGCCTGAGCAGGCACCGTGGTAGTGGAGACGAAGATGCAGGTTGGACGGGCGAAGAATGACACAATACCCTTTTCTGGATGATTGACAAGTTGTCAACACCTCTGTATATATACTTGGCTGGCATTTGCATAGCGACCTATCTTTTTCGCACATTTCTTTTTGTTGGTCCATGATGAAGAAGCACCACGTCAATATAGTTGGGGAGCGCCTCGAATGAAGGCGGCATGTTTCCTTGTATAAAATAAGTATTAGATAGAACACTCTCTTGTATGAATTTCATTTATCATCAATATGGACATTGCTCGTTGTGATTCCCTGCGACCTAACGTGGACGACAGGGACGCCTTCTGGATATGTTCCATGTTGATATTGGGAAACGGCTCAGAAGGGTTGGATGGCGCAGATGTCCAGCAAGGCGTGCGGTGAGCACCCTGTCAGTCCGCGCACCCACGCGGCGAGAACAGGTTCGATAGTATCCAGCTTGTTTAGTGCTAGCCGAACGAAGAGCGCCGTAGACGAAGGCGCGTGACGTGGTGAGATAAAGCTGACGGAGAAGATTGGAAGTCGGTTGACTGGGAAGTACATGTCACGATAGCAGCGCTTGGTGTTGTGTATTGCCCCGCCATGTCCACCCTGGTCTTATCAGCTGTGCACCTGCCGGAGTCGGCCTGCGCCCCTCATGGTAGACGGCTGGGAGCTATCACGGAGGCGGCCGCCCCAAGCGTGTCTGTCGCCTGATCCGGCGACTTGGAGTTTGTTCCCAGCATGTAGAAAGACGCTGGCCAGGTGCATTCCCTCCATGTTGCAAGTGGACCTGAGGACAGCAAAGTGACTCGGACGACACGCCGCAACTCGCACCATGGCAGACGTCAAGATAGGCCAGGCAGTCGCCCAGGATGACCTCGTGATTCCGGTACAGTTCCACGGCCCCCATGGCGCACAGCTCCCTGACACTGCCAGCTCATCGACTTCGCGCCCTTTCTCTCTGGCGACGCGGCCGCGAAGAAGTCGACGGCCACGGCGGTCCTCGAAGGCTTCCAGAATGCCGGCTTCATCTATCTCAAGAACCACGGCATCCCGCCCGCGGCCGTCTCGACGGCTTTCTCGCACAGCGCCAAGTTCTTCGCGCGGCCCCAGGACCAGAAGGACGCAATGGCCTGGTACTCTGCCGCCGCCAACCGCGGATACGTAGCCCAGGGCCGCGAGAAGCTCGTCACGCTCGAGGAGACGGGCACCGAGGCGGAGCTGCGCAAAACGGTGCCAGACCTGAAAGAGTCGCTCGAGATTGGCCGCGATGACCAGCCCGCCACGCCCAACATGTGGCCCACGGGCGACGACGAGGCCGCCGACTTCAAGAAGCAGATGCTGGCCTTCTTCGAGTCGTGCAAGGGCCTGCACATCGACGTCATGCGCGCAATCGCCCTGGGCATGGGCATCGACCACTCCTGGTTCGACGGCTTCACCGACGCCGGCGACAACACGCTGAGACTGCTGCACTACCCTGGCGTCGAGAAGAGCATCTTCAAGAGGAGCGACGGCCAGATGCAGGTCAGAGCGGGCGAGCACAGCGACTACGGCAAGTCGACAGTACCGAGCTTCGCGTGTTAGGTTGTTGCTGACGGAATCACATCTCAGGCTCCATTACGCTGCTCTTCCAGGACATCCGCGGCGGGCTGCAAGTCCGCTCGCCAAAGGGTACTTTTGTCGACGCGACACCCATCGAGGGCACTATCGTCATCAATGCCGGCGATTTGCTCGCCCGCTGGTCCAACGACACCATCAAATCGACAAAGCACCGCGTCGTGGAGCCCCCGCCAAAGCCCGAACACCAAGGCTTGGACGTGTATCCGCCGCGCTACTCAATAGCCTACTTCTGCAATCCCAACTACGAGCGCATGATTGAGGCCATTCCGGGGACATATGAGACCGCCGGCAGGAAGTACAACGACGTTTCAAGTGGCGATTACATCATTGGCCGGTTGACTGCTACCTATTAGGTCTCTGCAAGTAGCTAGATATCAAATCGCGTGTCAAATGATATGTAATACACGACTAGGAAATCAAATAACTATCAGATAACCTCTCAAACAATGCAATGCGCCTAGTGTGCATAACACTCAACACCGTAGACTTCGCAAGTCAATTACATCCTTTTCTTACAAGCCCACCACCTACCAAAGCGCAGCATCCTTGTCAAATCGCACCAGCTCTTTGCCTCCGTCCTCGACATCCTTCCGCGCCTTCATGCGCATGTAGAAGATAGGGCAATCTCGCGACGAACAAATAACTTCACAGTGAATACTCCCTTGACAGCGCTGACATTGCGTCCAGAGGCGCGAAAATCGTACTTCCAATTCACTGACCTTGCTCAGCGTTTTCTGGTACAGCTCGCCAATTCGAGGGCGACAGCTCTCGCAGACCGCGCCCTCCCTCTCGTGCGTAGCAGTCAGTGGCTTCTTGCAGCCCATGCACGTTTGCGTCTTCTTGGCGAACTTCATGAGGCCACCCATGGTAGGCACGGCGACGGAGATTGTGCGTGTGTGCTCGCCTGTAAGAAGCGAATTGGCTTTCTTTTCGCCAAGAATAGGCTCGAAAATTCTGCCAAGTGGCTTCGCAAGCTGATTGTCAAGATAATATCTTGTGTCGATAGGGAGGTTGTTCTCCAAGACGAAGATGGGATCTTCCGACTTTTCATAGTTTTTGGAGCCGCTTGCACCTTTAACCATGACATATGCGACACGATCACCTAAAGCAGGGGCAGAACCGGCGTCGCGCTTCCTCATACGTTCAGCAAGCTCAACGTGTGCTTGTTTGTTCGTGTAACTGCTCTTGTTTTCCTTGATATCCTTGTTTTCCTTGCCATCGTTGGCGTCTTCTGGAGCGAGCGTCTTGGTGAGTGCCTTGGTGATGACAAGGTTGGACATGTCAACCTTGTTCTGCAGGAGGTCGGAGATGGTGTCCTTGACAAATCTGATCTGCGTGAGCGGGTAGACACAAGAGAGATGCAGCAAACTTACTCTTGCGCACCATCTGGATCTTGGTCGATCAGTAACATGCGGAGTGAGGTTTCAATGACTGTTTGCACTAGACGACAATTGTCTCGACGCACAGTCTCAATACCCTTAGTGTCCATCTTATCCCAATTGTCGGGATTTGTCCAGTAGAGACCAGCATAACGCTTCTTGTTGATGAGTAGGTAAGGAAAGTAGACTTTCTCAAACTCTAGTTTGATAGGCTTGATAAACTTCGAGGAGACGTAGTCTGCGGCTTCTTGTCCAAGTTTCATGGACTCGGCAAGGTCAGATGTGCCGAATTTTACCATTACCGAGTCCGTGTCACCGTAGATGACTTCTGCGTCGTGACTGTATCCGTTCGCAATGTTGTATTTCGCCTCGACTTCTGCCTTCGTCTTCTCAATCATCTGGCGACCGAAGCTGGTGGTACTACTAGCGATCGCAACACAGGGTAGCTTTCCGTTAGTCGCACCCGTGAGACCATAGACGGAGTTTGCAGTGACCTTCAAAGCCAGCTGACGACCATTGAGCACAGCCTTTTTGAATGGATCTGTCTCAGTGGCCAGCTCTCTCTTCGCCTTCTTACGTGCACTCAACACTTCTTCCAAGATCTCAGATAAAAGTCCCTTTCGCGTTTTGACAGTGCAGAACATGTCGCCGTTCGGTGTTACGATATAGTCCTCATCTTTCTTCATCTTGAGTTTCTCCACTGTTTGTCTGTCGAGCCAGGTCGTATAGCAAAGGTTGTGCGCTTGCATGATACTGGGATACAGGGAGGCAAAATCGAGAGTTGCGACCGGTTGCTTGTAGTAACCACGCTTCGGTTCAATGACTGTTGCGCCTTCGTACATATCCCCGCTATCTCCTTGGTTCGGAAGGTCAGGACAGATAAGTTGGTGATCGAGAGCTTTTCGAAACAACTGGCTGATAAACCTGATTTGTTGCCCTCGTGCAAGAAGATAGTTGAAAGGCACACCTGTCACTCTAGCCAACTCCGTGTAGTTGACCAGACACATAAGCTTGTCTAAAAGTCGCTGCGGCAGGTACGCATCCTTGAGACAATACACTGCCAATCGTCGTCGCGAATTGGCGTCACCATTGTATAGTTCGGTAATCATGCTGTGATGTACGTCTTCTTTCTGTTCTTTTAGAAAGTGCGCACAGACGGAGTTGAGAGTATAGCTTCGAAGCTGATGGTCGCGCTGAATGAGCAGCAGCAAATCTAGTTGAAGACGTCCGTTGGTGTTGGTGGTCTTCATATCTCGGCTTCCCATCTGCTTGCTAGAAAAAGTTGAAACAGCTACTTTCGACTGTGTTGTTTGGAGACGCGACCAGTAAGGAAACTTCTGCAGTTTGAGATGTCTCGCTCTATCTAGTAAGTATGGAAAGTCGAAGTTGGAGATGTTGTAGCCAATGATGACATCGGGGTCTACTTCTTCAACGAAGTCGCGCCACTTCATAAGCATCTCTCCCTCGTCCTGAAAAGAAAAGACTTGCGTCGCAACAATCGGACTAACTGTGTCCATGCAAAAGACGTTCCTTACAAAAGGTTTCTCTTCGCCAAACCTGGTGACCACGTTTGCAATCTGAATGACGGGATCCACATGTGCTTCGGGAAAGATACCCTTGCGACCAGCGCATTCGATATCGAAAGAAAGAATGCGGAGCGGTGCAATCTTTGAGTATTCTCCATCTGAAGGGTGAGCGACCAGGTCGGAGTATTGGATTTGGGCTTCGATTTGGCAGTTCGAATGTCGATCGCGAGAATCGATAATCCTATACTTGCCAGCGGGTGCTTCAACCCACGACATGCCAGCAATCTAACTATTTAGCAGTACTCGTTCCTAGCAATGGAGTGAGGCTTACCTTAGTATCGATCATGAACCTTAGCACGTAGGCAATATTGTCAAATGTCAGGATCCCGTCTGCACTGGCTGGCCAGCGCTGTTGCCAGTTGGCGTTTCCTTTCTGGACCAACATCCGCACTCTGTTGATGAGCTTGGGGTCGCTGACCGTAATCTTCAGGTATGGGCTCTTCTGATTTCCTTGGAAACGCAGTATATTCTCCCTCATGGTCATCTGCACCGAGTCTATTACGGGCGAATACTGGCTAAACTGCTTCTGACATTCATTCTCGAGGTATAGTCTGTAGGGCGCGCAATCCTCCTTCTGGAAGTTTATGGGCGCAGCAACGTAAAAGTAGTGAAGGAAGCCGGTGACGTGAAGGAGGACGGAGTGGCCGTTCTAAAACCCGCATGATTAGCTAGTACTGATGTAGTATGCGACGCTCCTACCTCTGTCACCCCAAACAGCTTGACTGTTGTTCTACCTCCATTCAGCACGCCCTCCTCAGCCTCGATCTGCTGAAAGACGACTTTGTGTGTCATCTCGCTGAAGTCCTCCGGCAGTGATGGCCGCTTCCATTGCTGGTCCCTTTCTGCGTTGTTCTCCTTTAGCGCCCCCATGTCCTGCGTCATTTTCTCCAGTGTCTGTTCGAACTGGCTCGGTGCCACCTGGCTCGAGTTGAATGAGCTGTGAGCCATCTTCACTGGCGGCCCTCGCTTGCTGGTGCCATTCTCGAATTTGATCTTCTTCGATGAGCGGGGGGAAGCCAGTACATTTGCCCGGCCAGTCGAGGCTTCGGTGAGGACTCGCTTTGCTGGTGTTTTAGCGACAGCAGCTGGCATCTTGAGTCAATTGCAGGCCAGGTTCGAGGATGAGTGGGGTATGTTGAGGGAGGCGGGCGATGATGTTGTTGTGGAGTGAAGTGGATTGGAGTGGACGCGGAAAGTGCATTGGAGACGCGTCGGAAGGCGCGTTATCCCTGTACATCAGCCTTGGCGCAGGCTTATCACATCATACTAACTCAGACATCTGCATAAGTTCGACAGCTACGTCTTAGTTGTAAATGCTCGAACATCTCAAATTCTCTTATCGTTTAGATGGGTTCTAAACGCGTTGGCAGTGCAAGGATGTGTAGCGGTTGTTACGCAGGAGAGCCCATAGTCGAACTGAAAGCAGGCTGACTCATATCACACATCACCAGAAATGAAGTTCTCGTTGCATAGCTTGCTTTGTCGGATGTTGGGTCACGCGGATTATGATCCATCGAACGAAGATTGTATCACGGGAATATTCGGCTTATGTAACGTCGTCATAGTATTTTAATCATCGGAAGTTTATCCTCGCAACATCACTTTCCATTTCTGTTTGCGGCTATCACACCTATACCAAACATAGGCCTTTCTTTGACTTGAACATGGCAGCACAGCAAGATAAGATCATCATCTCCCCGATTGAAAATGCCCAAGATCTCAGACAAGCAAATCACTGCATCTCCGAAGCCTTCGGTCGTCAGACCCAAGATGCTATCTGGAAATGCATAAATCCAGGTTGGGAAACCGCCGAGGGATTAGAGATCAACTCCCAAAAATTGATCAAGCGTTGGCAGAGTATCACCACAAACAATGAGGGCAAGCCTAACACCATCTTTCTGAAGGCCACGTTACCTGATCCAGAAAAGACAGGAGAGAGAAAGGTCGCTGGTTTGGCTATATGGCAACAATTGTCAATTCTTGAGGGATACGGCGATCCATTCACAGGTGACATCAGCGAAGAAATCGCAGGCTTCAACGAGAAAGAAAAGCGCTTCGCAACACAAATGTTCCGATCATTATACAAACGCCGCATCGAATATCTAAAACAGATTTCGTCGCCGAATTCGGAGCGCAAACCTCCCGCCATTTTCGTTCTCGATCTCTGTGCGGTTGATCCAGCATTTCAGCGTCGTGGTGTTGCGAGCATGTTGGTGGAGGTCGGGCTTGAGGAAGCCAAGAAAAGAGGCAATCTAGAATGCACGACAGAGGGTAGCGCTATGGGAAGAGCGGTATATCGAAGACTGGGCTTCAAGGACGAAGGTACTGGCGACATTGTATGGGAAGTGGATGAGGAGTTTCAGGCGAGAGACAAGCCACCGAACGTTTTCTTGAGGACTGGTGCGTGAATGGGTAGCGGAGCCGCAAGTCTACGTGACAGTCGATATTTTGAAAGATCGCTGGAAACCGCCACAAGTACGTAAGACGATAGCCAGTATCGAACAAACTTTGGCTATCAACGCGTCTGCGCGGTCGTCTCCGCCACCGCTCGAGATACACGTCTCCACAAGTCTTTGCTTGTTGGGGAAGGTGGGATGATGAGCTCGGTGCAGTGGGGTATTCAGCTCCAACAGCCCCGCCAGGGTCAAGAGCTCCAAAGACAGCCCCCTCTCTCACTATCGATTCTACTTCTACTACTTCTGCTACTTGTGTTCTTTTCACCCCTTGCTAAGACCGCTTACGCACCCGCCACAATGCCTATCGTTGACATCCACACCCATGTCTACCCCCCAAAATACATGGAGCTGCTACGCTCGCGCACGACAGTCCCCTACGTACGAACATTTGAAGATGCGCCCGATTCCGCACGACTGATCATTCTCCCTGGCGAAGATGACCCAGCTACACCCTCAACCTCGCGCGGCCGTCCAATCGGCTCGGAATACTACGACATCAAAGAAAAGATAGCCTTCATGGACCTACACAACATCGACAAATCTGTCATCTCATTGGCAAACCCGTGGCTCGACTTCCTGCGCGCTGAAGAAGCAGGCCAAGCGGCGAAGGAAATCAACGACGACGTTAATGACCAGTGCTCTCAGTATCCGGGGCGACTCTATTTCTTCGGCACGCTGCCCTTATCTGCGTCAACAGAAACTATTGTCGCAGAGATCGAGCGCCTAAGCACACTCAAGTACGCGCGGGGCGTTATCCTAGGCACCTCCGGGCTGGGCGATGGACTCGATGATACGGCCTTGGATCCTGTTTACACAGCACTACAAAAACACCAACAACTCATCTTCCTGCACCCGCACTATGGCCTTCCTGCCTCCGTCTACGGGCCCCGAGCGAGTGAATACGGACACGTACTTCCCCTCGCGCTCGGTTTCCCCCTCGAAACGACAATTGCGGTTACTAGGATGCTATTGAGTGGTGTGTGGGACCGGTTCACAGGATTGAATGTCTTGCTTGCGCATTCCGGCGGTACGCTGCCATTCCTGGCTGGAAGAATAGAGTCTTGTATCTTGCATGACGGTCATCTCAAAACGCATGGGGGGACGGACAAGAGGAGGGACGTATGGGAAATTTTGAAAACAAACATCTACCTTGATGCGGTCATCTACTCATCCGTAGGCCTGAATGCTGCGGTTGAGGCTTCAGGGTCTGATCGACTGCTGTTTGGTATGTTGTTTTCATTGTGACGACAGGGCATGTGACGCTAACATAGCATAGGTACCGATCATCCCTTCTTCCCACCTCTGGAGACAGATGCAAAAGAGTGGCACAGCGTGAATACCAACTACGGCGCCATCTCCAAAGCGTTTACGGGTGACGACAAAAAAGCGCAGGATGTGCTTGGTGGCAACGCAATACGGATACTGAAGTTGGACTCGTAGATTCTGCAGAACCATAGTTTAATTAACACTATCCCTTCGTCCAAGCGCCCGGGCTTTAACCTACGCATATCGTTGTGGTGGATGTATATGGAGCGAGACATGCTGGCACGTCTTAGTTTGAGTCTCCTTATTATACTATCAACACATGCGAAACATTTTAAGCAGGTGCAGAACATTCCATTAGCTGGAAACCACAACAGATGACCAATCTTGGAATTATCCTGGCGCTGCAGGGAAGCTTGGCCACCTACAAAGGTACTGTCGGCGAGGCAATCAAGTATCCGCCGACTCGGATCCCAGACCCTCAGATCTGATGATGACGTCGAAGATTCGCGAGACGCGATGCGCGATGATATGCATAAGACAGCCTCAGCCTCAATCTCAACTTCGATTCAAAACCAAGTTCCGATCGTGATATCAAAAGTTTTCCCGTTCACAGATTGGGGCTACGGATCAGTATTACAAATGGCCAGATGCGGTCCGCAGTTCAAGTAACAAACTATTCTGTATGTTTACACATCGAACGTTGCTGATTTTCCCCGCCGCCGTCTCTCGTGATGGTATGTATCACACCGCACCAATTGCTTTAGTTTGTGTAGACGCGAACTCGCGAATTAGCAAGGGCATACACGTGTCGTGAGGTTGAGGTAATCTCTTGGTAGCTCTACGACCAGGTGTTTTGTTGTATCACGAATCGCATGGTTCTGACGCTAGGGTAGCCAGCATGCTGTTTGTTATTGTACCTATTCGTCATCCCATTCGTGAGACCAAGAACGAGTGACCAGATGGCGGCTCCCGACGACCCACATACGGCGGTAGACTGACGGCACATCTGCATGGGAGATATTTCTGTTACGTTTCCAGCCTCCACAATGCGACTTGGCAGTGGTTTCCGATGGCGGAGGCGGGGCAAGTAGTGGGGCAACTCTCCATCTTTACAGACCCTCCCCATTATCGTTCGCAGCGGTGACAACCAAGGCGAAGTTTACGGTATGAGTGGGTTGTGTTTTCTTCCGGCCTCGCTCTGAATGATGAGAACTATGCCTGTATGTCAATGATAGGACATGCATGCGAGACAATCAAGAAAACAATATTGCAAGTTAAGACGCTGCAGGATAAGGACGAGAAGAATACAACAATCATAGTCTTACAGCAAGTGTAGCAATGTTCGATCGTTTTGTTGCTGACGCGCTCATGTCTATTGTAGGGCACGGTCCTTAAGTCGGACTAGCTCGGCCGTCCGAGAGGCTGTTATCTAACTTATCGCGCTCATGCATCCCACCCATAAGTCACACCCACCCCAATCATGCATTTGATAGTGACTCCCTGGCGCGCTTGTGCTCGTATCGGGTCATCCGCGTCTGTCGGGGGGATCGATCTGCGTGTCTGGAAATGCATGTCGCGGCCGGTGACGCTTGGGTAGGTCTTGACAGCATGAGCTAGGTGTCTGTATGGGACTGTCGCCTATTGTCTCTTCTTGCTTCCATCATTCCCTCTTTCTCCTTCTCTCTTGGTTTCTGCACTGTGTGAGTCGCGTTTGATCATAACCTTGCTTGTCTCCCTGCGGTCTGCTTATCGAGTCTTGCGTTGATAAACCATCGCCCACGTCAGCGCGTCGGCGCCTACTACGAATCGTGGTGTCAACTCAGTTGGCGTAAGCGTTGGAAATCCAGCGCCTCGAACATCAACAGTGTTTACGCTCACACGTCAGTTGCAGTTTAGCTTTCAACTGCGCCTGGTGGGTGTACCTGACCCTTCACCTGAGTACCGCACCTGACCTCGCATCCACAGGTCATTCCGTGCAACAGAACACGAGGAGGGGTTTACAGAGAGCGGACAAATACCGATCTCACCGCATCACAACTGAGCCGAAGTGTCGCAGCAGTCAGGAGCTCTTTATAAACACCGTCGCCCGTGCTTACCGCGCCTGTACACGTGTACGGCTCTACCCTACCATGCCGCCCTATCTCTCGCCCTTCCGCGTAGTCGAACCTTCCTTACCAGCACATTGCGAGCCTGCCAACGAATTTCTACGAATTTTGTCAACAACGTTCCACACTTGCGTACCCACGAATCTCGCGTTTGTCAGTACACTGCTTGGAACATGCAGTATCATATCATGGCTCTTCGCACAATTGCCGCAGATATACAAGAATCATAAGCTCAAGTCGACATCGGGGCTCAGCGCCTTTTTTCTGACGGAGTGGTTGCTGGGTGATATTACAAACTTGTTGGGCTGTCTGTTTACCGGCCAAGCGAGTTGGCAAATTATTATCGCTGGATACTACGTCTTTGTGGACTGCTGTCTGTGCGCACAATGGGTGTGGTACGAGCTGTTGCATCATGGAAGGCCACTGCGCCCGATTTGGGGACGTTGGAGGAGTGGAGAAAACGATAATGCTGACAATGGGACACCTGGAATGTATGAGGTGGTCAAGGGCAGCACCGCAAGCACAATCCCAGCTAGAGAAGCGCCTGAAGACTCGAGCAACCAGAAGAGCTCACCGAAAGCCACGCTTGTTAATACGCCGCCTCGCTCAAACCCCATGAACGCATTCCGTATGCCAAATTTTGCTCGCTCACCCAGTGGCTCAAAAGAGCCGTGGCAAGAGACGCTTTCCCCAGGCACAGCGTCAAATCGAAACATCCGCCGCGTAGCCGCTTCGAGTTCCCCTATGCCCTCACCGAAGACTGTTCTCTACATCTCCCTCCTCTTCGCCGTCCTTGCCAACCCCTCGATCGCAACACCAGTTTCACCGTTTGCTCCCACCCCCTACAACGTTCACGCCCTCTCCACACAGTCCACATATACGACCCTCTCCGCCTCTGAAGTTGCGGGCAAAGTCTTCTCTTGGATGAGCACATTTCTTTATCTCGGTTCACGGATCCCGCAACTGTACAAAAATCAGATCCGCAAATCAACGGCCGGCCTCTCGCCCGCGCTCTTTGTAGCAGCCTTTTTCGGGAACCTATTCTATTCATCGTCCCTTCTGGCGAACCCTTGCGCTTGGTACGACTACGCGCCTGGCGAAGGTGCCGGCTGGGTAGGTCCTGCGGGCAGCGTACGCTCCGACTGGGTTCTCCGCGCGGCACCATTCTTCCTCGGCGCGGCTGGTGTGCTCATCATGGACGCAGCAGTCGGTCTACAATTCTACTTGTTCCGCGACAACGAAACGCGCGGACGGTCTCGTGCACAGTCTGATGAAGTCATCGTCACTGTCGACGACCACGGGAAGCAGACGCGACGACGCATGCACTGGCGACGTGTGAGTGGCTGGATGCGCGGATGGGCGCCTTCGGTCAGCGTGGCTGCGACGCCCAACTCCAGTCGTGCTGCTACACCTGTCGCGTCCAGTCCGAACCCGAGTCCCAGCTCGTCATCGAGCTCTCAGTCGAGTGCAAGTAAGAGCCAGAGCATCCCTATCCAAGGGCAGGGTGGTGCATTGGACGAGGCGAGGGCGCTGTTGGGTATGGGTTCGGGGCGACAGGCGAGTCCGAGGAGCTACGGCGCTGTGATTGGATCGCCGCGGTAGCTCTTTGTGTAATGCATAACATGGGGGCGTTGGATGGCACTTGATTTGGAGCGTGCGATAGATTGTATATTGCGCTCTTACGAATCAGTACTGTTGTATATGGGGATGGTATCATGACTAGACGAAATTGAGAAATTTTCTCTCTTCCTTCCTTCCTTCCTTCCTTCCCAGTCGACCAATGTACAGTAGTAGTTTCATACCAGTATCCATATATACTATACATCCTTGTGCATCCATCACGTTCAGAATCACACACATAGGCACGTAACCATGTCATGATCATGTCATGCCATGTCATATCATGTCATGTCACACCACTCCAGTAGTTAAGATTTCCACATTGCCTACTACAAAAAAGAGACGTGGCCTCTATCTAACCCATGCCGATGTTGAAACTCCCTCTTTTCGTCTATTCGAACAAACGCAAATCAGAACGGAAAACACACCAAACCAGGATCCAAAAGGCCAAACGCAAATTCTATACACGGCGGAAGGAGCTGCTGGACCACCAAAGAGATGGAAGAAAAGAGGGAAGGAAGAGAAGCTGGTATGTCGGACGAAGAAACCAGAAGCTGAATACACTATACTCTATACACGACATGGTCGTTGTCGTACAGAAAACCCTGGGACAAGGAACCGGGAACACAGTGGCTAGGAGAGAGAGAGAGAGAGAGTGTGTGTGTGTGTGCGTTAGACACGTGAGACGTCACGACCAAAGACCTTTGCTTTGGCCCAATCCATGAGCACGAGGATCCTGTTGCGGGTGCTGAAGCACATGCTGAGGTAGGCGCTGCGCCAGAAAATATACGTCACGGTGCCGCCGCTGGCAATGTTACCCGAGAACCACGAGATATCGGCCACGGCCTTTTCGGATCCAATGTAGGCAAGGGAGCCCTGGTGCGAGTACTCAAAAGGTCCAATCTGCTTCACCCTCCTGAGGCTCTTCTGCAAGCTCTTGATCTCCTCGAAAGCATGATTGCGCGTCTCTTTGCTGGGGGCCTTTTCCTGGACTTCCGAGAGCTCCTCGAGCTGGGACTCGATGTCCTGCGTCTTTGCCATTTGGTTGAACATGCGGGCGAGGAAGGCACCTTCTTGGGCGGCGACCTGGGCAGTGGGGGCGTAGTTGGCTACGGCGCAGTCGCCGACAGCCCACACGTTCTCAGTGCCCTTGACGACGAGGTACTCGTTGACGGCGAGGCCACGGCGCGAATCCTTCTGCGCGGGGATCTGGTTGATGAGATCCTTGACGAGGGGTCGGAGAGCGTTGCCGGTAGCCCACACCAGCAGGCCAAAGGGAATCTTCTCGAGCTTCTTCTTGCCGTCGGGCCCGACGGATTCAGCCTCGATGTACTTTTCCGTGACCCTCTTGACCATGGTCTTTGTCCGGATGGAGATGGTCTCCTCCTTGAACGTCTGCTCGGTGTAGTCGATGAGCTGCTTGGAGAACATGGGCAGGACGTTGGGCAGGGCTTCGACGAGGGTGACGCGGAAGTTGTCCTGGATCTCCGGGAGCCACTTCTTCAGGTCCGAGTGGAAGAAGTCCTGCAGCTCGCCAGCAAACTCGACGCCGGTAGGACCGCCGCCGACGACGACCATGTGCAGCAGGCGCTGCTTCTCCTCGTCCGACTGGTCCTTGAACGTGGCCGACTCGCAGCAGTCCATGATGCGGTTGCGGATGCGCTGGGCGTCGCCGACCTCCTTGAGGAAGAGGCCGTTCTCGCGCACACCGGGGATGCCTGTTCGAGTTAGCGGTGCTGCGGCAGGCAGGGCGGCGGGGGAGGGGGAGCGACGCACCAAACGTGGCATTCTCGGCGCCGACACCGACGACCAGCATGTCAAAGGGCACCTCGCTCTGGGCCATGTCGCCCTTGATGGGCGAGTCGTCGTTGATGTAGACGATCTTCTTCTCGTAGTCGATCTTGGTGGCCTCGGCCTCGTAGTAGGTGACGGAGGCCTTTTTGTGGCGCAGGAAGTTGCGGATGGGCTCCATGATGGAGCGGTGCTCGATGGTGCCGACGGTGCACGAGGGCAGCAGCGGGGTGAAGAGGAAGTAGTTGCGCGGCGACACGACGATGACGTTGTAGTTTTCCGTGTCGAGCTTCTTGAGCAGGGAGACGGAGCCCCATCCCGTGCCTGCGGCGTGTCAGCGTCGGCGCAGTCAGGGCGTACCGGAGGCGGCGTTGGCCCACTCACCTAGCACGACGAGCGTCTTCTTGCTCGGGTCCGGGGCGGGCTGGTCGCCGGGCGTGCGCGTCTCGTAGATGCCGTAGCCGACGTAGGCCAGGCTGGCCAGGGCGGATATCTGCGTGAGGCGCCATGTCCAGCGCAGCAGGCGGAACCTCCTGACTACCTTCGGCGGCTGGCTGCCCGTCGACTGCTGGCGGGTCGACTGGCGCAGCGCGATCTGGCACTGCGTCGGGCGCGACGCCCACTGTGCCCGCTGGGCGACGAGCGACGGGCGTTGTGTCGTGTAGGCGCGGCGGGCCTGGGAGAAGACGTTGGCCGCCGCAAAGGGCCGCAGGGGGGGCGCCATTCTATGGGGGGGTTGAGTTTATATAGATAAGAATATATACGTATATATGTATATGTCTTGAGCGGGTGTGACGCTGCCTGAGGAACGCCGCAATGGCAACTGCTGATGTCGGGTCGAGGGGCGGACAGAGGGAGGGTTGAGCGTCGACGGTCGACGGGCGAGTGCTAACTTTTTCGCTGCAGAGCCTATGACGAGCTAGAAGCTAAAACAGCTACGGCAGGGATAACGAGATAAGCATCTTCCCATTACACCACGCTTTTGCCATTGTCCCACATACTTGATGACTTACACCACAAGGCCTGTCGTGGGGAGCGGCTGCCACGGTGACAAGTGAGGAGAAAAGAAGGGTATATTCACGCATTTTCCATCTACATCTAAAACGCCCCCGGAATGCATTCACCTCACCCGCCAAGCCATGCAGCTACATGCCCCCCCCTCACCCGTCCATGGCCATCATGGTGTCGTCGCCGTCAACCCCCACGGGCGCTGGCTCGGCGACGACGCCTCTCCCCCTGCCCTCGAGCAACTCCCTCCTCACCTCGGGGCTGATGCTCTTGTGGCCCCTTGTAAGCAGCAGGTCCAACATGGCTTCGCGCTGGTCCTCGGTGATGTCGTTTCTGTACCTCTGCGCAAAAGCAAGCAGACATTGATGCCAGATGACGGGCAGCTTGCCCGTGCCCCCTAGATGGCCACCCGCAGACTCCGTGTCCATGGCGTCACCTGAACTGGCGCCCACGGCGCGGAAGCGCAGGAAGTGGAAGACGAGGGCGTCGATGACCTTGTAGGGGAGCGCATACTTCTTCTCGAGCAGCGTCTTGATGAAGATGTTGCAGGGGCCGGCGGCGTCGGGGTCCGACGACATTTGCTCGGCGGCGATCTCGCAGAGGCGGTGGAGGGCAGCGGCCGAGTGCAGCACGGGGACCGAGACCTTGGCCACGACCGAGGCGACGATGACGGCCTCGCGTTGGGTGCATGTGCCGTCGATGAGCATGGGGAAGACGACGCCCTTGAAGAAGGCGCTGGGCTTGTACAGGGCCTTTTTCAGCGCGCTGTACATGTGCACGTTGAGCTTCTGGGTTTCGCGGATGTGGTCCTGCACGGCGGGGAGGAGCACCGTGTTGAGGAAGACCTGCGCCGTCTGCGGCTTGCCCGAGATGAAGATGCGCGTGGCGGCGTAGAAGGCGTTGGGCGTCCAGTTCTCGGGGCGGGTGATGGCGAGCAGCGTCTCCCAGGCGGGGATGCCCGGCAGGATCTTGAAGGGCTTGGGGAGCTTGCCGCTCTTGTAGCGGCTGAGGATGAGGCCGATCTTGGAGTAGACCTCGACGACCTTTGCGGGCAGCTCAATGGCATCCTCTGGGGCGCCGCCGCCCTGGATCTCCCGGCGCTCCTCGGGCTGCGCTGCCTCGGCCGCGGCGATCTTGTCGAGGATGAGGGCGGCGAGATCTGTGCCCGGCCCAGACGGCGGCGCCTGCTCGCCCGGCCACTGGATGGGGTTGTCGTCTGTGGGGATGAACTTGTTCCACGCCGCCAGGTCGTCGGCGTCAATCTCGACGTCGTCCACATGGTCGTCGTCGTCGCCCCAGGCCTCGTCGTCGTCCAGACCCTCTAGCCCGTCGGCAGCGGCATCATCATCGTCGTCGTCGTCGCCCAGGCGCGTCTCAAAGGCGAAGGCGGGATTCGCGCCCGGTGGCCGCCGCGCATCCTTCTCCCTCTCGTCCTCCTCCTCGAGCTGGCGGCCAATGTCCAGGATCTTGCGCGAGCTCTTGGAGTCGACGTAGCCCAGCTCGGCCTCGGCGTCGTCGCGGGAGCGCTTCTGGCGCTTGGCCGACTTTTGCTTGTACGGGTCCGAGGGGGCGTATTCCTCGGCGAGGGGGTTGTGGCGCTGCTCGCGGCCGCCCGGCGACTTTGCTGCTTTGGGCATGTTGCTGCCGTGCGACTGACAGTGTGGTGGGCGTCGAGGGCGTCGAGGGCGTCGCGTGGTGTGGTGGTGCCGTGGTGCGGTGCTGGGCGGGTGCATGGCGGGCCAGTAAAAAAAGTTGGTGGGGTTGGCGGGTGCGGGTCGAGTGGCCTGCCGTAGCCCGCGTCCGTGTCTGCTCATCGACAGCGCCCACCGCGTCCTGACCACCGCGACCATGGCCGACCACTCGCGCTCCAGCACGCCGTCGCTCGCGCTGCCCATGCGCCGCCCGCTCGACGAGGACCACGCCCCGACCGTCTCGTCGCCGCTCAACCCCAACCCCACCGCCGGCGCCGATGCCGCCGCCCGCGCCCGCCCACGCCCGCCGCCGCGCGAGCAGCGCGAGCAGCGCGAGAAGAAGGAGACGCTGAAGAAGCGCGAAGCCTCGGCCAGCACCCGCGCCTCGACGCCCAGCGCCGCCGCCGCCGCCTCCAAGGCCAAGAAGCCGCCGCGCCCGGCCGCCGACTCGCCCATGCGCTACTCCATCCCCGAGCCCAAGGCCTCCGACTACGACGCCCCCCGGGACGGCCTGCTGCTCCCGCACGAGCCCGCCGCCCTGTACGCCCCCGACGGCCGCGCCGAGCTGCGCAAGCCGCACGACCACGCGTGGAACAAGCGCGGCTACAAGTACACGCACTGCGTCGCCGACCCGCTCTTCCGCCACAAGCAGTACTACCGCCAGAGCGACTCGCGGCCCTACGCCCCGCGCATGAGCCACGAGGACTCGGACAAGTGGTTCCACTTCGACGACAGCGCCACCATCGTCACCCAGGAGAAGGGCTGGCGCATGGGCCGCGGCAACGTCGTCGCGCGCGAGGGCCGCCTCTACTACGAGGTCAAGATCCTGCGCGGCATCCCCCGCGACCCCGACACCACCACCGCCGCCGACGCCAAACCAGGTCCCCACGTGCGCATGGGCTGGGCCCGCCGCGAGGCCCCGCTCGACGGCCCCGTCGGCTTCGACGGCTACAGCTACGCCGTCACCGACGCCCGCTTCGAGGCCCAGCACCGCTCGCGCGCCTCCAAGATCTTCACCCCGCTGCCCAAGGGCGCCAAGAGCAAGCACATGAAGGCCCGCCCCCCGCACGGCAAGCCCGTCCCCGTCGACTACCTCACCGACCAGCACATGCAGGAGGGCGACGTCATCGGCCTGGAGATCCAGCTGCCCTCGCTCGCCCTGCACCGCAAGGTCGTCGAGGGCATCTACAACCCGGCCGTCGACCTGGGCGACGGCTTCGACACGGTGAGCAACGCGGACCCCTTTGACAAGCCCGTCGACATCATCCGCGACCGCATCCCCGTCCCCTACAAAGGCAGCTTCTACTTCGAGCAGCTCGACTACCAGGTCACCAAGATGGTCGAGGCCTACCACGACCGCGGCCCGGTCCCCAAGATCCACCCCTCGCCCAACCACGAGGACGTCAGTGTCCGCTCCCTCCCCCACTCGCACATCAAAGTGTACAAGAACGGGCAGGAGGTCGGCATCGCCTTTGAGAATCTCCTCGCCTTCCTTCCCCCGGCAAGCGTGCCCTCTGTCGAAGCAGTCAAGGCCGGCGCCCGCACCGGCTTCGACGACGGCATGGTCGGCTACCTGCCCGCCATCTCCCTGTTCAACGGCGGCGTGGCCCAGGTCAACTTCGGCCCAGACTTCTGGTGCCCGCCTGCCGACCTGACCACCCAGCATGGGCCAGACACGCTCATGGATGGCAGCGACGCTGTCGAGGACCACGTCCCTCAAGGTCGGCGACTGCGAGCCATTGGCGACCGATACAAGGAGCAAATTGCCGAAGATGTCGTCTGGGACATTATCGATGAGGTTGACTTTTTCACACAGGACGGGGGCTGGGAGTACAAGGGTGAGGCGCCACAGGACGTGGCGGGCAAGTCGACGCCTAGGGCTCGCGGCTTTGCGAATCCCGATGACAACCTCGGTGTGGAAGTGGGCAAGAGGTACTGAGAGGACTCGTGTCCGGTGATTAGGCAATCGATACCCATTGTTTCTTGTCGTTACCCTATTTTTCTTCCTGTCAACCGGTGCCGTCATTTCATCCTGGTACACACGCCCTACCGTTCCGCTTGATGATGAGCTAGTCTGAACAAGGCAACGGCGAGAAAGTAGTGGGTCCGACATCGTACTTCAACATGCTTTCAACCTGTCGTCTGCAGTCGCACTTTACTCCCTGCCTTTCTAACCACATTTCACCTTGATTCATTTTGAGAATATATATCAAGTACTTTCGGCTTGGTATTCGATATCAAACATATTTCGACTCCCGCAACTCCCCACTACCCCGCAATGGACTCTTTACAGTTTCGCGATGCGGCAGACAAGGCCATTGACGAGAGTAAATGACAAACTTCAACCCCCCTTTTTCAAACAGCGAAACTAAAACCCTTCCCAGTTGCAACATACTACGACACTCTGGCAGAACGACCCGTACTTCCATCCGTTGCACCGGGCTATCTCCGCCCACTTATACCCTCTTCAACCCCCGAGAACGGCGAGCCATGGGACCAAATCCAAGCCGACATCGAACGCGTCATCATGCCGGGCCTGACACACTGGCAGCACCCTAAATTCATGGCTTTCTTCCCTTGCAACTCTTCTTTTCCCGCCATGCTGGGTGATATGTACTCCGGGGCCTTTAATGCTGCGGCTTTCAACTGGATTTGTTCACCAGCCATCACCGAGTTGGAAACCGTGGTGATGGACTGGGTAGCCAAACTAATTGCTCTGCCAGATGTGTATCTGAGTGAGGGCGAGGGTGGTGGCATTATTCAGGGCACTGCAAGTGAAGTCGTGCTGACTGCTCTTGTGGCTGCGAGGGAGCGGTTTATTCGTCGTCGACTTGCCGACATGCCTGAGGGCGAGGAAAAGATGGACAAGGCGGCGGACATGCGCGGAAAATTGGTCGCTTTGGGATCAGAACACGCACATTCTTCAACACAGAAAGCGGCCATGATTGCGGGTACACGTTTTCGCACTGTGCCTGCGCCCAGGGAAGCAGGATTCTCCGTCACTGCTGCTGCGCTGCGAAAAACAATCCAAGACATCCGCGCAAAAGGTCTCGAGCCATTCTACTTCACCGCCACACTGGGGAGCACCGCGACGTGTGCCGTCGACGATCTGGTGGGGATTGCGCTCCTGACCAAGGAATACCCAGATGTATGGATTCACGTCGACGCGGCATATGCGGGTTCGGCGCTGGTGTGTCCCGAGTACCAACATCTGTGTCCACCACTCGCGGCCTTTGATTCGTTCAACTTTAATCTGCACAAGTGGCTGCTTGTCAACTTCGACTGTTCGGCATTTTTCATCAAGAAGAGAAAAGACTTGATCGACACGTACAGCATAACCCCGAGCTATCTGCGCAACGACTACACCGAGAGTGGGCTTGTCACCGACTACAGAGATTGGCAAATCCCACTCGGACGCCGCTTTCGCAGCCTGAAAGTCTGGTTCGTCCTGAGAACATATGGCGTCAATGGACTGAGGGCGTTTATCCGAAATCACGTCCATCTAGGAGAGTACTTCCATGACTTGATCAAGTCGCGAAATGACATCTTCAGCGTTGTCACAAAGCCGGCGTTTGGACTCGTCACATTCCAGATTCATCCCACTTCGTCCATTGCTGCTGCTGGAATGGATCCGGCTTTCGCGTCCAACGCCGAAGCGCAACACCGCGAAGATTTAAATCTGGCGACAAAGCAGGTGTATGAGAAAATCAACTCAAAGGGCGAGTTCTTCCTCACAAGTTCAGTTGTCTGTGGCGTCTATCTCATTCGCGTCGTCAGTGCGTCGCTCAGTGCGGAGGAGAAGTATCTGAATATGGTCTTCGAGGCGCTGGTTGAGGCTGCTGAGGAGGGGCGAGTTTGAAGTTCTAATGAAGATGCAGAGTGAGAGAACTCGTCGCTTGTGTTGATACCCAAAAAGGGAATTCACCAGACAAATCAAACGCTCGGGTCCCGATGATTCCTTCAAACTTTCCGATCGACTGTAATTTACTTTTCGAAATCACGTCTGAACTTCTCTTCCAGCATGTAACCTCCTGATCGTAATCATAACGAGCCAAATTTGCGTAATCGATACAATTCTTAAAGTTTAACTTTCATCTCTTGAACCCTAGACGCAATCAGTGGTCAACAGTCTTGACCTGGTCTCTCACTGTCTATAAAAGGCCCCACCTGCTTGCCAGACTCTTCAAGTTGGATGTACTTCGAAAATCATTATAAAAGGTTAAACAACTGACACAGGAGGTTAAGCAGCATTATAATTCGATACTGCCTATGAATACAAGAAACTGGCTTCAGACATTGCGAATTGAACTATCATCCCTCTATGCATCTACGAATAAAGTGGCAACAACCTTTCTGCGCACTATCTGCTCTGCTTCGTCTGGCTTCTGCTCATGAAATGCCTACGGCAGTAGTCATGTCCATTAAAAACTTAAGTCATGGCCCGAAAGCGTCAGACGAAGCTGTCAATATATGCGCCGCCTACGAATCTGCACAGTCATCTGTATGCAATGGTCGGTTCACCAGTCAGGTGGAACCTGAAGTTCGTCCGAATCCTCGCCTGAGCAATCGCCTTCTTGTGCTTGTCCAATTGCTTCGTCAAGGTATGATGTGAATCGCAGATCGCGATGAAAATTGGCCGGGTTGAGCGTAGACTCCTGAGAGGAATCTACAACATCAGGGTAATCAGCTAATTGGCTGAGCATGGCCAGGTCTTGCGTCCCTAATATGAGTGCGTCTGGTTGTTGCAATTCTACGTCTTGCCTCTCACGATTTTGTTGTTCAGGTCCTGAACTTGATGCCTGACTCCTAACAGCCACGTCTATACCTCGCTTTAATGCTAGTACTAAGTTTTTCTTATCCTCCGGAGATTGCTGTACCTGGTGTTGGTTGTGTAACATGTTTCGGTTAAACATATCTTTCAACGTCCTTCTCTTTTTGAGTCGATCGTTCCGCAGTGGCTCGCAGTTAATAGTCTTCTGCTTGCCCTTGCCTTTAGCCAAATTGGTTTTCTCGACCTGCAGTCTCCTCAAATTCTCTATGAATAAATTCCATCAGTTTTCCTCCAGCCGTCGATGTTCCATCTTCTCAGCTTCATGAAGTTCGTTCTTCCATAACAAGGCCAGTTGGTGCGTCTCCAGAGATGCTTTCTCTTCTCTCTCTCTTGAATCCCTCTCTTCCCGCTCTCGCTCTTGCCTTTCCTATTCCTGCTGAAGTTCCTCCTCTCGTTGTTTTTCTTCCTTTCTCTTTGCCTCCTGTGACGTGTCTTCAGCATCTACTAGAGATTCCAGAGACCATCAGGTCAGTTCTTTAGCCGTCTCACAGTAATGAGGCCAATGTATGGCCTTTTTGTCAATCTTACAATTTTTGCACGTGAGATGTGCTTGAATCGCCACGTGCTTGAGTTTTGTAATCACCCATTGTACGCATAAATCAGCAGGCCAATTGTCGTAAAGTTAATGATTACTGCATTTTGTAACCAATTTCTGAACTACATCGACAAATTCTTGAAATCCGCAAGCTGGAAGTCGACGAAGGAAGCGGCGAAGAAATGCGAGCTCTCAATTACCCCACTCAGGACCGACAATGTCTATCAGCTTCGTTATCGCTTCTCGCCGCTTCTCCTTCCTTTGCAATTCAAATGGACACTTAATAGATAGAGAATGAAATAGCGCTGTATAGTCTATTCTAATCGTGCCGGCAGGTATGGACGGCAACACTGTGTTTTCCTCTTCGTCCGCGTTTTTCCAGCAGCCCGCTATAAATTCTTGTATATCCATTACTGCAGTAGTAGCGCAACTCAAGTGAGACCAATGCATGGCATCCGGATCTTGTAGACAAGTTACACAAGAGCGGATAGTAGCCTCTGTGCATTTCATGAGATCTAAGAACACGTTATTAACGGTTTCTTGGTGTTGTTCCATCAAAAGCGCTCCATGCTTGTCAATAGCGCTTTGGAACCATTCAACAACCTCGCTAAAGCTGCAGACAGGGGTGCGATAATAGATCTCTCGCAGAAGTTAAGCTCTTGGGGCGGTCAAATGTTCAACACCGATGATGTCACGGATGGAGGTTAAGGCGACGTCAATTTCTGAAGTACGTGCCACCTCTTGAGGGCAGAGCTCTGAGGAGGGGTGGTAGGTTAAATCATAGTCATCTTTGGAGGGTAACAGCAACTCTGAAGCTGGAAATTGCATACTGAAAGCTTGGTAAGATTGATGGAAAGTGGCAAAAGTGGCTTAGAGTGCTGATAAACGCTACTTCTTGATTACTCACAACACGGACCTTACGCTGCCACTCGTACCACCGGAGTAAGCCACGATTTCTCTAATCACGAGCAATACTAAATGCGTTAAAAAATAAGTACGATATTAAATCTAATAAAATAACTAAACGTTTATTTCTATTCTATACTTATACTAGAAATAATTTAAAATCTAATAGAGCTTCTAATCTAATAAAGTATAAAATAAGCTACTATTCTAGAGTCTACTATATAATACTCTAGATTCTAAACTACCTTCTTGTTAAGAATAGAGATTAATGTATTATATTCCTATTATATTTTCGTTATATATTTATTATTAGTACTTATTAGTTCTTATTATATATTTATACTAATTATAGTAACTAAAAGTTAACCTTATTATAAGTTATTAGCCTTTTACTTTTTATTACTATTACTATTTATTATAATAAAAATACTAATTTTCTAATAGCGTAGTATACAGCTTATAACTATATTTATTACAATATACCCTCTAGATTAATAGCGTTAGAATCTTATTAATTTGCCTTAAAGTATATTTTAAGGCGTCTAGGTTACTTATATATTAGTACTTTTATACACTACTTAGAGTAGGTAATAGTCTTAGGTTTAATAGAGGTTAGATTATAAGGCTTATTTTTGTATTACTAGACTACTTACCTATAGTTTCTTACTAAAGAAAAGATATATTTCAAGCTTACTAATAATATAGTTTTAAAAACCTAGGCTTATAACTATTATAACTAAAACACTAATTAACTAATAGCTTAGTACTCGTCTTATAACTATATCTATAATAATACTATTACTATTACTATTTCTATTACTATTACCTTTATAGTTACTCTTTTTTAAAGTTTAAAAATTATATAGAAGTTCTTTACTTACTAAATTAGCTTAACTAATTTTGTCTTCTTATTATAATACTTATAAGATAGAAAAGCTTACTTAGAGAGCTCTTATTTAGAGTTTAAGTAGTTTTATTATACTATATAGTAGTAAACTAATTAAGATAAAAAAGCTAAATATTTAATAGTAGTTTTCTTAGCTTTATAAATCTATATATAAAAAGCTAAACTTAAACCTTATTAAGCTTATATTATAGGTATTTCTATCTAAGCTTCTATTAGCCTACCTTTAGTAAACCTCTAGGTTAAGGGTATAAGGCCCTTAAAACTTTAAGTATATAGTACTTATAAATCTCTAAGGCTTATACCCTAAAAGTTTATTTAATCTTTTAATAAATACTTATTTATTTTATATTTAATTACTTTTTTATAGTACTGTTATAATTTAAATCCTTTATACTTCTTCTTATATAAAGTAGTTAATTTATAATAAATAAAAGCTATTTTCTTAAATAAAAAAATAATACCTTTCTAATAAGAATATAATATTATACCTAAAGAAGGCCTAATAATATTCTTATTTAAGACTAAGAGTAACTTAGCTCTAAAATAAGGCTTAGCTATATATATTAAAGATATAGAAAGCTTAAATAAAGAAAAAAAAATTTTAAGTAAAAAGAAATTTACTTTTTAATAAAGAATTAGCTACTTAGAAAAAAATAAAATAAAAGCTTTTTAAAATAATCTTTAGTTAAATAAGTAAATTATATACTTTTCTTTAAAATATAGCTAAAAAGTAGTATTAATAGAGTTCTAAAAGTAATTTACTAGTTTAGTAGTTTATAATTTTTTTTTAATATTATATTTAAAGGTTTATATATAAGTAGTACTACTAAGTAATAAGTAGTATATTTAATTAATTTTAAATAAGCTTTTAAAAAAATAACTTTAAAGTACTTACTTAGAATATATTATAATTTTAAAAGAAATACTTAAAAGTTACTTTATAGTACCTAAGCCTAATATACTTTACTACTTTAGTAGAGTTTTTTTAGTTAGTATTTAATATAGTAAAAAGGCTAATTAAAGTACTAAATATATTAAACTTTAAGCCTAAATTAGGTATAAAATTCTATATCTTTACTTTCTAATAAGTAGATTAGTAAGCTAAGAGTATAAGTATAGTATTTAAGTATACTTAGGTACTAAAAGACTTTATAGCTAAAACTTACTAGGTAATAGGTACTATATAATATAAAGTATACTAAAAAATAATTTAATAAAAGATTAATAAAGAATTAATCTATCCCTAAGTTAATATTTTATTAAAGAGTTAAAGCTAGTTTAAAACTTAGTTCTTATATAGTATAAAAACTACTTAAAGTTTTAAAACTTTAAATTATATACTAATAACTTAGTAAATATATTTTTACTATACTAAAACTATAAGAAATTTTTACTTTATTAAAGCTTCTTTAAGCTTATAAATAGTAGTATAAATAATTAATTAAAAATTTCTTTAATATAAGTAAAAGCCCCTAAGGCTTATATATAAAGAATTTAGTATAATAAAGTATTAGAAACTATTACTAAATAGTTAGAGTTTAAATAGGCTTTTTATAACATAGAAACTACTATAAGTATAAAGATAAAGTTGTAACTATTAGACTTTATAAAGCCTAAGTAAATAGCTACCTTTTTAACTTAAGGTAGCTATAAAAAAAGATTTAACTTTATACTTTTAAT